TCCAAGTGTGCTGCTCTAGAAAAGCGAGCTGAAGAGGCGGAGCGAAAAGTGGGGCACAGTGAATCAGCTGAGCGCAAATCCGCACAAGAACTGCAAGAGGCACGAGAAAAGTTGAAGAAGGTACAGGCTGAGGTCAAAGAAAAAGAAGCAGCAGCTCGCAAATCGGCAAAGTCTGAAGCAGAAGGGTTACGGAAAGAGTTGGAACAAGTCAAGTCCGAAGCTAAACAAGCAGAAGACGCGGCTCGTAAATCAGCACAGTCTGACGCAGACGGATTACGGAAAGAGCTGGAGAAAGTCAAGTCCGAAGCCAAGAAAACAGAAGATGCAGCTCTTAAGTCAGCGAGCTCCGAAATAGAAGGCTTACGGAAAGAGTTGGAGCAAGTCAGGTCGGAAGCTAAGAAAGCAGAAGACGCAGCTCGCAAAACGGCAAAGTCTGAAGCAGACGGGTTACGGAAAGAGCTGGAGAAAGTCAAGTCAGAAGCCAAGAAAACAGAAGACACAACACGCAAGTCAGGCAAGTCGACTAAATCCGAAGCAGAAGGATTGCGAAAGGAGCTAGAGAAGGCCAAGTCAGAAATGAAGGATAAAGAAGCAGCTCGCAAATCAACCCAAACAGAAATCGCAGAGTTGCAAAAAGAGTTGGAGAAGGTCAAGTTAGAAGCCAAGGACCAGGCCGAAGAAGCTCGCAAGGCAAAGGAGAATGAATCGGCTGCGCAGAAATCTGCCCAAGAGATTGATGAGTTGCAGAAAGAGCTGGAAAAGATGAAATCAGAGATTAAGGAGAAAGAAGAAGCCCGCAAATCAGCTCAATCCGAACTCGAGGACCTCCTAATTGTATTCGGAGACTTGGAGGCTAAGAGGAACGAAGACAAGGTGAGTGACTCAATAGTAATACCAAAAAGAGTTGCAATTAACTGATACTTTCTCTAGAAACGCCTGAAAGACCTTGGCCAGGAAGTATCCGAAGCCGAGGAAGATGACGATGATGACGAGGAGGAAGACGAAGACGATGAGGAATAAATGAACAAAAAGACATGACATGGCATGATTCTCATGGCTATATATGCCGTAATCTCTGTTTTATGCCGTTAAATCTGAGATGGTCAAGGTCAAGCATTATCAAGGAGTGTTGTAGAAGCCATGATGCACTGTACATACATAGAAGGGCAATTGCCTTGGGTACCTAGTACTACTATCCATTTTTCTTGCCTTAGGAGTCAACGGCAGGGCGCACTGTAATTTGAGTGAAGGGCTTGGCAAAAATTCGGCTCCGCGGGGTTGACTCATTTCTGCATCCGTCTTTTTATTTTACCCCGCGGCCATCCCTCCTTTGGAAAACTCGCACCCACACGTCAAGACAGAACGTTCGCCCGTCATGTCGATTGACTTCCCTAAGGAGGAGGAACTTACCCTCAAGCGGTGGAGGGAGATCAACGCCTTCCAGAGGCAAGTCGAGCTCTCTCGTGGCCGCAAACCGTACACTTTCTACGATGGTCCTCCGTTCGCGACCGGTCTTCCTCACTATGGCCATCTGCTGGCTTCCACTATTAAAGATATCATTCCTAGATACTGGTCTATGAAGGGTCATTATGTCGAGAGACGATTCGGCTGGGATACACACGGTGTCCCCATCGAATATGAAATCGACAAGAAGTTGGGCATGTCGGGCTTAGAAGCTGTCGAGAAGCTTGGAATTGAAAAGTACAACGAGGAGTGCCGAGCCATTGTTATGAGATACGCATCTGAATGGAGAGAAACTATTGAGAGACTTGGCCGGTGGATCGATTTTGACAATGACTACAAGGTAGAATCCCAACCGATGTTCTATTTTGACTTTTCCAAGGAACGGGGAAAAATGCCCTCTTGGGGGCCATTTATATGTATTCAGTATGGGATTGCTGACGATTTATTGCAATGATCTATACAGACCATGAACCCATCCTTCATGGAGTCCGTATGGTGGGTTTTCAAGCAACTCTTCGATAAGGACCTAGTCTACAGAGGCTACCGCGTTATGCCTTACTCCACTGCTCTCAATACCCCCCTCAGTAACTTTGAAGCACAACAAAACTACAAGGATGTTCAAGATCCTGCAGTCGTGGTGACATTCCCTCTGGTGGAAGACCCTGAGACGTGCCTGCTTGCGTGGACCACCACCCCTTGGACCCTGCCGATGAATACTGGTCTTGCAGTTCACCCTACCTTTGAATATATCAAGATTTTTGATGAAGCCTCGGGCAAACATTACATTCTCCTTGAATCCTTGCTTCGGACGCTCTACAAAGATCCCAAGAAGGCCAAATTCAAGATTGTTGATCGATTCAAGGGTTCCGCCATGAAGGACTGGAAATACACGCCTTTGTTTGATTACTTCTATGAAGAATTTAAAGACTACGGTTACCGCGTGTTGAACGCCGAATATGTTACGGCTGAGGATGGTACTGGTATTGTTCACCAGGCCCCTGCCTTTGGTGAGGACGATTACAGGGTTGGCATGGAAGGCGGCGTTATTAGCGAAACGCGCTTGCCACCTAATCCTGTCGACGAGAAGGGATGCTATACAAGTGAGATCCGCGACTTTGTGGGTCAACATGTCAAAGCTGCCGACAAGCCTATCATCAAGTACCTCAAGGGAACTGGCCGCTTGATCGTTGATAGCCAGATCACTCACAGTTACCCATTCTGCTGGCGCTCCGACACTCCTCTGATCTATAGAGCTGTGCCCGCTTGGTTTGTCAAGATCCCCGGTATCATTCCTCAGATGCTTGAGGGCATTGAGGACTCCCACTGGGTGCCCTCATTTGTGAAGGAGAAGCGATTCTCCAGTTGGATTCAGAATGCCCGAGACTGGAACATTTCTAGAAACCGATTCTGGGGTACGCCTTTGCCCTTGTGGGTCAGCGACGACTACAAAGAAATTGTCGCTGTGGGCAGTGCCGAAGAGCTCAAGGAACTCAGTGGCTACCAGGGCGAACTTACTGATCTTCACCGCGATAAAGTGGATAAGATTACTATCCCCAGCAAGCAAGGTAAGGGTGTTCTCCGCCGCGTGAGCGAGGTGTTCGACTGCTGGTTCGAATCAGGCAGCATGCCGTACGCTTCTCAGCATTACCCATTTGAGAACAAGGAACAGTTCGAGAACAGCTTCCCCGGCGACTTCATTGCCGAAGGATTGGACCAGACTCGTGGCTGGTTCTATACCCTGACTGTTTTGGGTACTCATCTCTTTGGCAAATTGCCCTTCAAGAACTGTGTTGTAAATGGCATCGTCCTTGCTGAAGATGGAAAGAAGATGTCTAAGAGATTGAAGAATTACCCCGATCCTTCTCTTATCATGAACAGATACGGCTCTGATGCTCTCCGTCTGTATCTGATTAACTCCCCCGTTGTACGCGCGGAGCCACTCAGATTCAAGGAAGCCGGTGTCAAGGAGATTGTCGCCAAGGTGCTCCTTCCTCTTTGGAACAGCTACAAATTCTTTGAGGGTCAGGTGGCTCTTCTCAAGAAGTCCCAGGGTGTTGACTACGTCTTTGATCCTGAGGCAGAAGCCACCAATACCAATGTCATGGACCGCTGGATTTTGGCAAGCTGCCAGAGTCTTCTCAAGTTTGTGAATGAGGAGATGGCAGGATACCGATTGTACACTGTTGTTCCCCGCTTGCTCGGACTGATTGACAACACTACCAACTGGTACATCAGATTTAACCGGAGGCGTCTGAAGGGTGAAAACGGCGTTGACGACACTTTGCACGCCCTTAACACCCTCTTTGAGGTCCTCTATACATTGGTCAGAGGACTTGCTCCTTTCACCCCATTCCTTACCGATACCATCTATCAGAAGCTCCTTCCCCACATCCCAGAGGCTCTCCGTAGTGAAGATAGCCGCAGTGTTCACTTCCTTCCATTCCCCGAGGTGCGTGAGGAACTGTTCGATGAGGTTGTTGAGAGGCGTGTAGCCCGGATGCAGAAGGTTATCGAAATGGGTCGAGTATCCCGTGAGCGCCGCGCCCTTGGATTGAAGACTCCTTTGAAGACGCTTGTCGTCATCCATCAAGATCCGCAATTCCTTGAGGACGTGAAGTCCTTGCAAAGCTACATTCTCGAAGAACTGAACATTATCGAGCTCATCTTGTCATCTGATGAGGAGAAGTACAATGTCCAGTATAGCGTGACTGCTGATTGGCCGACCCTCGGAAAGAAGCTGAAGAAGGATGCTCAAAAGGTCAAGAAGTCTTTGCCTTCTCTCACCAGCAATGATGTGAAGAAGTTTGTCTCAGACAAGAAAATAATTGTGGATGGTATTGAGCTTATTGAAGGAGACCTTATCGTAAGACGGGGTGTCAAGGAAGATGCATCTTCCGAGGGTATGGAGCCCAACGCCGATGATGACGTGTTGACCATCTTGGATGCGAACCTGCACCCGGAGCTGGCGCATCAAGGACTGGGTCGAGAAATCATTAACCGACTGCAGCGTCTTCGTAAGAAGGCCGGCTTAGTCCCCACTGATGATGTCAAGATGGAATACGCAATTCTCTCGGATCCTGAGGATATCGGTCTGGGTGAAGCCTTCCAGACACAAGCCCAGGCCATTGAGAAGGTTGTGCGTAGACCCCTCGAACGGTTCGAGCTTGTTGATGGCAAGGTCCCCGGTGGAGATGAGGAACGCATGATCATGGAGGAGGAACAAGAAGTCCAGAAAGCAACTTTCATGCTGAGGTTGCTTAAACTCTAGACATTCGAGTTACTAGATGTGTCATGCCAGTGATTAGATTCTGTTGATAGCTTATATGTTTGTGTTTCCGCGAGTGTGTTAAAACGATAGCATTGTCTATAAAATTACATTTTATACATGGATTTGCCTGAGAAATAGTAGGCCTATTTCATCTCGAGTAAAATAACAACAAAGAAATCTAAAAAGAAAAGAAAAGAATAAAGGAAGAGGTCTGCGCTCAATGCATGCACCTGAGATTCGACATCGTAAATTGTCTCACCGTCTTCCTTCAAACCTTCTTCGACGCTGCCTATCAGCAACTCCAGATTAATATTCGACTCTCGGAAATTCGATCTTACACCTTACCAGGAAGCAGTCTTTGAGCTTCATGAACTCTTTAGCACACATGTCTTTGTGGACCGAATTGTAGTCAGCCACAATGCACTTGCCATATGCCGCTGCCTGAGAATCGGTCAGCTAGTGTCATGGCAGGACCATAGAGCAGGTGTATACCTCTGCAGAGCATTTTGACGTGGCCTTTGCAAATTTCTCAATAGGCCTTGTTCTTGTTGATGGCATTTTCTCCTTGATTTTGCTATTATTTTTCTTTGGCTGGCCTGAAGTGATTTGATTTGATGCAATGCAGAGGGAATATGATATTACGTAACCGCATCACATGACCGCTACATTCCATGTTGGGTTCCGCGCGACAAGCAAAACAATTGTTGGAGGTTGGGGACGAAGCCTAGTCTCAGCCGTCCAATCGCTTCAGCGAACGGCTTCGATTTTGATCCTCCTTTACCATCACTTTTTTTTGACTGGCAGGCTTGAGGCCCCGTGGGTTCTTGTTTCACGTCCAACCCTGTGCCTCGCAATGGTTGATTTCGTTTCCCGCCTCCATGACCTTTCTGCGAAAAACGCGCCCTAGGTCGCGGACAGTTCGATGCCTCCCGTACCCCCTCAGCGTAGACACTTGTCCTATGAAGACCCGTCGCTTTCAGACGAAGGTGCGTAATGCGTGATCCCATGGAAGCTTCATCCGAACTTGCTTAAATAACCGGTTCCTGTATGTTAGATGTCGGCCTTCTCTATCAAGTTATCACCCGCGCTGAGCGAGACCCAGAGGTGGAGCGCCTTCCATACAGAGTGCTATTCAAAGCGTACGATGAAGTCATCGCAGAACATGGCGTGGATCCAGATCCAGGCTATGCCTGCTTGCGCTTCTTACTCAAAATGGGAAGCAAGAATATCTTAGGCGATTCCCTCTTTGAGAAATTCGAGAACCTACTTGAACGGATGGGAATAGTCATTGAATTTGGTGAAGACGAAGATGAAGGCAATGACACTTATGCGGACAGTGTGCCTTCAACAGATGGCCGGCTCAAAGCGAAGGTCGATCGTGACACCACTTACAGAGAAAGCACTACACAGCCCACCCCAAGGAGGCGAGCATCGTTCAATTCCATGTATGATGTTGGTGATGACCCTACGCAAAGGAGTTTCGCCAATCGCCCAAGTTCGCGCTCTTCCTTGTCCCGCCTGCCAATGGACAAACCCGAATTCCCTAGTACCAGACCATCACCAAAACGCGCACTCACTAAGCAGGCTGATTCGACTGACAGAACTCAGCTGATTGCACAGTTTCTGGATATTGGACGCCGCCTTATGAATAAAATGGATCTTTTGGATAGGGATACGGATAGACAAAACAACGAAGATCATGTCTCTAATGGCGTACAGGCCAGGTCTGCTGTTGATCGAGATCGCTCAAAGAGGATGACCAAAGCCTCCCGGTCGCGTACACGACGCTCATTAAGCTCAGAAGGCTCTGACGGAGATGCAGACAGTTCATCCCTATCGGCCGAAGGCGATGACTCTGTAGAGAAGCCCGAAGTTCCACCGGAATTGCTGTATAGGCCATCGCTCTCCGATTTGCTACGCGATGCGTCAACATTTAACATGTATCGTCAACGTGCTATTAACCGGCGGTTACTTACACAATGGTTGAAGAAAGCCATCCAAACTCGACAAAGCCATCGGCATATGGAAGTTGTCGCCATCAATCGCGACAGAGGCACGCTCCTTCGTCAAGCTTTCGAGACATGGCATTCGATCATTCAAACGCAACGGCGAGCAGCACAGACCGACCGCTTTTTTAAGCATCTAGAGGAGCGCGCTTCCCGGGCCCGCGATCTCTACCTCGTGACTAAAGCTTTTACCCACTGGGCGCAGGTCGCTTCAGAAGAAGTCGCAAGGACTTCCGCAGCACGAAAACACGTTTTAAGTGTTAAATACTTCAACGCATGGCGCGAAATAACAGCTGTTAACGAGTTGAAAGCCCAAAGATTTGCATTACGGCGACCATTCAATATCTGGAAGAGGAAGGTCGATCATATAAAGGATTCGGAGAAAGAGGTGGCTGTTGCCCATGACAAGAAACTATTACACGGCATGTATTGGAGATGGTTCTGGTCTTTCTGCGAACGACGTGCTCCCCAATGGTATGACTATTGCCTTAAGAGGCGGTCATTGTTGTACTGGTTGCGGAAGTTCCGAACAAACAGAGAGCGCAATCATGAGGTAGAAGTCAAGAACAAACATCTGGCGCTTAGTTCAGCATGGCAAGTGTGGTCCCGAAGGTCTAAAGCGATCGTTGCTGGCAAACAGGAGGCAACAATCAAGCAGCGTCAACACCTTCTACACAAAACTCTTGGAGAATGGAAAATCCAATCCCATCTTGCCCCTGCCGCTTCTCGTGTGTCTGGCATGGTTGATCGACGAATCCTCCAAGCCGCTTATGTTCAGTGGGTAAAGCGGATCCGAATGCTGCAACACGCAAGAGAAATGAACCGTCTGAGGATCCTACGTAACTCGTGGACAACTTGGAATGACCTGCTTCGCTGTCAGGCCCTCAGTGCGCGAATTGAAGAACGGCTGAAAATCGAAACGATGTATAAATGGATATTGGCGGAGAGATTCTCTCTTATGCAGCGGATTCGAGATCAACGGATCACGCGCGAGGTGTTTTCCAGATTCGTAACCAATGTTCGTCGAACCTACACTCGTCTACTTGACCATGCCGAAGTACACGAAGATCGTCGGAATGAAGAGCTGCTAAAGGCCAAGCTAATCTGCTGGCGCGATCAGTTCGCGCTTCAGCGTCACCGAGAATTCGTTGCCTTTGAATTCTATGCACCACGGCTGCTTCAAGAGTCGCTGATAGCCTGGCGATCGAAATCACAACACGTGATCAAACTCGAAGGATGGGCTAGCAATGCACAGTTCTACTTTGCGGCTACGAAGACCCTGAAAAAGTGGCATGCGGCCACATTGGAGTCCTCTAAGCGGCGCCGCCAGGCAGCTTACGCGAAGACACGAAGAAAGGTCAAGATGAACATTGCTGCGAACGCTCTGGAAAAATGGCGTGCGAGGGCCCATGATGTATTCGATATGGATCAGCAGGCCTTGCAATTTAGCCGAGGAAAATCACTGAGCATTGCGTCTGAACTTCTGCAACGATGGCATGACCAAAGTGCAAAGCGAACTCAAGATATTCACGAAGCTGAAGTCTATCATGCACGAAGAGTCGCTTACGACCAGTTGATACGATTGGCAGAGGCCTTATTGGAATGCCACCGTCTAAATCAGCAAGCAGATAGTATGTATCGCGTACATATTTTGGGGCAGGCGAACGTTTGCCTGCGCAGGCTTAGTCTCCGTGTTTTCCAAATCAGAAGCACCAATGAGACAGCGGAGGCTATGAAAGAGAGGAATTTGAGACGGCATTCAAGAAGTATGTTCCGCCACTGGTTGGAGAAGTTGAGAATGAACCTTGCGGCTCCGGATTCTTCGAGGCCTCTCGTTACCCCTGCACGAAACTTTGACGGTCCCGGTGGGAATCTTAGGACAAATCGCTCTGTATTCGACCCTTGGGATCAAACCGAGACGCCTTTCAAATCCAGCGGCTTTGTTGCAGATACCCAGAATGTCTCGACAACTCCATTGACCACCCCTAACTACCTGACCTCGCCATCCAAGCGGGCGGTACGGGCAAGGGCACTCGCACAAGTCTCTACGACTCCTGCAACACCATTATACACGCCGTTCGCCAGTCGACTTTTGCGTGCAGGAACTACGGCACCAAGATCTGGTTCCCACCTACGAACCCGCAACGGTCGGGGCAGTGCTCTGGGCACGAGCGTTCGGTTCGTGGACCAGGAGCCAGAATCACCTACGGACGCTAGAAGGTCCGCCAACCGACGGATCTAGAATTCAGAAATCTAGGGCAGCGATCTTGGATGTACAGTGTCTTCTTACTTATTTTGTTCTCCGTTTCCATGTTGGCGCTGTTTGGTATTAGGCTGGAGCTTTTTTCTTTGTTTTTTGATACCCCACATTACAAGACATGGATGGCGCGTAGTTTATAGTTGAGTTTTTGGAAGGTGGCATTCTAGATTCTGGTACTAGTTTTCGTGTTGACCACTGCGAGTATATAGCTCTTTGCAGCCCTGGCTCGCTGTATAGCGGAAAGATACATAGGTTCCCTATTGACGTACGTCGTTTTGGTTTGCTGGATTTGTATCCATATAAAGGACGTCACTGTCCACATGGCTCAGTCACACGGCGGCAAGTGGAGCGGTGGGCGGAACACCAACGTAATTTAATTAGTCCCCAATTTACTCGACCACTTTAGACCTCCCCCAAGCTCCAGCTTACCTCCGTTATTCTATTTGCGAAACAAAGCCCTCGACAATTTCCCTGTGCCTTTTGATGTTTTTGAGGCCCTTCTCGAACATCCGGTTCTCTGTCCCTAGCAATGGTGTAATTCTATCCTGAGCGCAACGAGCGACACTCAACAACTACCCGCCTCTATGCGAGCGGTACTGCCAGGGAGGCCCCGAGCGAAGCTCCAGTCTTTCAGCACTGCGCTGTGGGATGGTCTCCGTGTCGTCGTAAGGGAACCTACAATTCAGTCCTCAAAATAGAGTTATGCACGGTTATCAGGCTCGGCTAACGTTTGACCCGTTGCGTTTCTTCGCTACAGGTTTACATCTCCGGCCATGCGCTGGTTATCCTCGGCGGTCCCCACACGCTCCTACAAACCATCTACGTCGACGATGCCGAATCCCTAGAAGCTGTGACGATTGATGAAGCTTCTGGCAAAATTGCTGTGTGCGGCGGTCCGGATGTTTTTATCTACCAGCCGTACGGTATCAAGCATGAAACATTAAAGGTCCGTTACCATGAGGATGGATTAAAGGGAATAAATATCCACTGCCCGGTTGCGGTTTTTGGACGTGCAGGAGCGAATGCTGATGGCTTGTCGGTATAGTGGTCTCTTGTCCAGACATTCCGTTACGAGAACGACGATGAGACGATCCGGACCCTATCATGGGGCTCCCCTGAGGAGCTGCTCCTAGGGAATTCCCACCTTACACTGTGGTTTCTGAACGATGTGGCGCGTCCGGTGTGGAAGCAGAAGCTCGCGAACCCTGTCAAATTTGCATTGTTCTCTCCCGACTCGACTTTGGTGATTACGACGGGATACTACGACCGCCTAGTCAAAGTATGGAGACGGCTGTCGTTTGGCGCGGACGATGTTCGGTTCGAGGTGTCGTACCTTCCGCATCCAGCAATCGTGACGGGTGCCCACTGGCGTAAGCCATTTCATAAAGAGCAATCTATCGATAATGTCCTCTACACCCTATGCGCCGACAGCAAGATCAGGGTCTGGGCAATGATGGAACATCACTCTCCAACTGCTCTACAACTATGGACACAAATCGACATGGGCGCTTCTGTCCAACCAAGACATACGGCGGACCAGAGGGATATGTCTCGACGATATGGTTTCATCATTGATAGCAGAGACTTCTGTGTAGCTACCGAACGGGCAGTGCAGAGGTCTGGAGGGAACAAGGGAAACCATGCTTTAGAGCATATAATCGAAGTCGCCAATAAAAGCCCTGAAATCTGCGTTGTGATAGATGGCCAAGGCCACATGTCAGCGTGGGCGCTCGAGGATGTCGGCTCTAAATCCAAGTCTGACCTGAACGCCTTCAACATTCTCCATGTCGAAGGACTGGATTTCTCGTTCATGCGGGGGCTGTCTGCGGATGAAGATTATGCTCAAATATGTGCATTTCAAAGTACACAGTTAGGTGATTCGCTTTCCATTCTTGTGCACCATTTCGATGGCCGTATCGAATGGTATGATTCACAAATTGATACATTATTCGATCCGAGCCCTCGCAAGCACCGGATTGCCCTGCAAGCATCCTGGACAGGACACAATGGCCCAGTTAAAAAGATTGTCCGTAATGCGATCGGCGATACTCTTGTTTCACGTACAGATGATAACAAGGCAATGATTTGGAAACAGAAACGAAGGAATAGCAGGTCAATGCTTATCCGCAAAAGCTCCCTATACTCAGATGAACACATTCATCGCACGTGTGTGGTTGAAAATGGGGATTTCCTTGTCAATCTCCATCACAATGGAATCTCTGTCTGGGATCTGCGCTCTTTTCATGCTAAGAAGATTGCTGCGTCGACCTTTCAGTCATCAAGCAAACCACTTTGTGTTCTCCCAATCCCCACAACGGAAAAAGGAATGGTATATATAGCAACTATTGGGGCTGATAGGAACGGAATAGCTTGGGAAATCCGCCTCCCAACTGCAGCAAAGCAAGCGGACGGGGCACATAATTCCCAGTGCTGCTTACAGAAATTCTGCACTTTCAATCTGGGCATTGAGGAGGATATGTCATACATCTTGCCTGTTGACCCAGCAGGCCCTAAAGCTGAAATGTCTGGATTCTTCGATATATTCTCTCCCGACATAGCGTTATCTTATACCCGGACAGGTACTGTCCATACCTGGGCTGCTAAGGTCGATAGAGAGAAGAGTCGGGTAGAATGGCTATTGACATCAACAGTTGAAACGGGAATTGCAAACCCATCCCTTGCCAGTGGAAGCTCCATTAGAAAAGCAGCTCTTGTGGACGAGGACCGTAGCCACTTAACTATCTGGGATACAAATGGTGCGCAGTTGGAGTATGAGGAGCACTTTGGCCAGAAAGATATCATCCGTGACTTGGACTGGACTTCCACACCAGACATGCAATCCATTCTTGCGGTTGGGTTTCCCCACAAAGTCATCCTGCTATCGCAGCTTCGTTATGACTACCTTGATGCTCGACCTTCCTGGACCCAAGTCAGAGAGATCTGGATTCGGGACCTAACACCTCATCCTATTGGAGATTCCTGTTGGCTTAACAATGGCCACCTTGTGATCGGAGCGGGAAACCAACTTTTTGTGTACGACAATGAGATCGACGCCAACGATCGTCTGGTTTCACAGCTTCGTATTCCATCGCGTCGCCAAGGTTTTGTAGACCTATTCGAAGTTGTCAGTCGGTTGAATGGCCCGTTGCCTGTGTTCCACCCCCAATTCTTGGCTCAGTGTATCCTCAGTGGCAAGAGTAATTTGGCGCATTCCATTTTGATAAGGTTGCACCGGAAGCTCAAGTTCTACACTGAAGGCGACGACCTTGATGGTTTCTTGGACATGCCCCTGGAAGATTTCTATTTGGAACACGATGTGAGTTTGTTAAGTTACTATTGTACTACCTAGTCATGCAGCTAACAAGTTTCAAGACCTCACAGAAAGCGTCGTCCAAGGAACTACATTCCGCGTACGAAGATCTCTCACTGGAGGATGAATCATCTGTTATGGATGAGAACACCGCTGTTGCGCTCAATGAAAATTTAGCTAAGGTTGCTTTACCACAACTTTCCAGTCAAGAGCAATTCCGCCTGGTTGATACTATCGAATGTGTTGCCACTGTCGAAAAGCATCGGCGCTCAATGGATGACAACGCTGCCCGCTATCTGCTGTTTTTCCGGCAGCATATGCTGCGAAGAACACAAGGCGTCGCGAACAAAGATAGAGTCTCCTGGAGAGAGATCGTCTGGGCTTTCCATAGCGGTAGCCAAGATATACTTTTGGACCTTGTGTCGAGGCAGTTCGGCGGTAAGATGGTATGGAAGGCGGCCAGGGAGAGCGGCTTGTTCATGTGGTTGTCGAGTACCACAGCTATTGTAAGTATATTATCACTCATGCCCTGCCCCTAGAGCTCTGTACTGACCAATACTAGCGAGCTCAACTGGAAGTGGTTGCCCGGAATGAGTACACTAAAACAGAAGAGAAGAATCCAATTGACTGTTCGCTGTACTACCTTGCTCTTGGGAAGAAGAGCATTCTCCAGGGCCTCTGGCGCATGGCTCAATGGAATCGTGAGCAAGCTGCGACTCAGCGTTTACTTGCAAATAATTTTCTAGAGCCTCGTTGGAAAACAACCGCTTTGAAAAATGCATACGCGCTGCTTGGGAAGCGCAGATTTGGTGAGTTTTAATCATATAGAAACTCTGCGCCCGTTTGATACGCTAACAACCCTTTCAGAGTATGCAGCTGCCTTCTTCCTTCTTGCAGATCACTTGCACGATGCTGCTATGGTCTGCATCAATCAAGTCGGTGATCTTCAGCTCGCGATTGCAATTGTACGCGCCTACGAAGGGGATGATGGACCAGTGTTGAAGGAAATCCTGGAGGAGAGGGTCTTGCCCGAAGCTGCCTCTGACGGAAACCGGTGGATGGCTTCTTGGGCATTCTGGATGTTGGGCCGTCGTGATATGGCTGTACGCTCGCTCATCGTAAGTCGGCCGATCAACCAGGCACCGTTCCCCCGGTGTTCTTCCTGGCTCCTTATGCTGATGATTTTGGTATCTTTAGTCTCCAGTTGAAACACTCATTCCATCCACACCTGCTTCTCCGGGAAGCCCCGGAATGATCCCACTACAAGCCAAATCGTACTTATCGAACGATCCTGCCTTAGTAGTCTTATACAAACAGCTTCGTGAGAAAACATTGCAGACCTTGAAGGGTGCATCTAAAGTCTCTGGTCCAGCTGAATGGGGCTTCGTCATCCGCAACGCGCGCCTCTATGATCGAATGGGTTGCGACCTCCTCGCTCTGAACCTGGTACGCCAGTGGGAGTTCTTGGCCGAGCCTCCACCCGCCAAGGCAGCGAGGGAAGTATCATTTGACCTGCAGCAGAATGGTGTTGATTACCGGAAAATGCTTCGACGACGAAGCAGTCTCGTGGTAGCAGACATGCCAATCAAAACCGGCCTGCCACCATCTTCGAAGGCACCCGATACGCCGAAGAAACCACAACCACCCCCGACCATGTTCTATGAGCCTGATTCAAATTCGCTACTTGATAGCTTTGGGTTCTAGTCAAACACAAGTATGTGTGCTTTGCAGCAATCGGGCGTTGTCGGTAATTCTTATGTATTGTTTTTGTCATTAGCCAACTTTTCGTGTCGATTTGGTGTTATATGTGTTTCCTCAGTGGGAAGGATTGTATACTATGACTACCAATGCCTAATGGTTTTTGAGGATTTTGAACTGAATGTAATTGTCGCATATCCATCGTGATCATTATTCAATCTCGTCAACCAACGAAAACAGCGCAGACGCTACAAAACCCGGATGTCAAATATACACATATCAAAAGGAGCATCCCGACACTCGAGATGACCAAGTCTCTTATAAAGAAACAGAGAGAGAGAGAGAGAGCTATCACAACTAACCATTATTAGGACGGCATAAGTCGCGCCCCAATCTTCTTCCACATACTGCTGTGGGACATACCAGTCCCACTGTTGGGACTGTTGCTATTGTGATCCCCAGTATTGTTGTGATTTCCAATAGTATTAGCACTCCCCGTATAATTTGAAAGTCTCCCATGATACCAAGAAGCGATGCCATGAGGAACCGGCTTCATCTTCTCACACTCTAACTTCACCCAAACCTGAGTGAACGTGGCAAAGTTCCGCTCTTCACACTCACTGAGTGCTTTCCCACGTCCAATCTCCTTTTGTATAAGTGGCGGTTCGGTGCAGCCCGGCAATTCGTGCACAGCAATAGTGCATTGGTCTAGGCTTTCCTGCCAGAAGAGCTCGGCGTCAATTGAGACGTGATCTACCTCCATGGTGTATCGAAGAGGGACAGGAACTTCCTGGCATTTCCCAGCGACCACATCGACGGCTGTTGTGAATTCTTCGTGCAATTTGAGATTGGGATCATCTGGATAAGAGGTGTGGTCATCGGCGGGGCACTGGGGAGAGAAGTTGGCCCATACTCGGGCGGCGCTGAGAGCTGAGGCTACCGGCGAGTGGGCAAAAAATAGGAGAGGGAGGAGCTATATGCCTGTTAGCTTCTTCGAGCCTAATATATGCCTTGCTCAGAGAAAGTCGTTGTTCCCACGTACATTGGTCCAATGCATGTTGAGGAACTACTTTGTAGTGAAAAAGTAGTAATAGCAAACACCGACAGTAGGATATACGGCAGCACTGACCAAAAGAACAGATCGGTCTGAATCTGCATTCCAACGTCTCGCCTGTTCGGCCGTTATATATCACATTTCCATAACTACGGACCCATTTCATCGAAATACTCCTCGAGGGCAGGGAGACCTACATCCACTTCCGGGTGTCGTGTCCCCAATCGCGAGGTGAAAAGAGACCCCATACCTGAGACGTGAGGAATTATACTGCCGACTAGAGATATGTGAGCCACTAAGTGTTTCATTGCCATGGGGAAAAGCATCCGTCGCCTTGCATTCCTGTCGTGAGTGGCTTGGCTCCTCGCAAGGTACCAAGCATTCCAATCGTTTCATTCCACATTAACGGCGCCTCTGTTGAGTTGGAGTTTGGTATGACACGTATGTACTTGTCTCATGCTTATTTTACGGGTTGATTTGCTGTAGGTACACTTGATCGAGGTGAATAGTATGCCAGCGTATATACATGGTGCTCCGGAGGTGGGAGGTACATTGAAGAAATGTGGTGTATTAGCTGGGTACTTTTGCAGGAGATCCAGCCGCGCAACACTCGACACTATATGCAAGAGATTTTGAGGGGTGATTTTGTCAGGCAGGCAAATACATGCGCTATGTGGGATAGGATCCCGACAGGTTTCTCAGTTTGGGCTATCACGCCACTCATAGAGCTTGATCGGAAAGTGAACCGCGTTGTTATATTGAAAAAGGGCATCTGAAAGAATGTAATATTAGGTATGAAGAAACGAAAGCCGTTCTGAAAGTGATATAGTGATACATCATCCAGGATCATCCGTACACCAATTAAGAGTATCCAATGCTTTTCTCCAACGCACAACCGCTTACAAGCCCAGTTTTTTCAGCCAAGAGTTCGACTTAAGGGCAGAAGGCTGCTCAGCTTCACGGTGGGGCTGCTCAGCTTCGCCCTTCTCTTCCTCCTTCTCTTCCCCCTTGTCACCTCCCTCGGCCTCTCCCGACCCCTTTGCCTCAGTTACTCCCTGTTCGTCTTTTTCTCCCGCCTTGTTTCCCTCATCATGTGCCCCATGGTCTCCCTCATCGTGGTGGGCTGAATCGTCATCGCAAATCAGCTGAAACGAGGCGTAGTCCTCAAAGCCGGACTCAGGAAGACAAGGGCTGGTGGTCTCGAGCTCTCCATGGCGGAAAGGCACAACCCAGTCGGGCCTGCCGACACATAATTTATTCGCGTAGACACCCAGACCGCGGCACCTCTCGAAGCTCTTCTTGTTGAGCGCGGTTACCTTAAAGGAGTAGGTATCGACTTCGTCATGGTCAGGCAGCTTGACAAAAGGGCAGGACGTCTCAGTAGCGAAGACCTTGTCGGGCTTTCCGTTGAGGACCTCCTCCTGATGGTTGTTTCCTGGGTGCCTTCCAACATGGCAATCCTCGTGGCCATGGACCTCGACTTGGACTATGTTGGAGCCGGCGCCATAGACCGCCGGGGCAAGAGCGAGAGAGGCAGCTAGGAGCTATAATGCGTTTATTAGCGCTCACACCATTTAAAATCGTCAATATGTTTGATACATACTGTGGAGAAGTGCATTTTGTATTTTGCTTGCGACTGTTATGGAATTTGAAGTCGAAGGTGTTTTCTCTGATACACTGAGGGTGTCTTTGAAGAGTTTTCTTGCCAACGATCGTGCTGAACAGGATGAATATTGTCAGAGATGGTCGAAGATGTATTTATGTTCTCCAATGACGCGCCTACTGCCCAGAATCATGGCAGCCTCCATTTTTCTTGGCTTGCCTGTTCTCCTACGGAATGAAGGAGCTGAACCTATTATCCTGGATATCCATTGACACCTTGTCTGGGCATCGACAGGAATGTGTTCTGGATGGCTGATCCTTGATTGAGCTGGAAATATCTTCCCTTGGTGCCTGTGGATCTTAACCTTTGCTTGACACAACGGGCCTGGCTGTCATTCCGCATCGACAAACTCAAGCAAGGATCGTGCTGCCTCTATGCAAGGGCACGCGTCCTGAGCACCCCTCAAACCCTGCCGTCAAAATAAACAATCCCTATACTTGGCTATTCGTAAACAAGGGTGTCTGGGGCTGCTCAAAGTCAATTGCTCCTTCAGTAGGGAGACGATCCGAGGTTGAGTGCAGAGTACTATACCCTAAAATGCCTCTGTAACTTCTCTGATTTACACAATTTATTCTCACCAGACTCCTTCTAAAAGCATCTTGTCCGAGCTGATTTGAAACATGGCTCGCTTGAGGCAGGGGATTTAACCCTTTGGTTTTTGAAATACTCCTACATTCTCTGGGATTGGCTGTCCGGGACATACTCCCAGAGTCACCCAGACCAATCTATGCCCACGATTGTCTTATTTCAAGAGATCATAGCCGGTCTCTACATAAGATAGAATGAATCAGTTCTTATTAATGGGGCAAATCATAAGATATGACGCGTGGTGCGCACAAATCATCAATTCACTTTCTCTATAACGCGAAAGCTGGGCTCATTATTCAGCTATGGGCGCTGCTACAAAGTGATAGAAAGAAGTGAGTAGCTTAGGTGCGTACTCGGCTTGTCTACATCCTAGAGGTCTGTGACTTTGAAGAAGCGATGGGCTGTGTAGGATGGATAATCTGTTGACAAGGGAGAGTCTATCCTAGATTCCTGGCTTCGACCTGCTTGCCCTTTCGGTTTCACCCATTGGTCTAGAAAATACGATGGGATAGACATGTTGTATGGGTTTGAACGAGAGGATTACTAATACGACGGCCATTTTGACCTTAAAAGCCCGTTTCCTGACAGCCAGTATAGCCCGTCTCTGTCTGGTGTATATATTATTAACGCTACCTGTACTTTACTACGATTGTAAGGAAGCATATTCGGGTCACTTGGTCCATGAGTTTTTTTATCTATAATAAGAATACTTAATCTATAAGCCCTGACTTGGAATGCTACCCATATTTCCGTCGATGCATCAACGGCCGTCCGATATATACTAATGTTTGTGTCATCACCAACTTATAACCCGCACCCATTGCTAACATGGAGCCAGTGAAGAACACTCAACCTGATATTTTCGAGACAGAGGGATGTACGGAAAATCCGGCTGCAACGTAACGAGGGTCATGAGCAAGCTAAGCGCTGTTGTTTCGTTGAATTACATTATAGAGAATGGTAATTCAGTGACTTCCTCGCCCTTATGTTTCTTGACGATAAGGACCTGCAGAACCAGAACTCTTGGCCCTCAGGACACCTGTGTCATTATTGGCTAATCCGTCTAGCCAGGTAGTCAACCTACTTGAATTGCTTAGTTGAAAGAGACAATGGCATTGCATGTTGGGTCTGTTGTGAGACTACGTGTCCAGTTCTTGTGAAGTCGACTGGTCTAAGCTGGTGGGCCTCATGCAAGTCTGCTTTAGGCCGCAGTTTGTGCCACCCTAGTTACTAGTATCGCTTTGTAAGCGGAACGAGGAAATCTTTCTCTGCCGAGTGAGAGAGTTGTCGCAGTACATCTGATTAGCAAATGTAGAGCCATTGCAGGATGGATTGAATTTGGGAGTTATAAAAACCTGTTTTGCTTCGGGTGGGCAGAAACCCAACAGACAACACCCACCATCAGCACCGAAATCAGCTCAATTGCCTTCACCATGGCTCCTGTGATCGAATCTCACACCGATGTGTAAGTTCGGGTGGAATGCCTTGTTGTTACTTTTCTTAGATATTGATGATTGTTGGTTAGACTTATCATCGGTGCTGGCCCTTCCGGCTTAGCCGCTGCATACTGGATGGCTCGTTGTGGCGTCAATGCCCGTATCGTCGACAAACGCGCTACGAAGGTGTTCCGTGGCCATGCTGATGGATTGAGGGCCGGAACATTGGAGCTCTTTGACAGCATGGGCTTTCAGCACAGAGTCTTGCACGAAGGCGTGGAGATCACCGAGTTCTGCTTCTGGGTTCGTTCAATAGACTACCCCTCGTCGTTGATCCTGGGGGCGCGGGCATCGTAACTAAGATACTATATAGGCGAGGGACGAGAATGGAACCTTGAAGCGAACAAAACAGGTTCGCAGTGAAAGCCTCGACAATGCGCCCTATCGCATGCATGGGTTGAGCCAAGGAAGAATCGAGCGCTATATCCTCGACGCTATCAAAGACCGCTCAAACCTTATGGTCGAGAGAGGTGTCGTTGCGGAGTCACTTGAGTATGATGCAAGCCTCGAGAAAAGTCATGACGAATACCCGATCACGGTCAAGCTGAGGACACTCACCGAAGAAGAGCTAAGCGCTGCTTCAAACTATGGTGGCTCGCAATCCCTTTCTCGTACTAACGTGGCACCGGACGATGTGGAAGACGTCACTCCGGAGAGAAAGCACGAGTCAGGTACGGTAGAGATAGTTAAAGCAAAGTATCTCATTAGTTGTGATGGTGGCCGCAGCTGGACCAGGAAACAGTTGGATATCCCCTTCACAGGTTCCACAACCGAACACATATGGTACCATCTTCCTCAGAAATCCTAGGCTTTCCCGTGGCTGATGGGTGTACTACAGGGGTGTCCTGGATGTGATCCCTATCACCAATTTTCGTAAGTCGATGGCTCCATACTCAAAACGATCTATATAACTAATTCAGGGCCAGCTGATATACGCCGAGCGGCTACGGTGGCAAGTGAATTTGGAACACTCCTCGTCATTCCAAGAGAGAGGCAGCTAGTCCGTTTCTACGTCCCACTGACAGAGGTCGACGTCTCAGGACGGTTTGATCGTTCGTCTATTACGTTGGGCATGATGCGGGAAAAGGTGCAACAGATGTTGAAACCGTTTCAGTTCAATTTCAAGGTCTGTGACTGGTGGACTACATATCAGGTATGTTATCTGCTTGGATTTGATTCTTCACAGCGCTATCATGCTAAGCATTTGAATAACAGATTGGTCAAAGAATTGCCCAGAACTTCACCAAAGGTCGCATATATCTCGCTGGTGATGCGGTCCACAATCATTCCCCGAAGGTAGGAATGGGTATGAATATAAGTTTCCAGGACGGCTTCAACATCGGCTGGAAAGTGGCCCTCGTCGCAAAAGGAGTAGCTCATGCCTCCATCCTTGACACGTATGAACCCGAGCGCCGCCCGCTCGCCGAGATGCTCGTGGATTTCGATCGTCGCTGGTCGCCGCTATTCCTGAAACAACAGGATGGCTCCCCCCCTCCGGACGCGGAAGCAAGGTTCGAAGCCATGAAGGAGGTTCTTATCTCAGTGGAGCCATTTGCCGAAGGCCTTTTGTCCTATTACGGAGACAGTCCGCTAGTCCATAAAAACGGGCAAGATATAGCCAAAAACCTTTCACCGGGAGAGAGACTTATTTCAGCCAAGGTTCGCAACCAAGCTGATGGTACAACCCGGTGGACTACCGGGGTCTTTCAGAGCGATGGTCGCTTCCGTATCTTGCTCCTTGCTGGTGATATACGGACGGAGGAGCAGAAGCGTCGGGTTCTGACCTTCAGCGAGTATTTGGCATCCACTCATTCGGTTCTACGGCAATTTTCACGCAAGCCTGCGAAGCTACATGCGACTATTGATGTGGTTACCATTCATAGTGCGCCCGTGGAGGATGTCCAGTTATTTGATTTCCCGGAGGCCCTACGGCCTTTCGATGACGACAACGGCTGGGAGTACGACAAGATATGGGGTGATGAGAAATGCCATTGGGACATGCAGTGTGATGGAAAGGTATATGAAAAGTGGGGGGTGGATCGACTGAAAGGTGCCGTTGTTGCTCTGAGACCAGATCAATACATCGGGTGGATTGGAGGTTTAGAGGACACTGAGGGACTGTCAAAATATTTTGAAGGAATTTTCCGAACCCCCAAGCAGAGAGCTCTTCTTTGAATGTCTGATGACAGGTAGGTGGTCTATCGATCTTCCGCAGTGGACCTAATATAGGGATGTATATATATACCTAGCAAGTAGGTACTAGATTGTTGCCAGAGTGGGAAACAGATACAGTATCAAAATTTTATCACAAAGCCACCAGGGAATATTATATGCAATTTGAATATGTCTAAGGGAGGAGAATCATTATTTTTCCTGGCATTTAGGGTCACTTCGCACATTCGACTTATTCGTTTGCTTATCAGACCCACCGGGGAAATGTCAGCCTTAGGGCGTGCGTGGCCATGCGTGGGGTTCCCGAACCTATAAATCAAGCCTCGGCCCTTTCGTTGCCATTGACAGCGCGAACAGCACACCAAGTGATTCATGACTGTATATCAACCAAACAAAAAAAAAAAAAAACATGAGTCCTCCACAATTGCCAAACCACCACCATATGGTCGTCCTACAAGGAGACTTTCTCCGGATCCCAGAGTTCGATATTCCCGAGCCATATACCCTCAAGAAAACAGTGTACCCCCAAACAACACTAGCGAACCTCCACGAACGAATTTACGATGCCTCTATTCTGGTCTTATGTGCATTTCCCATTGACGCGACTGCGCTCTCTGAAGAGAAGTCCCCGCATCTCAAGCTCATTGTGCTCGTGGCGTCCGGCACCGACTGCGTCGATCTGGAAGTATGCAGAAAACGAGGCATTGCGGTGACTAATTGCCCGGGGGCAAACATCGCGGCTGTCTCCGAGCATGCCATGGGTCTGTACTTCACGACACGACGGAGGCTCGTGGATATGCATGCCCAAACCCGGGCTGGGGAATGGCAAAAGAAGATCCTAATGTTCCGGTATCTGGATAAGCACGGAGATCCCCCCTTAACGTGCGAAGATGAAGTGGTGGGTATTATAGGAAATGGAGGCGTGGGTACGTTTATAATTCAATGTGCTCTACTACAGTCTTCTCTACGTTAAGTGTTTCTGATGGAGTGTACAGGGAAACGGATCGCCAATCTTGCACGGGGATTAGGCATGAAAGTCCTGATCTCTGGACGTAAGAATTTTGGTAGTTCTATTGGCCCAGAAGGTGAAGATAGGACGCCTTTCGATACAGTGATTAAGGAGAGCACGGTGCTTTTCCTCGCGGTTCCACTGCACGAGACTACTCGGAACCTTATCTCGACTCCGGAGTTGGAAGTGATGTCCCATCATGCCGTCCTGATCAACGTCTCTCGGGGTGGCGTTGTAGACGAGGAAGCTCTAGTCAAAGCTCTGCGAGAGAACAGAATTGCTGGAGCAGCAACCGATGTATGCTTGAAGGAACCCGCTGGGCCTAATAACTCTCCTTTGCTGGCCGAGGGCACAGAGGATTTAAATTTGGTGGTGACGCCCCACTTGGCATGGTTGTCACAGAAGACAGCGCAAGGGTATTCGAAGCTGTTCAAAGATGCCGTGGAAGGATGGCTCACAGGGAATCGGTACAATGTTGTTGTCTAGAGATGTTCAGTACGGCGTACAGTACATAAATTTAGTATAGATAATTGACGCTCTTATCAGTGCAAGTGACAGTGACATCACCAATCCGGGGAGGCTTATCTTATCGCCGGCGCTTAGTCAGTGCGGCTGGACTTGTGATCGCCAATATGATTTATCATCACCCATTCCTGCCACTGTCATCTCCCCCTGCTCTTCCCTTACTTACTTGTCTATATGCTTGTCGCTTGCGCTATGGATTGCTGAAACTTTCTGTATCTCAATTGTGACGGTGGTATCTGGAATGCAGGGCTGAGGTGTTAGTGTTGCGGGTGACTCGATGAACTACCAAACTATTAACATGCCGGACGACGCCTCTAAAGGTGCTCAATCGGCGAATATGGCGGATGGGGATGGATCGCATCTCAGAGATTCCGATGCTTATATTCGGAGGAGGATAGATGATGATGATGATGCCGGGTTTCCGTCGGCCTCTGTACCGGAACGCTCGCCGGTCACCTCCCCCCGGAGCTTTACACCCAGATCCCTTCTAGTTGGCCTCATTATCGGCGCTCTCATCACGTTTTCGAACACATACTTTGGGTTGCAGACAGGGTGGATTAGTACAATGGCAATGCCGTCGGCATTGATAGGGTTTTCAGTCTTCAAAGTGCTCTCCAAACATCTTTCTTATCCGTTTACCCCCATTGAGAATGTCCTCATTCAGACGGTGGCGGGGGCGGTTGGAACAATGCCATTAGGTTGTGGCTTTGTTGGTGTTATACCTGCATTGGAGTTTCTTCTAAGAGATGGTGAAGATGGGCCCTCTGGCGACGGAGGCATCGGGGAAGGTGGACCGCTGAAACTTAGTTTCTGGAAGCTGGTTATCTGGAGTCTTGGGGTATGCTTGTTCGGTGTTGTCTTTGCCGTTCCCTTGAGAAAAGAGGTTATTGTTCGCGAGAAGCTCAAGTTTCCTAGCGGTACAGCATCTGCACTGATGCTGAGGGTCCTTCATGGAAGCGGACAGAGCGATGAGAAAGTAAAGGGCAGGATGAGTGATGATAGGGGTGTGGGGAGGGATGAAGAGGAGGAGGCACCTATTATTTCTCGTGTATCCGAGGAGAGTGGTGCGCTACTGAGGAAACCTACCCAAGAAGAGGAGAACAGTGACAAAAAGGACTGGAGGTCCAAGATGCGCCTCTTGGTTGGCGCGTTCGTAGTCTCCGGTGTTTATGTAAGAATTTATACTACCCTCCCGACTTATCTTGTGTTCATGTACTAATAAACGCAGACATTGTTCTCATACTTTGTCCCTCAAGTCCGTGATATTCCCATTTTCGGACTTTCGTTGGCGCATAATTGGTTATGGACTCTCAACCCATCACCAGCATATATCGGACAAGGAATTATCATGGGTCCTTCTACCTGCATACATATGCTCTTTGGTGCAGTGTTAGGCTGGGGTATTTTGTCCCCCTTTGCGAAAGCCCGCGGTTGGGCTCCTGGCCCTGTGGATAGCTGGGAGGATGGAAGCAAGGCCTGGATTGTATGGGTGTCTCTGGCAATCATGCTCGCTGACTCGATCGTTAGCCTTGGCTGGCTAGTGCTCAAGCCAGTTGTAAGGCACGCCCCCAAACTGAAGGCCAAGCTCCTCTCTAGTCGTCTTTGGCGTCGGGTTTCCCCGCAGGGGTCAGCGGAAGCTCATCGCCATGATTATATCAGCTACTCGGCACTGAGCCCTATCTCGGAAGAATCCTCTATACCAAGCCATCTCCCTGCTTTGCTGGCAGGAAGGCGCACTGAAACTGTTGATGAGGAAGATGCCCCTCCATCTCAACTTATCTCCACAAGAACCGTGATCATCTTGCTGCCGCTGACACTGATATTGAACGTTATTTGCATGCACTTCGTCTTTGGTGACGTCATGTCTCCATTACTCTCCAGCCTTGCAACACTGCTGGCTGTTGTCCTGTCTGTAATGGGTGTGCGCGCCCTCGGTGAGACAGACCTGAACCCAGTATCTGGGATAAGCAAATTAACGCAACTGCTTTTCTCCCTCGCAACCCCCGCCTCCCACTTTTCCCGGCGCACTGCGTTAGTCACCAACCTTCTTGCTGGTGCAGTATCCGAATCCGGTGCCCTACAAGCCGGGGATATGATGCAAGATTTGAAGACTGGCCACTTACTGGGTGCAAGTCCCAAGGCCCAGTTCTACGGTCAGATGATCGGCAGTCTAGTCGGCGCCGTATTATCAACAGCAGTGTACAAGATGTACGTGAACGTCTACGAGGTCCCGGGTCCCATGTTCCAGACCCCAACAGCATACGTCTGGATCTTCACAGCCCGCCTGGTCACAGGTCAAGGTCTCCCCCCAATGGCATGGGAAGCAGCCTCGATAGCCGGGGCAATTTTCGTTGTCGTTACTATTCTCCGTATCGTCGGTACGTCCAGCGTCGCCAACGGCGGCAAACGCGACGCAACAGCCTGGTGGCGATCATACATCCCGGGCGGTATCGCCGTCGCCGTCGGCATTTTCAACGTCCCTTCATTTACCCTCGCCAGAGCCATTGGAGGGCTGATCGCCTGGTGGTGGTCTCGAAAGCACGCCAAGGCCCAGGATCCTGAACCTCCCACTCAACTAGCCAACGAGGGACAACCCCAAGGCAACGCCCAGGAGGCAGATACCAGAACCCCCGCGGCAGGACCCGCACCGGGACAAGCTATCAAAGACGCCGATGCTGCATCCTCAACCGTCGTGGTTCTGGCCTCCGGTTTGATCCTAGGTGAAGGTATCATTAGCATCGTTAATCTTCTTCTAGCAAGTGGAGGTGTTCCGCATCTTTAGATTACATAAAGACCATTTCTCTGGGAGTCTGGTTTACATATTCTGTTTCTTTGACAGCGGCATGAAAACAGATATATCACTGCGGCGCTATGTTAGTTTTAAACCGGCAATTTCTGTACTACTTTGATTCTATTGCTTTAAAAGTGAGGGTCCATGTTGTACCACATAGATACATTTAGATATTTGTGGGCTTTGTGCAGCGTGAAAGGTCGAAGCGAAATATTATGAACTACATTAAAAAGGGGAACTATTCGATCGATCATACACTGTTTCTTGTCTTCTTTCGATTTCGGGTTATTTATTTGACATCAACACAGATATTAGAAAGCGTTATACCACCACGGCCGACTGTTTGGTTTAAACTAGATAAGATGTAACGTAGACATCGGAGAAAGATTAAGGTAGGAAAAGTATATTGTAGTAACAAATAGGGTAATCACATAAAGTAATCCAAAAAAACTTCTGGTTTCATGATTCAATAGAAAGAAATCTTACAAAGTTGGGTATATTCCGTCAGGTGAGATATGTGCAGGCACTTGGCAGTGAAGGAAGAGACGTAAGAGAACGCAGACAAATCCTTATGAAAGTAGTCTGCTAGGAAGACGGAAAGATTCATACAGAATATGAGGTAAAGCAAGTGGAGAAAATCAAGAAGAAACAAACTTGACGAGTCGATGGTGGGGACATAACGCATTGTTGACTTTGGGTAGAGCGGTTTCGTTGCAGGAGCACATGATATCATAGCAGACTCGTACATAATAGCGACAATGTCAGCCGTTGTCTCCCGCGAAATCGACGATCATTGGTCTAACGCGAATGTCCAGAGCTCACTGGGGTGGCATGTTACTTCCCGGGGCTGGAGCTTCAACCGGGGCCGGAGCAGGAGCTGGGACCAGGTTGGGGATTGCTGGCAGCGCACCTGATGGAGGTGGGGTTCTAGGAGCAGCCAAGGGACTAGGTCCTGGTGAGCCGGCGGTGCGTGGAACTGGCCCACCAGCACTGTTGCTTCGTTGCCGCTGGTTGACAGGCATCTCCGGTCGTTGCATGCCTGGGGGACCATAAGGACCCGGGCTCATCGAGCGAGGTGGCATTGGACGAGGCCCTGGGCCTGGCGAGAATGATCGGGGAGCAGGGGGAAATTGAGCAGGGGACATCGGGCGCTGTGGGTGAGGACGTGGTGCTGGAGGCCCAGCATAGCCAGGATGAGACGGAGACATGGGGCGTGCTGGCGACATCGGTCGAGCAGGAGACATTGGGCGTCCACCTTGAGGGTAGAAACGAGGATTGGGCATGGCACCAGGAGGCATAGGGCCATTGGGTCCCATCATTGGTGGACCACGGGGACCGGGGCCGGCCCCTGGAGGTGGACGAGCTCGAGGCTTCACAGGGCGCGAAGAGAGACATGAACGAGGGACCACTCCTTGCTGCGAATGATCCATTCTAACACAGAGAGCCCAGCCGTCATCGTACTCATGGAGAAGCCGAACAAGCTGACCGACATGGAGCTCCAATTCATCTTCCATGGAAGGATTGAAGTCCATCTGTACGCGATGCACATTGGTAGGAGCCGGAGGGGGAGGTGGACCATGTTCAGAAGGGCCAAACGCAGGAATTGCAGTGACAACAGCAGGACTAGGAGCAGATACCTCATTGCCATCTGGAGCATTGACAGGGCTTGTCTCCGCACGTTCAGGTTGAGAATCAGTCTTGGGCTCGGAGCTTTCAGGTTGAGTAGGATGATCATTCTCGGTAGACTTGGAGGAAGCAACTGCAGCACTGACAGCCACAGCAGCCACCGCCGCACCGGCGGCAGCCGTTGCCACAGCAGCTTCAGCAGGAACCGGATTTGGAGGTGCCGTGGTCTGAGGGGCAGTTGGAGGGGTAATTGGCCTAGCCACGTCACTGGGGGATGGTGCCTCCGCCTGGTTACTGAAGGGATTCACCGGGTCAGTAAAAGGATTTGAGGTGCCCGCATTCGACTGCGCAGTGTTGGGTGGTGAGGCGTGTTCAGTGAGGTTACGCGATGCAGCGGCGGTTGCTCCAAGTGTTGCGCCTGCACCAGCCGCAGAGAGAGCGCCTGTGGCAGAGGGCGTGAGATCGGGTGCAAACTGGGTCACCGGTCGAACGTTGAGCTGTGGTGGATTGGTAGGAGTCATCGGCTCGAACTTTGGCGGAGGCGGGGGAGGTGCTACACTGCTGGCAGCAAATGCTTTCTCATTTTCGGGCTCTATTTCGTCAATTTTCTGGCCCTGCTTCTTTTTACGCATGAACAAGAAAATGAGAGCCGCGATCAGGCCAACTCCCAGAATTACACCTATCGCAATACCGGCTTTCGCACCTCCTGTGAGGCCTTCAGACCCAGACGCTCCAGGAAGAGCGGTAGACGACGCAGCTGATGTACCCGAAGACGACGCGTGCGTAGCAGCAGCCTCTTCTAAGCCAGTATTGGACAAGGAGGAAGTAGAGGAGGTAGCTGTTGAGAAGGTAGTCATTGCGGTGGGGGTGTTCTTCTGATCGGTCGTGGAAGTCTCTTTCTCAGTTGCCTTGGTAGTCTCTTTCGCCCTAGTCGGCTGTTCCTTGGTGGTCTCAGTCGTCTCGATCTTGGTGGTTGCTGTTGGCTTCGTCTCCACTGCCGTAGTTTTCTTCGTTGGTTCCTTGGTCGTAGTTGGTTCCTCCTTAGTCGATGTGCGACTTTGTTGAACCGCAGGACCAACGCCGGCTGTAGGAGCTGCGGTCTTCGTCTTTGGGTCTTCACCTGTCACATAACCACCTATAGGACCGTCAAAGTCTGCGGAAGCAGTCACATAAACTATGGTGACTTCTTGTCCGTCATCGCCATGGTCGGGACTTCGTCCCTCCAGGCTGGGCCCATGGTTGTGATTATGAACATGGACCATGATTTGTGTCGTTCAGTCCAGCAGAAGTCGAGATATCATCGACTGGAACTCAGGTCAATTGAAGCTCAAACGAGAGAACAGGCGGACTTATGTCGTTGACGACACAGAAATTGAATAGATAGTCTGTCGTCCGTTTCACTTTGCCCCAAGGTCACGATGCTTGGGAAGGCGTGGCAGGTGCCGATTGTATTTGTAGAATTGATATAGTTCGAAAGAATGTATGGGAGCTTGCCCGGTAAATGCACGCGAGTAGATTTGGCTTTGATTCGGTCTCGCCAGAAGAGCCGGCCGCGTCTGAAGGTAAAAGTGGCGCGCAAGCGCGTTAAGGAATGGGGAATGTCAGAAGGATAAAGAATGGAAAGTGTCAGCTATGGCTGAAGAGGCTGGGGCCCAGCCGGCGCAAGTCGATAAATGAAGGACAACGAGCTTCCAGGCCGTAGGATGTGAACGAAAGGAAGGGAACCCAGCGTGCGGGATTCCCAGGCGATTGGGTAGAAAGGAAAGAAGGACTTGAGAAGAGTGTAGGAGGAGAAGAAGAGCAACAACAGACCGGGGAGATTGTGGAAGGGCAGCCAAACATGGCATCCTGGTTGTCCTAACCCTACCTCGCAAAAATTACCGGTAATTACCGCGGTGGGCCCCTTGGCTGCAAGTAAACGAAATGAGATCAAAGCTTATGGAGGTTAATGAGGGGGAACCCACCCAATCAGGGTCTGGTATCCGCCCGTATTGGACTGACCACGCTAACTCACTGAAGCTGGGTTCGCCGGCATCCATTGGTTCCCATTGGCTCAGGCGGGAGATTGCTCTGTACGGTGCCTGGTTATCTGACGGTAAATACGAACACGAGGGCCATGCCGAGTCACCCGCTACTGTTATTCGAGCACAAATCGACCCCCATGCACGAGTGTCCCTGGGCTGAACGGCGGTATGGTATCGTACCGCCGCCAACAACATGGATGGTGCATCCAATCATCGTATCTTCTCTATATTTGGGAACTCACTTTTGTCCTCCCCGCCCCTTTTTTACTAGTATTCCATTTGGCTTTTTCATTATACCTGTTCCTCTGTCCTCGAACCGCATGGGAACAAAAGGAGTTGTCCCGTGCTGACATACATATATCGAGATCCAACAATGCAATGGAAAAAGTGGCCGAGGTCGCTTATTCGGATAAATCTGGAGAAGATCAACAATTGTTCAATCTAAAGGGACCCGTGATTTTAATTAGCCAAGCCTCTCGCTCCTCCGGCCTTTCCTAGTGGCATCCACTTATCCCCGAAAGACGTTGCATTGATCCTCTCTGCTGAGCGCCATTTCAGCCTCGCGTGGCGTATTTCTGCTCTCCTACTCCCGTACAACAAAATATTATGAGGTGACAGGGGCAATGAGGAGATCAGTGCAATTCACAATCCACTTGCATGAAGTAAAGGATGCAAAAAGGGGCAAGACAGAGTTTCTGCAAACCAGCGTTCAAGAAAGATGTGGGTCGCAGGGAGACCTTAAACTGGGGTTCCTGAATCTTTCGTCGCTCTTTTCCTTTTCTTTTCCCATCGCACAAAAACCCATCAGGCAATCATCACGTGAGTACAGAATGACATTGTGTCCACTCGTCCACGTCGAAGATGAGGGACTCCCCAGAGGCGCAGTGGGCATTATATTAAAGGTGGAGTTCTACCGACGGCTTTCCCTGCCGGTCAATGCCGACAGTCCTCGCACTTTATGCGTGATCATCTCTCGATTTTTGAGCCGTCAGAATACTGAAACGCCTAACAGATGTCGGTGGGACCCGGCATGATTGTTAACGCCAGACCGCCGTACATTATACACCATGCTCGTCATATGAACCCTTAACCAGTGGACCCCTGGGGTCTTTTTGCTCCCTCCCCTTCTCTTCATCCTATCTTTCCTGCCCCTAACATGTGATTGACGGTCCCCCATGACGGCCGTTAACATGCCGAAAAATAAGGATGTCTGAGAGCCTATTCAGGTATTAGAATCGGGCGCAGAAAAAATCCCGACGCCGTCTCTCGTGTATCTATAACAGTTCTCCAACTCCTGGAAAGCTTACCTCTGCAGCAGAAATGCGCTGGCTACTCTCATAACACACCAGTTGGCTTACTAAGTCACGACCTTTTGAGGAGGCCCCTCGGAGGATGTCATCCCACGACTTGGCAGGATATCTATAGAATTCCACCTTGCCCCAGTCTGGGAGTTTCTGGGTTTCCTGTTACCACCATGTCAGTATGCGCCACCCAGAATGTTTTCAGCAGGGACATGGTATACCGGCCATATTTCTTCGTCGGGGGTACCCAAGGTCTGGAATATAGATTGGATAAGCGAGAGATCGCTGCCCAGTGGCCCAGAGTCGAAAAGTTGCTTGTGCCCTACAGCAACAGCCTCCGCAACCACGCACCCAGCTGCCCAAAGGTCGAGAGCTGTGCCATACCCTTTATAACCAAACAATATCTCAGGAGGTCGATAACATGTGGTTCCCACGTCTGTAATCTTTTCGTCGGCTGGTTCAGCCTCGTTATGTCCCTCCTTCCAAGCGATCCCAAAGTCTGCCAAGTAGGCTGGCCCATCAGGTGAGTCCAAGAGAATGTTCGAAGGTTTTATGTCCCGGTGTATAACCCCCAGCTCATGAACGTGCACCAACGCCCTAAACAAATCGCGCAAATGAGACCTAGTCTGCGTGGCAGTCAACATGCCTCGTCGCAATAGATGTTCAAAGTCATGTTTCATGAAAGGGAACACCAGAATCAGTCGGCCTCCGTCAAGTTTCAGCGTTTCAAGTAAAGGTATGACATAAGTTCCAGCAGTCTCTCGCAAGAGCTTCACTTCGCACTTCGCGTCGTGTGGCGGTGCTAAAAGATGGGGGATAGTCACTTTCACAGCAACCAGGGTTCCATCCGTGCGCCTGGATTTGTAGATGGTGGAATGAAGCCCGTCAAAATGATGAAGGCATGCCTTGTATGGTCCAATATCCTCGCCCGCAGGCCAATGCTCTACCCCTTCCTGACTTTGTACCTGATCGGGGCTACTAATTATAGGAGCAGCCGAGCCAGTGGCCTCGGCTGCATCAATAGCCTTCTGGCACAATTGATCATATTCTTCCTACGTATAACAAGACTGTAAATATCCGCGGACGCGAGATGAGGCGTATAGCTAGGAGCCCCTACCTTCGATGTGGCCTGATCATAAGCTTCAGTCTCGAATCTCTTTGCCTGAGACTGTGCCTCTGCAAATGCAGCAGAAGATGAAGCACGCTGATAGGCCGTAGTCCTACAGGATAGACATGAGCGTTGTCCAGGTACAAAGTGCAAAGTTGTCTTCTCTTACAAAGATTGGATGGCTGTTAGCCTATCCGTGAAGCCAAGAGCTTTTTTCCAATCGGCCATTGCTTGACGTGGCGACAAGAGTAGCAATCACCAAAGATACTGTCTTAGAGATGTAAAGAAGCGCTACAGTCAAGCCGACTAGAGGTATTTTAATTGATCCTTGTAATGCGCTTGAAGGCAATGATCAATTCACTTTCTAGTATCATGATGTTCTACTCCATACAAGTCAGGCACTAACTTTCTCTTACTAGTGGATACATACAGAAAGGCGGCGGGACATGTGACACGAGCCGCGCTAAGCTCAGTGCGGTTTAGCTCTTCCTTCCAACTCCGGGTCCGCTTTTAGTTCTTCCGGAGTTGCAACCATCGTCATCATAGCACTTCCTCTTCCTTCCTCCACATCCCGCAGCTGTACTGCACGTTTACCGACTTGCATTGGCCTTTCGGACATACATCGCTCTTTCGTTAACATCCCACTCATTTCCGGGCGTTTTTTTTTGCATCTCTACGGGCTGGACTTTATTATGCGCCGCCCCCCTCATCTACTTGTACAGTTGTGATCTATGTGTATTTAATGATGGATCTCTCACGGCAGGAGTATCCAGCTTTGCTTGTAAGCTCGAGCCACTCTTCCACTCCCCATGACCCGATATAGATCTACCGGACTTAAAGATCTTCGCTGATTGATGTATTTCCTTTCTTCAGACCTCTTTGCAGCCAGGCCAAGCCACCGGTGTTCTCAGCGATCGCATTCGCCTCATTAACAAGATCAATGCCGACATCGCGGATTGGCTGCAGGTATGATCCTGGCACCTCTCAAATTCGGTGACAGTAATTGGAGCGAACAAATTCTGATTTGCGCAATAGGAGCGACGCCGCGTCGAAGAAGCATACGCCCAAGGGCTACGGAAGCTTGCGACACGGCAGCAACTGGACAATGGAGCAGCACTAGGGTAAGCTCAGATCATATTGGAGGATCTTACCCAGGTATCAATTATCTAACATGTTGTCAATTGGCCAAATTAGAATATTCCAGATACCATGGCAACGCATCGTCAATGCTACGGAGATGGTGGCCTCGTCGCACGAAACCTTCGCACAGAAGATTGAGGAAGATGTGGAACGCCCTCTTAGGGATTACCACACCAAGAACCGCGAGTTGGCATCTTTACCTGGAGTCCAGAGCGATCTTGCAACTCTTGCGAAGAATCTGGAAGCCTCCCTCAAAAAGGTGGACAAAGCTAGGGAGAAAGGCCCGAAGGGTGCAGATAAGCTGGCGGGTGCGGTTGCTGCCTCTGAAGGGGTTAGGCAGGAATGGGAGTCCAGGGCACCTTTCGCTTTCGAGCAGCTCCAGGCTGCTGACGAGAGTCGACTAAACCATCTACGAGATGCGCTCACCCAGCTGGAGACCCATGAGTCGGATCAGGTTGAGCGTTGCCGTCAAGCAACAGAAACTTGTTTGAATGTGCTTCTCAATGTGGAGACCGCAGATGAAATAAGAACATTTGCCGAAAAGGTCAATGGGGGAAGGCCGGTTGTATTGAGTCAACAGACTTCTCCTACCCCTGTAGCACCTCCTGGACCACCGCCACGCCTTCATGATGACACTGCCAGTCAACGCTCAGAGACCTCTGGTCCCATCAGGACGCCCCCTGGTAAGTACCGTCATTTCTCCTGCCTCGGCTGTTGTCTCTCAAGCGTCTTGGATGTCGTTATCGATGATACTTACTTTCTGTATAGCACCTGAGCCCCAACCCCGCCATAGCACACCCCTTGGCGGACTCAAGCGATTAGGTACCGTCATGAATAGGAGGAAGAGCATAATGCAACCCTCCGGAGGGGCTGCGTTCTTTTCGGATAAGAAACACCGCAGCCCTTTTGCGTCTTTCAAGCGGGGAGACTCTCGTGACATGCAAATCCCCGAGTCACTACCGGATGAGGAACGCCCGGGCACTGCACTGACTACTCAGGAAAACCACAATGAAGTTACACGTATCCCCAGCGAAACCAATGACCATGAAGGCCACGGTACGATGACCTCTATTCCGACCACTCACTCAGTACCAACAACTGCGAACGGGACAACATCCCCAGAGCCCCCTGCTGAGACAGGTATCGCAATTAGTGACTCACACCAGGTAAGCTATAGTGAGATGACAGATGTAACTCAGACCGTTAATTTCATGTGACAGCCACGGGTCGACTCCGAAGGGTTCTCGGAACCACCTCAGACCATTGACGAGATCACTCGTGCACAGAGAGAAGCAGCTGGGTATGGGAATCTCAAATCTTCTGAGATCAGTGGCTAATTAATCTATCTATAGTATGGAGGAAGCTGGTATCAATCTAACAATCCGGGATCAGCCTATATTCGAAGATGAAGATCAAGCCAAGCAAGCAATGGACGATATGGCTAATCAGTTGAGACTGGTGAGTGATATGGATATACCCCTTTAGCGCCTTGCTGACGATCTGTTCACTCAGCGAGCCCAGCAAACTGGCGTGCGCCGCAATGTAGGGACCTTGCGCGGTCGGCGTGACGTCCGTAACACAGTTTTCATTCCTAATCCACCGCAAGCTAGTGATGCTCCCACTCTACAATCTGGGTCTGACGTCTCCATGCCGGTCTCGCCGGGTCTTGCTTCAAAGCATGCGGCTTCTCCTAGTATTGCAACAGAGGACCATGCTCTGTCGGACACGACCTCGGTTCGCTCGGGACACACCTTGCACGGTAGCTCGGGTGCAATTGCACACCCTGATCTCCACGAACCAGGACTGAACGCGTCTATCATTGAAACGGTTAATGCATGGTTCTCCGACGGTGTTGTCACCAAGTCATCCGTCATCGGAGAGCTTGCATTGGCCTACAACGGAACCCCCGAGCCGAATACCACAGTCCGTTTAGAAAATTTCCAGGTGCTGGAGAAGGTAGCTGCAAATCCTCACTTTGTGAATGAAGAGAAGGACAAGGATCTCTCAGATGAAAAAAGAGGACAATACAGCATACATGTTCCCACAATTTCTCGCCCCTCACCGACAGTGGCTTTCAAGTACCAACTTCACGTTGACGCATCCGACTCTTCCGCCTACTGTCCGGTTATCTTCAAACCTGTATGGAACATTGAGGAACACCAGGCTAGCGTCATCATTTTCTATTCCTTGAATCCATCATTCACATCTTCCGCACCAAAAGAATCAATCACCCTCAAGAATCTGGTTCTGACAGTGAACCTGGATACATCTCCTGAAGAGGGCCGAGAAGTGGCCCATGCTACGAATGCTGTCATGTATCCTAATACGGGGGCGTCCTTCCGTCGCAAGCACTCGGCGGTGACCTGGAAGATGCCTGAGTTCGAAGTTAAAGCTGGATCTGACGGCAAGTTGCTGGTTCGATTCTCAACGGCCACTAGTTGGCCAAGGAAAGGGAAGGTCGACGCGAAATTCGAGGTCAACACTCTCGATGCTGGATCTCGACTGGGAATCAGTGCCGCGTTGCCAGCAGAGGCGAGTACGCCAAAGGGATCTGATCCTTTTGCGGACGAAGACTCCGGTGCACATGACGATACCCAACCCTCGCTGACATGGAAAGAAGTCCCTACTACTCGCAAGCTGGTTGGAGGCAAATATGTCTCATCCTAGCAGACTGTTGTGCTACCTCTCGGTGTCACGAGAATAGCGCCTGTTTTTGCACTTTCTACGAACCAATCATGACCACAACCCGCCGGACCGTTCCAGTTTCAAGATACCATCGTGACTGTCTTTGTCGGATTCCTTTGGAATAGTACGCCTTCCAAAAGTTTGTCTGCTGACACTACCTGCCACCATCTTAGCACATAATCTACTCCCACGACTTTGTATGTTACTCTCGTTCTGCCGATCTTTCTCTTCCTTTCTCTTGACTATTTTCCTTTCTCCTTTTGTGCGAGGTATATACCTATCATCTCTTCGGTCCTTTGATTTCGTCACGCTCGCTTGCTTCCCTGTGTCGCAGTAATTTTTGTGTGTATAGCCACCCTCTGGACAGGTAGGCATGGCATTTTGCCTGTAAATAGGTTGTCTCAGTGGGATATTCGGCGCATATTAATGCCCCAAATAACAACAACGTATGTATTTAGCCGTGACGCTTCGCAGACAATTTGAGTATCCACGCAGTAATTCCGTCGCCAATGACTGTTTCCATAAGCCAAAGATGATAATGTATTCCAGACTCATAGTTATCTTCATAGCAGTACAGGATTGATCACTAAATAAACATGGCACACTGACGCCTCTGTGCCGGGGAATCGCTAAAAATAACATACGAAACAGTCGATCTATATCCATTGATATCGGTGATGGAAGAGATAGAAGGAAAAGCAAGTTATGACAATCACCCACCAAACAGGTCAACTACATCCGTGCAGCTCGTGTAGTCTTATCATAGAAATCCAACGTCATTGCAGCCAGGAAACAGGGTATATCTTTTCGTTCCTCGACCCAGAATTTGATGAGGGGTCGAATTTCCATAGCGAATAGACTGTTCGGCCCACCGGAAATCTTCATCGTGCCGTTCTCTCCGTCGAAAATGATTGAATTTTCTTCGCCATTGCCCATGCTTCCCGGTCCGCGGGGGTCAGAAGCACCGTCACCGTCTCCGTGTCTGTAGGCGGGGGAGAGGTGGAACATAGATGTTACTCGTACACGCCCGTTGGGGAGGAAGTCCAGCTTGTATCCGAGCAGAGAGGCAACGGCCTCGCGAAACTCGGATGACTTGGCGGTCCAGATTTCCTTTAGTCGTCGCATGCGCTTCTCCTTATCTGCGACGACTCGCTCCATTTCTTGGATTTCTAACTTCAGGCTCTCCAGGGTGCTAGCGGGGACAGATTTGACACTGTTGTGGTCACCCCGTAATTGGGCAAGTAAGTCACGGTTCTCAGCTTTGAGGGTTGTGATGGTGGAGAGTTTGAGGTTCTCGGCTTGCGCTGTGGGATTGTCACGGAGCTCGAGAACGCGTGTGCGCGACTTGGCCTTGAGAGATTTGAGCTGGGATTTGGTAGCTTCAAGCTCTCGGCGTAGGAGAGTTGACGCCTGTTCAGACTTGGAGAGCGACTCTTGCAATGTCCTGTTTTTCCGGGATAAGATAGAAAGACGCTCGTTCTCCGCATCGCTCTCGGCGGGGGACAGAGGCCGCTTAACACCCCGAGGTTCTGCGTCCGGCTGTTCGGTAGGCTCCCGTTTCGAGAGTTCTTCGTGAGCTTTCTCCAGCTCCACTCTGTATTCATCAACAATCTTCTCCAGATTGGCGATCTGTTCTGACTTATGCTCATCAAATTGACTTTGTTCCGCGTTCATGGTCACCTCTTCCGTGTCAAAAGTCTTCAATTGTGCACGGAGATACTCGACTTCCTTCACTGCAAGTGCTCGCTGACGATCTAGTCTTGCCCGAATTCTGCTCTCGGCCATGGCTCCTCCGTTTGCAACAGTGCTACTCCGAAGCTTTTCAATTTCCTGTCGCAGGTGACTCCTCTCAGTTTCCAAGCTTCTTATCAGCTCGTCTTTTTCTAGAAACTGCGCCTCGATGTTGCCAAGTTTATCAACGAGAGTTGCTTTCTCAATCCGCTCCTGCAGTAGAGCCTTCACAACTGCTTCTGGCGAGTCGATCTCGGCTTGTTCATCGTTATCCTGTAGAAGACTGGTCCATGATGTGCGCTCGTCTTCGAGCATCTGCTTCTGGATCTGAACTGTTCCCAACTCTGATTCCACATCCTTCATTAATTGTAGTTGATTCTCGAGCGATTTCTTCTGCTCTTCCACCACTTCGACATTTTTCTGCACTTTTCGAAGATGCCGCAACTCCGCACTTTGGTCCCGATTCGTAGTCTCTAGGTTCCTTATATGACTGACCTGTTCTGAAAGCTCTCTCTTGAGAACAGCTACCGTCTCTGCATCGCTTCCTTCGGCTTTGAGCCGTATATTCTCGGTTTCCAGGTTGGCGACATCCGCTTCCCGTTCACGCAGTTTCTCTTGAGTGGTCTGTACGTCATTCCTGGCGCTTTGAAGATCGTTTTGCAATTCTGCCAGAGTTCTTTGGAGGGATGAGCGAATGGTCTCTAGTTCGTTGATCTGGTATTTGGACTGTCTCTCCTGGTCCAGCAATTGGGCTTTCGTATCATCGACATCATCCTGCAAGCTCTGGTTCTGATCTTGAAGGCTTCTGATCTTCCGCTCAAGGCCTCCTTTCTCGTTCAGTGAGGTTTCTTGAGCCTCTTTTAACTCTTTGGCGAGGGACTCGCTCTTGTGATTGGCGCGGTGACTGGCAGATTCTGCAGCCTACAGAGACAGATCAGTTAGTTTTGTGGTTGTCCGGCATGCCAATATGTACACACCTGGGCTTTCCTGAAATCCGCATCCGCCTTTAATTGAACATCCCGAAGCTCTTTCTCATGGCGCAGGACCATCAGATCCCGCTCCTGCTTGATATTCTCCAGTTCATATCTCAAAGTATTGACTTGGACACGCAGTTCTTCCTTTTCTGTATCTGTGAGGAAAGTTAGTCGCATGAGATGCACTGTCCGCCACCGAGGATTGGAGCTAACCAGGCTTTGAAACTTGGGAAGGACGGATGGACTGTCGCAAAGGGCTTGGGACCGGGGGGATCGATAATGGTGAGGCGCTCCGTGGCGGCGAGCCCCAGGAAAGCTGCGAATTCCTACTTGAATTCATCTAAAGCCTGTTAGTCTCTCAAATGCTTTAGAATCCGCAAGGCATATTGTTTGTCAACCTTTGACTATGTAAGTGGCGGAGACCAATGACCAATGAATTGCGAATGATGTCATGGAAAGTAAGTGAGGGCCTGGTAGAACCTGCCTCAAGCTCCCAGAGGTGACTCCCACAACTCAACCGATTCAAGCACGCAGAGCCGTACGGAGCAATTCAACATCGGCTTGTTGTTTTGGACGGGCGAATAGAACATCCCGATCCGGTACTGGATGAGTCAGCATTGCTCACCGCCCGCCAGAAGCTCGCGTTCCAGGAAAGGATTAGCGCCGAAATTTTGAAAGATTTCGAATTTTTGCGGCCTCCAAAAGTGACCGATAAACTACTACTCCCCACGCCACCGTCCTCCGATTGTCGCCCTTTTCCCTCCTCGTTTTGTTCGATTCCCCGGGTAGTACCAGACTTCAAAATGGCCAAGGACAAGGTTGAGAAGAAGGACAAGCGCGAGAAGAAGGAAAAGCGCTCGGAGAAGGACGGTGTCCACAAGAGCAAGAAGGACAAGAAGGAGAAGAAGGATAGGGCTTCTCTCGCCGACGCAGTTGAGCAAGAGCTCACTACCAAGGTTCTGGATGGAATTGACGGTGCTGTCGCTGCGGAAGCCACTGCCATTGTCGAGACTGAGGTGATGGATGTCGATGCCCGCCCTGTTGGCGCTCTCGTGCCGTTTGCCCAGCCTTTGGTCGAAGACAAGTCGGCAAAGAAGGTGTTGAAGAGTGTGAAGAAGGGTAAGTTAAATCTTAATTCTAACCCACTTCCGGATGTTGCGCATGTGTCTCGTCCCTCAAACCGAATCAATTTCACTTTTACAATCTTAAACCATCTATGATTCGTATTGCTATATGTAAAGCTTCCATCTCGTTTCAATGACGCTAATATGATGATTCTACTGTAGCCGCCGTGAACAAGTGCCTCAAGCGCGGTGTGAAGGAAGTTGTCAAGGCTCTCCGGAAATCTCCCGTTCCTGCACCTAACGCCCCGATCAGCACTCCCAATGGAGTTGTGATCCTTGCTGCCGACATCTCACCGATGGATGTCATCTCGCATATTCCTGTCCTCTGTGAGGACCATGGCATTCCTTACGTTTTCGTCACATCTCGAGCTGAGCTCGGTAACTCTGCCGCAACAAAGCGTCCCACCAGTGTCACCATGGTTGTCCCCAAGTCGGCTGCAAAGGGTAAGAAGAGTGAATCAGCAGATGATGAGGACTTTAGCGGTGTGTACGATGAGCTGGTCAAGCTCGCTCAGAAGGAGGCCAAGAAGCTGAACCTTTAAATTTGAGCGACTTTGACCTTCGTTATTTGTTTTTGTTATTTTAATTATAAGGCTTCTTTATATTTCTTGTCGCTTGTTATGACTGTACAGTTCCACTTTGATGTCTGACAAGATAGTGCATGTCTTCGGGGTCTGGCCTTTGGGACGTGTTCGTTGGGTTGATCTTTTATGATGTGTCCGTTGCAAATCTGGCGTTCTCAAATCGGTGTACGAAAAAAGGCAGGAAATGTGGAAATAGAAATTTTTCTATTCAACCAAGTGCTCTGGTCATGTAGAAAGTCTCGCCAGTGATTTATACTACATACTCGCAGCGAGCGTGGAAAACGGTCGTACACGTGACACAGGTTCTCGACTAAGCTTTCGAACTATTGTTTTTCTTGCAGATAGCAACACTCCGCAGGTTTGCATTTGCCACAATCTATGTAGATTGGGGGAAATTGGCCGCTTCTAGACTTGGGGCCGTCTTTGTGCTGACCAACTTTCCACAGATGTGATTTGGAGCACGCAACCCTTTGGGACAATGCCAAGTGGACGATAGAGTTGAATCGTGACCCTCAAGCTACGTGGTTTATGCATAACTCTGGCTCTTAAGCATTTCATGTGCTTACCTTCTTTATACTACCTTGAGAAGGCGCATGAAAATGCCTTGGCCTAGCTGGTCAGGTGTTTCATCTACATGCGGTATGATATCTTAGGCATCGGTTCACTTCACCCTGCAAAGTCAATCCGGTCTCTCTGACCACAGTAATATGCCCAACACGTCAACATGCTTATTGGTGTCTATGCGACTACGAATTCGATGTTGTCATTCGCCCCGAACATCGCCGAAAACTTAGCAAACAAAGGACCGGATATTCAGCTTGCATGAGCCAATTGACCCTTGCAGACGGCATTCCTAAAGGGACATTCGAGAGGATTATAAAATGCTGGGTTAAACAGGAGATTTACCTCTCCTTGCTGGCAACGGTGAAAACCGAAAACCTGCACATCTTTCGTCCTCTCCAGTCCTTGAACCCTCGGTTCTCAATTTGTTTTTTATCATTACGAGCACACTATTGCATCATGGCAGAGCAAGCAGCCGCCCCTATTGGGAAGAGGCTTATGGTTCAAGTCATTGATGACGTGGCTGAGCGAGATCCAGAGAGGAAAGTCTGCGCTGTGCCTAAGGGCTCCGAGATCTCAGATGGGTTCTTTGACTTGACATTTAGAGAACTTGCCCATGCAGTGAATTATATGTCGTGGTGGATTATAGAGGCCTTTGGCCATAGCTCCACCATGGAGACATTAACTTATCTCGGAGCGAACGATATACGTTATCTTGTGATGGTAATGGCGTGTAACAAGACGGGCTATAAGGTGAGATGGTGGATTTATTTGATTCGGACGACCTGGTACTGATCAGGGAACTGTTAGCCCCTACTTTCATCGACTAGAAACTCAGATGAAGCACATCTTCGCCTACTCGAAGTCACCAATTGCTCAAAACTGGCATATAGTACAGAAAGAAGCCAGAGAGCGATGGAAATAAAGGTTCTTCGACCTGACTTGACGACCGTGGAAATCCCAGCCTCAAAAGAGATAATCGGGGGTCCTACAACACTGTACAATTTTTCTAAGTCTTTTGAAGAAGTCAAGGATGATGTGGCTTTCATCGCCCACAGCTCTGGTACAACTGGTGAGTAGTGGGAGACATAGTATGGATAAAGGTGTACAAATGTACAACCGTTGCCAAATGCCTAATTTGGTGCAATAAGCCATGCCTCTAGATAATGAACTGATGATATTCCTTAAATGACAGGAATCCCGAAACCTATCCAACTGACTTTTGGCTACTTTGGTGCTCTGGATGCTGGCGCCTATGTTCCTATCACTCCAGGACGTTTCTCGGGCGTGCCTGATCGACTCAGCAAAGATGACGTTATCTTGGCCGCGGCGCCATTCTTTCACCTCATGGGGTTCTCGTTGCTGATCATATCTGTCTTTCACGGTATCCGTTGCGTGGTCGCCCCGGATAAGCCATTATCGACCGACTTCTTGACTTCTATGCTCAATGCAACCAAGCCCACGGCGATACTATTACCACCCTGCATCCTAGAGGATATGACCCTATCGGAAGCCTCTATGGAGGCCCTGTGGAACTTGAAGTATGTGTTTTGGGGTGGTTCCTCTCTCTCGCCTGAGGTCGGTCGTAAGATCAGAGAGCACACCCCGCTGACGGGCTTTATGGGAATGACCGAGGCTGGCTTTATACTGTCCTTGGCTCCCGAAGACAAGGACGACTGGGAGTATTTTGAATGGTGGCCGACCAATGGGATCGAGATGGAGTTAGTGGATGACGACCTGTATGAAATGGTCATCCACAGACATTACGATCCATTCCTACAACCCATCTTTCACACGTTCCCTGATTTGAACGAGTATCATACGAAGGATGTGTACACGCGGCACCCAACCAAGCCCAACCTGTGGAAGCTGCGTGGACGTCTAGATGACGTTGTATCGCTCAGTAATGGGGAGAAGTTCAACCCAGTGACGATGGAGAAGATCATCGAGGGACATGCCTTAGTTGCGAGAGCTGTTGTTGTAGGCAATGGAAGATTTCAACCAGCTCTACTTGTTGAACCCAATTGGAATCAATGGAGTGAAGATATTCCAGTTGGGGACTTGATCGCCCAGATCTGGCCTACAGTTCAAGACGCAAACCGTATCAACCCAGCCCATGGGCGGATTATGAAGAACAAGATCGGGGTGGCATCTAAAAACAAACCGTTCCAGACTACACCCAAAGGGAGCACACAGCGACGACTTGTCACTCGCGACTATGAGAAGGAGATCGAGGATATTTATACAAAACAGGACGATGAAATTTCGGAATATCAAATACCAGAGTTGGCTGATTTGTCTGGAATTCAGGAGTTTGTCCGAAATGTGGTTTCAGACGCTCTTGGATTCTCCTCGTTCTCAGACCAGACAGATTTTTACAACTTGGGACTCGATTCTTTACAGACAATGCAGCTTAGCCGGACTTTCCAGGGCTCAATATGTTCATGTCGGCCATCGACCAAATCTAGGGCTATCACCGCTCAGAATATATATGGCAACCCCACTGTCGAACAATTGGCCAAGTTTATATACGGCATCGCTAGCAATGCGGAGCAGAGCGCGGTATCGCGATCTGAAAAGATTGATGCTTTGGTGCAGAAATACACGGCTGACCTGCCTGAGCGCGAAGCTGATACACGCAAGACAACGGATCAACACACCGTAATTCTTACTGGATCTACCGGTTCGCTTGGGAATTACCTGCTCCATACCTTATTGAACGATCCTTCTGTCACCAAAGTGTACTGCTTGAATCGATCAGAGGCAAGAGATAGACAAGTGAAGAGTTTCCAAGAGAAGGGATTAGAGTACGACTTCAGTCAAGGACGAGTCGAATTCCTTGTAGCATCTTTTGGCGAGGAAAAGTTCGGGCTCAGCGGACCAAAGTATGAAGAGATGCTCCGTACAGTAACTACAATTATCCACAATGCCTGGAGAATGGATTTCAACATTTCAGTTGATTCATTCGAAGATGTCCACATTCGCGGCGTCCGTCATTTTATCGACTTCAGTATACAGAGCATACACCATGCCCACATCTTTTTCATGTCTTCTATAGGAACCATCGGCGGATGGAGCCTCGCCCATGGACCATCGGTTCCTGAAACACCCTTGGAGGATTGTGATTTGACTTTGCGTCAGGGGTATGCCGAAGCGAAGCATATTTGCGAACGTATCTGCCTGGCAGCGTCTCAGAAAGCGGGCGTACCAACAACGCTCTTACGCCTGGGGCAGATTGCTGGTCCAACGACAGAAAATGGCATTTGGAATAGGCAGGAATGGCTACCGCTTATCGTTGCTACATCGAAGGCTATGGGCAAGATCCCTCGCACCTTAGGATCAATGCCAGTAGAGTGGACTCCAGTGGTAAGTTGCGATACAATCTCTCTACCTGAACTTCTCAGCTGACGACTGGATAGGACACACTTGCTGCTATCATCGCAGAGCTTGTTCATACGCGCAGCACAAGCCAGAGGGACCCCGCCTGTTCTGTCTTCCACTTAGTTAACCCATCGGCGACTTCGTGGGAAAGCCTTCTGCCCGCGATTCAGGAGCGTTACAATGTCCAGCGAATTGAGATGTGTGAATGGGTCAATGAGTTGGAGAGCATCACCAACCCATCACCAGCAGAGGTTACGGCGAAGCCCGCATTGAAGCTACTTAACTTTTACCAAGGACTGGTGGAAGGCGAGGGAGCATTGTCAGCTCCCATTGAAGTGGAAAAGACAAAGGGGGCGAGCATTACCATGAAGTCGATGAGACCGATCTCGACTGAATTGATGGCAAACTGGGTGAAGCAGTGGAACTTCTAGTCCAAATTTGTCCACTGTATGTTTGTCCTAGGTGTCAGGGCTTCTTCATTAGCATACATATAGGGAACAGCTAGCGATCTTATTATTTCATACATAAACCTTGCACCACCAACGTTTAAATCCGTAACCCCACATCGAAGACCCTCTAAACAAATACACGCCCTTGTGTCTTCGTTTAAAATCATTACATAAGCAACCTTACCCAAACCCTCAGCCCTTTCCACCCCGTCAATTCCATAAGTTTCTATCAACAGAAATGTATGGGAACTAACGAATAATCCACAACGACACCCCAACACATAATCACTAGATCCCTACGAAGAAAGCAAAGCAGCATACTGGTCTTTCCTTGCAAAGACCAATTCTTACTGTATGGTAGAAAGGCTGGATTTTGATGATTGTTTTATTTCATATTATCTATAATACATGGCCGTTTCTACAGGCTAAAGATGAAAATAACACAGGATACCCGCTCATGAGCTTTTCATTCCGTCCGTCATAATCATTATTCAATTAAGCGCGCTGGTCAGACTGCAGAGACTGGTACCAGTGCTGGTTGTCAACACCCTTCTGCTCCCGGCCAGCCGGTGTGGCGGTAGGTCCAGATTCTACCTGCCTATGCTGCAAGCCCTTCGTGGCGAGACGGCCAGGGTCGTTCTCACCGCCAATATCGGTGGTGAAGCTCGCGTTGTTGCTGTCGTCGAAACCGCCCTCTTTCAGGTTCTTGCCGTGGGGCTTCTTGCTACTGAAGTCACCGACCACATCCTCGGCATATGATGGTGCGGCGCCAGTCTTGGACCGGGTCTGGTAACCACTGCCGCTAGCATTGGCTGTGCCACGCTGCTGGTTCTGAGAGGCATTGGACTGCTGTTGGGTTCCTTGCTGCTGCTTGGAACCAGTAGGGCCACCAACGTAGCCGGAGGTTGGAAGATGGGTGCCAGGGAAATCACCTTGGCCACCGAGACCTTCGGGGTACTTCTCTTGTCTGTCGAGGTTCTCTCGAGCAGCACCAACTGGAGCCGAGGGCAGCTCGGAGGCAGCAGATGTGTCCTTGGTGTTCAGGGTAGACTGCTGGCCAGTCACCCCAAGAGGTTGGGCACCACGGTTTTGAGAGTAGACGCCACCCTTGGTGGCAGATTCGGCAGCGAGAGAGTCCCCGGACACAGGTCCAGAGGATTCCTGGATGGGGTTGCGGTAGGCTTCAGGGTCAGTGGTGACCTGGGAGCCGTTAGACAGAGTTTCACGCATATATTCTGAGCTTGTAAACTTACCTTGGTGCTGCGAGGGCCTTGACCGATGGGCTGTCCTTGAAAATCCATGATGATAGATGTATGTGAAAAATGCGAATAAGTTCGAGAGCTGTAGATGGGAACTGGAAGTAGTTTGAACTGTTGAGAATCGTAGTATCGGAGATCTCTGTTTCGAATGATCTGATTTAGACAGGCTGAGCAGTGCGATAGCAATGCTATATAAGATTGGAATTCCCTGCCATCAACTATGATATCCAGATCATCAACCTGGATGATGTCATTCTGACGGTCAAGTCCACCCTATCCGAGCCCTCAGCGGACGGCCCAACAGGTACGTCAAGGAGCACAGATCCCGAATATCGAGACCCCTTTAGTGGCGATCTAGCTCGATGACAAGAAAGAAAGAGCCCACTTTGTCCGGGATCGTAGTGTCCAGAATCCCGTCGGATGGCCCTCCTACCGCCTATGGTATCGTGTAGCCGGACAAGGTCGGCTCTCCACATACCCTACTACCGGGTTTGGTATGGCTTCCGTGGTCGTCTCGATTGCGTTAACGAATGCTGGATGAATGCCATCTCTGTGGGAACAATATTACCGGACAATGGCGTAGCAACATGATGCAGTGACGTCATCGGCACTGCCACCAACCTATGTTGCAACGAAGGGGCATGATACCATCATATCCCGAGACGACAGCAGCGCAACTGCTTATGTTTCAAATCATGAGAGAAAAGTGATTGACGATCTGATACATCAGTTTCGCAATCATGAATGTTGGGTGGTTGAAATAGAACTTCCTTTAAACTTTTCGATTAACCCGATTCGCAAAGTGACATCTATGGGTCATGTGATCTTTACAAAGTATCAACTTTCAAAAGTAAATAATTTATGTAACTGTGATGCGTCGACTAGAGAATCTAAACAAAGATATATCCGAGTCATGCCGTGGTATAGCAATATCTAAAGTATCTATTCAAAGCTAAGCCAGACTAATTGATCATTTATGAAATTATGAGCAATCTTGGGAGTACACCACTACGATTTTGATATTTACGGAAAGAAGAATAACAAAATTCATCCGAGTAAATACTTTTCATGTGTTGTTATGCATGAATAGCTACTAAAATACAAAGATAATTGCGCTCATGATGTATAAAGCCCATAGACCACGTCCGGTATCCATCAAACTCCTAAAATCATAAATTACCGTGCCAGAGCATCCTTGGGAAGATCACTCAGATTGTCCTTCCCCTGGCGCCCAACATTGCCCAGAGGCTGAGTTTGCTTGTGCAACTCTGCTCCATCTACACGGACACTGCTGCTAGCGGTTGCGGGCTCTCTCAGAGCGCTGTTGCCCTCTCCAGACACAGGTCCCTCGTGGCGGCCAGAGCCAACGTTGACGGTCCTCTGGTCTAAGGAGTTCCAGTCGCTAGCGACTGGTGGCTGATCAGGTAGAGGCAGGTTGGACTTGGTCTGTTCAATCTGCTGCTTCTTATCGGTGTTCTCGCCGAGGAGGGACTATAGAGCGATTAGTCGAGGTTCGCAACATGATCACCTCTGAATTCCCAACTTACCTTCATAGCCGAGACATCCGAGTTCTTAGGGGTATTTCCCTGGTAGGCTTGGGAGATCTTGGATTCAGGCTTGCGAATATCCTGAGTGGTGGTGTGGAAGGTCTGGTCGGACATTTTGTGTGAAGTAGTATAGGAAATTGTTTTGGTCGAGATGGGATTGAAGTTGGTTGATTGGAAATGTAATTGAGAGAGTATTCTGATTCTGATTCTGATTAAGAGAACTTCATTTACCAGAGGATCTCCGGTTACTTATATGTTTGTTGTTGGGAGTATGATGCGCAGGCTGGTGACGTTGTTACACCTATGACGACATCGCCGATGTCCAGGTTCTGGATGAAGCAAAACCCACACTGGGAACAGTACGGCGGAGAAACCCCGAACCCTGGGACTCGAATACATAATTTGAGTATTCTATGATCCAATCGAATCAATGCGCTCTTGGTGGCTTCACAATTGTACCTTTGGCCATCGTCACTGGATGCGCCCTGACTTCATACGATGTAACCTGGAAGGTTGTTATAGGAGAATGATTCGTAAACTCAATGAATTCTATTTTTGAAATTTTATGGTAGTAAGCCTAGGCCTAGAATGGCAGGTCATTGTGTGTCCGACCTTCTCTAATTCAAAGAATACTCTGATGGGTCTCTTTCATCACTCATCCAGTATATATGGACTTCTATGACGCATTTCTTTGTATCCATACTATGTACATGATTGTATCTCCGCTAATATGGTGAAACAGGGGTAAAACATCTAGATCTTTCTACACAGAATATCAAAGCTTTTCCCATATGAAATCATTGAGCATAATGCATACACCTGAGTTGGATCTGGAAAGCAGTGACCTCTGGAGGACTAAAGAAAAGGTAAACGTAGTATAGCAAGACTTACGCGGTTCATTCTAGATACAGATGAGTAATGATTCAACCCGAACTGCTCACGGGCAGTTCTGCGTATACCACAGATTACGTTGAGAATAGACTCGTCTGGCTGCTACAGGACACAAAAGTCATATATTGAGACTTACATATCGACACAGTCAAAAAGGGCTAAAATTGACAAATTTCCCTTGGTCCAGATTAGATCTTCAAGCCTACATCGCTTATTGGCAGCATGAGCTAGTACACAAATTGTAGATCGCCCGTGAATATACCCAGAACATCTAAAATATGATAGTTGTTGATCCACCAGTTGGACAACCGCTCGGAGATGCGGACTTGTAGCAACAATATCTCTTGATGCCTACCCAGCAGCATGTATCATCACCACAACTTGACATACCGCACTCCCAGTGAGTAGCCTTTTCACAACTTCCCGCACAGAGGGGTGCAGTTCCGCTCCAGAAGCAGTCTCCTTGTGAAGGCATGAGATCTGTTCCAGTTGGGCTTCCCATCTGGTTGCCCGGTACGGTATTGTCTAGCTACAATAAGCAAATTATCCATGACGATGCACAGGGTATTCGTTACCAATTGCCACAGTAGCAGCTAGGGTGCTAAAGAAAAGCGAGAGTAGAATTGGATGCATGGCGAAATCGGCTAACCTTGCCTCCATATCAGCGAATTATAGTTATTTCGGCTGGTAAATGTAAGGCTCACAGATTAGTATGTACTCCAAAATAGACAAGGTAGGTCTCTGAAGATCCGCTTGTAGTTCAGTGGTGGTAATCTAGATGTGTAGATTGAAGCTTCCCAGGACTTCGAGGAGCGACAAATGAACAGACTTAAATACGGGCTTCATCTCTTGTTTCATTGCTTCGGTTGTTGAAGTGTTACGTGTGCTCCCTTCGGAGCTGCCATATTCTTGAAACTCCTGTAACACCTGATCATCCAGGTGGAGTTCCCAATGGCTTCAACCCATTCAGCACTGAGTGGCTGAACATCAAGTACTCGTACCACATTTTCTAAGTTGGACTTGGTCTTACGTTGCTGTCTGAGGACCTCTTGGAGCAATAAAATATAGATATGGGGTTCATGATATATTGTCGTTTGAGGGATAAAGAAGAGCTGCAGCAGGATGGCAGAAGAGTAAAGGGGTCTTAGTAGTGTGTACCAACTGCTTATTGAGTATTTTGAAGGGTCTCTCTTACAATTATAGTCAGCCTAAGATCCTTAAATCAAAGAGTGATTGCGCTACTATTTATTTAGAGAGTACTGTCGATTAACGACCACGACTTGTGAGTACTACACATGGCTTCGTTGATATAGAACCACCACAGTAAATAAATATACTTATATATGTTGCAAATGCGCCCTTGGATCAATCTTTGGATACGGTGTATTTTCTTAGATGAGCTGCATATGTCACCACATGCTGTGTTCCATTGTTCAGTAGTACATGAAGTACCACAAGGTAGTTGAGAGCAAGCACTATTCACATGTATGATAAATGTTTAAGATTGGTAGAGGGAAATCAGTAAACGGTTTCAACGCGCTATACCCAGAACAGTGACGCTAGCCTGCCTTAGGACATAAAGGGTTCAAGGTAGACCGCCTTCCGTTACAAGACGCCGGAACTGACCACCAATTCCCCGCTACCAGCGAAATGATTTTTTTGGTTACATGTTGTTAGACAGGAATAGACTCTTATTCTGCCGTTGTGTTTCTTAATTGTACGTTCTGCTACTCAGATATCTGCTAGTATGCCTAGGGATCCATTGATTGGGTTGGTTGGAAAGGTCTGCTACTCTTCGTTATCTCGGAAGATACGCCGCTGACTGAACTGAGGGGCATGTAGCCATCCAGTGGAAAATCGACAACGCTGAATAGTTTGACAGACGCTACTTCGAAAGTTGGTAAGGTTATCTTTGTTAGCTGTGTAGCCAAAGTATATGTGCATTGACCGGGACATTTTCTATATGTAGGGAACTTCCCGTAAGTAAAACCAGAATGCGACTCCGTCATATCGCTCCATTACAATTTACGCAAACCCCAATAATACAAATCTCGTTGTCCCAAGACGTCTAATCTGCGATATTCAGTTTCACTACAATCGATCCTCAGCGCGCCATTGGCTACCTCCAAATAGAATGTGCATGCCAGCGATACGGTGTGTCGGATAAGTGCAAACCGAATTATGGAGGCTGTATAGAAGGAAGACGCTCTGTCCCCATTGAGCTCTTGGACGTTGCAGGTCTCGTTCCAGGCGCGCATCAAGGTCGAGGGTTGGGTAACAAGTTCTTGGATGATTTGCGTCATGCGGATGCCTTGATCCACGTGGTTGATGTTAGTGGGACCACGGACGCAGAAGGTCAGGATATGTCGCGGTTTCGTAAGCGCAAGAAGAAGTATTGGCTAACAGGTCAATGTGCATTTCAGGGAAAGCAACTCGAGGTTACGATCCTTCACAAGATATTGAATGGTTACATTCCGAGATTGTGCGCTGGGTCTTGGGAAATTTGATGCAAAGATGGTAAACCAACACACTTCTGAACCTACGCTGTCAGTGCTGATGATTCTCGTAGGGGATCCATCAAGAGGAGACATATGGCTATAAGTCAGTCGACAATAATTCCATAGGGTTTTGCATACTGACACTTACAATAGAGGCGACGGCCGTGGACACCTTACAAGGGCAGTTCTCCGGTTATGGAAGTACATCAACGATTGTTGCACGCTGCTTAGATCGGATAGGCTTGAAGGAGCCACTTGAAGACTGGTCTGATGAGACGGTTGAGAGGGTTGTCAAAGCTTTTATCGATGAAAAATTCCCCACGGTCTATGCTTTAAACAAAATCGATCATCCCGACGCAGACAAGGTTTTTCAGCACTCCCGTTTGGCTTTGGATCGACGCTGACAAGAGTGACTCTAGAATATCAGCAAAATTGCCAAAATGCAGGACCCTCAGTCCATTGTCCTCTGCTCCGCAATATCAGAAGTGTTCCTTCGGAGGTTAGCGAAGCAAAATTACATCAAATACGTCGAAGGAAGCGAGTTTCTAGATACGCGAGAAGACCTCATAGAGATGGGCGAACCTGATGGCGGTGGCTTAAAGGAGATGGATGAGAAGTTGAAGACGTAGGTCACTCTTGTATTTGCGCAATACCCGTCTTGCTAACTTGAACATCACATTAGCCGTGTCGAAAATTTGAAAGACATGGTACTTTATCGTTTTGGCTCAACTGGAGTTGTGCAATGTCTTTCGCGTGCCGCAGAGCTCCTGGGTCTGGTACCAGTCTTCCCAGTCAGAAACGTACACACCTTCGCATCAGGAGCCGGAAGCGATGCAGCGTTCCGCGATTGTGTCCTGGTTAAAAAGTAAGTAATGCCGATTGCAAATACCCCACCCCATTAATCCATCTGACACCGAGTAGGGGCACTACGGTTGGAGATGTTGCTCAAAAGGTCATGGGCGATATACCGATCTCCTACATCGAGGGCGTTGGTGGTATCCGCGTCTCGGAAGATGAAATTGTGCAAGTAGGAAAACATGATGTAGGTGCTAACTTCTCAACAATTATGCCAACACCGCTCGCTAACCCGCATCCCTCATTTTTAGGTACTATCCTTCAAGCCTGGTCGATAGATCTCATTATTCAATTTATATACAGTTGATATGTCTGGGAACGAACAATGAAACGCTTATGGCGGCTATCAATAGTACATAGCCGAATTCAATGAAGCAGAAAAGCAACCCAACTTACAGATCAATGACCCTTCTGTGAACGATATCAATAGTCAGTCGCCTGGTCTTGGTGGGGGGTATCAACTCTTATCCCAGGAATGTCCTAGCTTATTTCTACGAGCGTAAAGGTTTGAAAACATACCTGAGCTCTTTCATCATTCATTCCGATGATCGGTTCAGGTGCCTTAGGATGCTCCTCCTTAGCCTTCTTCCAATGCTTTAACCCTTCTCTCTCCGTTGCTGCTTGAGGCTTATCACTTCGGGCTACTCCCTCATATTCCTCCTTGTCCTTCAAACCAGAAGAAGCCCCTTCAACAGTTGGATCAGTGTTATCACCCTTCTTGCTTCGGTTCACAGCATGATCTTCAGTTGATGTTCCTTTCCAATCTTGCGTTATGCCACTATTGAGGCGAACCCGCACACTTCCGGGCGTGTGGAACGCCGCTGGCTGCCACACGGAACAAAGCGGAAGTAAGCAGAGACGTGGCGGCCGTGGCGTGAGCAGATGATGCAGCTTTGAAGTTGGAGTAGGGAGTTTTGAGCTGTTCGGCATCTTGGGTTTATGATTTATGACTGGGATTGGGCTTCTCACGAAAATTATGTTGTACAAAAGCAAATATTTCTTATATATGGCACATATACCTGCGAAGAATATATATTTTAACAAATGGAGAGTCTATATGTTGTTAGGCCTGGTTTTAGAGTGCTTCACCTAGACCCCGGTCTTATGACGTCTACATGCTGCAATCGTCCTATTAGCCACTGGCTTCAGGAAACCAGGGCTTAGGGCTCCAATTTGAGACCGCTTTTCTTATCGATAAGGAAGTAGTAACTTGTGGTGGGGACCTCGAGTGGACTCTGCTACCCTTCCAAGCGTATGAATACACGTCTATCGGTGATAAATTACGAACCAGAGGGAATATGAAACGCGAATACCTTCCCATCGAGACACTCTCTGCTTGGACGAGACTCAATGGCATCTCCATCGATGGGGTCACGTTCCGCAAGTTGAGAACCGAAGAAGGCATAGACAAGGGATGTGCGATAGTTGCGACAGGAGAGAAGGGCAATCAGAGCTCAGAGACCGGAGAATCAGATGCAGAGGCCCTCCTTCGGGTTCCCTCTGACTTGATTCTGTCGCTCAGGTTGGTTGAAAACCACGCCAAGTCTGATCGGTATCTGCGCGAGGTACTAGATGCCGTCGGCGATTTCGGAAGAGTATGTCCATGTCTGTCTTTTAGCTAAGTGTTGGGAATTGGCTGGGAGATTAATGAGAGTTTTGTGCTGAGGGCATGGGCTGATATGAGCAGACAGCTAGGGGTGCGATTTTGATCTTTTTAATCCTCCAGATCACATATTCTAGTCCGGATTTCGCGGATGAGCACCATCGCATTGGGGTGTCCAACCCTTGGACTGAATATATATGGTATTTACCGTCTTCAATAACACTACCTACATTCTACACAGTGGAGGAGCGGGAGCTTCTGCAAGGGACATCTCTGAAATTGGCGGTGGATGCAAAGATCGCCTCACTTGAGAATGAATTCGAACTCTTACGCCAATCAACCGAGAGCATATCTTGGTGTCGCAAGCATTGGTGGGATGAGGATACAGGGAAATTCACGTTGGATGACTGGAAATACGTCGATGCCATGTACCGATCGCGTATGGTGGACTTGCCAAGCTCTGGCCATGCAATGGTTCCATGCATTGACATGGCTAACCATGCATCTGAGGATATTGTGAAAGCTTTATACGACGAAGACACAGAAGGCAATGCGGTGCTTCAGCTACGATCGGGGCGGAAACTTCATGCCGATGAGGAAGTTACTATATCGTGAGTTTTGATGTTAACTCTCCTCGCAGAAGCACGCCTCATGGTGATGGTGATTCACAGGTACGGGGACGACAAACCAGCATCGGAGATGATATTCTCATATGGATTCCTCGATCAAGAGAGAAGCGGTGCAAAGCAGATATATCTCAATCTTGATATTCCCGAAGACGATCCATTGATCATGGCCAAGAAACGAGTTTGCAAGGCACCACCGGGACTTCGGTTATTTGATTCTCCTACGGCGGAAAGGGGCAGCACTAATTGGGATAGTCCGTTTGTCTGGTGGCTTTGCGTGAACCAAGAAGACGGGCTTGAATTTGAAGTATTACAAACCAATGATGGGGGTAGAGAACTCAAGGTCAGTTGGAAAGGTGAGGAGATCAGAGATCCCGATGACCTTAAAGCCTTCTTGATAAAGGACCCTCTCTGGGATATCTTCCAACTTCGAGCAGTGGTGACTGTACTGGATCGACTAGAATCTCATTTTCTCATCCTCCGAGAAACTCAGATCATGGTTGAAGAGATCAATCACAATGAGGATATGCTTGCTCTCTTCAGGCCTGAGGTGTATAGTACAATTAACAGCCTGCGTGAGTTGGAGGGGAAGCTGTTGGAGAAAGGAATCGAGGATTTAGCCCAGCAGGTAAGTGATGTAATCTAGTTAGCTCGGTGGGCCACATTGGGCGGACACTGACCATCATCCACACATAGAGACAGGATCTGATGGCGAGTGAGGCGGTCACCGCGTATCTCACCCAACAACAGTCCGATGATGTCGAAGAGGATTTCTCGTGATCATCAATCCATGTATATGCCTTGAAGATACGAGGCCATTTCACCCAATCCGCCACTGTGCTTGGAATCATTAGTTTCGCTATGTTGCTACACAGTATCGAGCATTGTTAGCATCGATTAATCCATACCGAAACCGGAACCTGTTTGAGTTTCGCATTATCCACTACGGAAGGTCGATCATTCAATTAAAATGAACGTGGATTGTGGGGAAACCCCAGTTGGGGTAAGGCAACAGAAAGAGTTGGTGGAGTCCCAAGTTCATGGCTACCTAAGGGTCGAGATCGTGTCAGCGGGCCAGAGGCGAAATTCCTTTTGAGCTGCCTTTATAAAATTCTATGACGTGATACGGACCAGTCGGTCCAGGATTCTGCCCATGTGCTTAGCCCCAGGGGGTTCTTCTCATTTGGCTCTTGATGGGGACCTTCTTCCCAGTCGCCATGTGGTGTATGTACCCGTGTACCAGTTTCATGGGTAGCATGAGCCAATAGTGCGTCAACCAGATGTATGTAATAGTATATCTCTGTGACCATGGATTTCTTCAAGTTGACTGGAGAGTCAGCCTGAATCAAGAGCCTTGACCATAAAGCATAACCCGCCTTATTTTGAGACTAATAATGCTTTAGCGTCAAATAGTATATGCAGGGCTCTATACCCATTGTACGAAATCATTGTATCAGGTATGTACGATGGCTTGAATCTTTCGTTTACTGCGGCAGCGATAATAATAGTGCATCAGGAATTTGTTGAGAAACAATCCCTCAATTCATGACTATAATTGGCCACTCGGTCCTCTGGTGGCTCCGTCATCCCCAGACCCGTAATAGTTTGAGGTCCTTCAAATTAAATCGAGCAGATCTAAAAAAAAAAAAAAAAAAAAAAAAAAAAAAAAAAAAAAAAAAAAAAAAAAAAAAAAAAAAGAGAGAGAGAGCAGTCCCCTTTTGGAAGCCCTAGGCCCACACTGCAGTTTTCTCGGGAAACTTTCGGATTCTACTCCAAAAGGATTGATTCTCCAAACAGGCCCTTGACTGTCTGAAAATTGTGAACATAATGCCTAAAAAGCTCATTCGGTAAACCGGCCAACTGTGACATTTTATTTTAGGGACCTTTGCAACCAGTCATTCTCCACAGTTGTAGCCATTCATCTTCCCAGTGAATGCTAACCGTAGTTACCGTAGTGTGTACCTACGATATCGGGAAGCTAACTATGTACGAACGGAACAAAAACACGCATAAGATCCCGAACCAAGGCGATTCTTAAAAATTCCAATCAATCACAATGGCAGAGACTAAGCCAGTGCAAAGTTTCCTGGAAATCCCCGCGTTTTTCTCCAGTTATGAACGGATGGGGAAATGGCATGACACGGGTTGGTTACGAGGATCAACGCCCTTCGAGATCTGACTGGAGGGCTTGGTTTAAGAGTTAAACTAAACTGAGCCCTAGTGAGCTCGCATGGCTTTTTGAATTCAAAAGGTTCCCGGTATATTTTCGGCGGGTGGCTTGCGAGGTTGAACTCTGGTTCGGTGTTCTTGGACTCGTCAGTGAGACGTAAGGAAGACCGCGGATGCTTCAACCCCGAATAAAAACCGGCGGTTCCAAATCAATTCTACGGGTGTCCTCAACCGTGGTGAGGGATGCGGAGAAGCCCAGGCCATCGGTAACAAGTGAGCGGCTTGTTACCCGGTATTTTATCCTTCCTTTCTTTGTTTTTGGTTTTAAGTGATAATGCGACTAGGGTTTTCAGGGTGAGAACACCGCGCTTCGGGACTCTTGTTCTACGGCTCTGATTTTGATATCGGGTTCTCAGTGGTTGAGGGTAGGCCTGGGATTGTGGGGAGTTAACGTCAATGACTGAATCAAAGCTGGTTGATCGAACTAGGGATCTTCGTTGCTGACTTTGTTCGAAGGGGATGAAGCTTCTCTCTGGTTCGGAGCCATGGCGATCGGCGATGACGGGGAGATCATTAATACACTATGCAGCCCACTTGGGTACTCTCTGGTTTTAAAGGTAGGGTTTATTCGGCGAGAAAGCATACGGAGTACTATTGTCTCGGACTCTCAAACCGTGGTGGTAGGTTGCTAGATTTGATTAAGAGAATGATGGATGAATGTCTTATTTAGCCTCAAAGGATAAGAGTGTTGCATCTGACGGCCTAATATGAGTGGACGACGGCGTGAAGGATTTTTTGAGTCTAAATCTCAAGGATACGTTGCTTCTGGGCTTTTCCCCCTGTTAGCTGCTGCGATGGAATTATTCCCTGCTAGTCTCCTCCTGCGAACAAAAACCAATCACTGACTGTTCAACGACTCTCGCTGGCGATATACCTGTGGTTAGTCCTTCGCCAGTGCTAGGCACGGGATAATCCCTGAAATTTAATATCCCTAAGTTTCATGCTTCATATAAGTTAATTCTTCCCAATAAACAGACGCACACACACACATGAAGAACAATGACCAAATAAATGCGGAGGGGTTCGGGCTGGAAGTCAAATAATTTAGTATGAATTTCATTGAACTTTAACTCTGTTAACACGAACTTAGAGTGAGCGTAATGGTATTACAGATGCTCTCTGGTTGTCGAGTGTCAAGTGAGCAATTGAAAATCGTCAGCGGGAAGTGATGAGTGGTGGAAAGCCCAGACGGAGCTCCACTGGGCTACCCCACAGCCACACCCCTTTGAGCCTGCATCCGTCACCCGCACCTGCGTTGGTAATCCCGGGCCTGCCAATACACCTGCCGTACGGAGAACCACGGACGGACATCGAAAAAGTTCCTTGTGGTTGGCCTTTCCCAACACGCTTATGCTCTCTCCCTTCCCTTTCCCTTCCCCATTCTTATCATCGTCTCCTCGGCTGTGAACCGCCACCTTCCTTACATTTAACAATACCTCCTTATCAAGAGAACTCCGCTCCCCATATCTCGACCCTTTGTTCGTCTACTAGTACGGAGTACTACATACAACGTTACATACACTACGATCGGCTATCCTTTCCTACCAAATCAGTCGGCTACATACTTTCGACCCTGCCGCGCCCACTACTACTAGTACATATTATCACTTGAGTGTCTACATCTCGGCTCACCCAAGTGTTAAATTGAATCCTCGCCGTGTAAACCGCACCCGAGAGCCAAGGAGTAGTCCTTTCGGCGGCAGATGCTAAGAGCATCCAGCCAACATGCCTGGAATTCTTCCGATGAAAGTGATCAAGGTCGGCAACGGCGCCCAAAGTCGTATCGCCCAGGCCTGTGATCGATGCAGAAGCAAGAAGATTCGCTGTGATGGTATCCGTCCATGCTGTACGCAATGCGCCAATGTCGGTTTCGAATGTAAGACGAGCGACAAACTCAGTCGCCGCGCTTTCCCCCGTGGATACACCGAGTCGTTGGAGGAACGAGTACGAGCTTTGGAGGCGGAAGTGAGGGATCTGAAGAACTTGTTAGATGAAAAAGATGAGAAGATCGACGTACTATCTCGGATACATTCTTTCTCTCCCTCTTCACAACAAAGGGCGACTGCCTCTGTCCGGTCGCCGTCTGAGTCGGTCAAGTCAGGCGTGCCCGACACGAATGAAGGCGTCATTCAGGTCCAGGAACCGTTATCGTTAGGTGAATCATCCGATGTCGAATTCGGAATTGCAAATATTCGTGGTTATAGTGGTAAGTTCATTCTTTGGAAGTGGTAGGACTTGAAAGGGCGCAGGGCAGCTAATCCAAGTTAGGCGTCTTCACAACTAGACTCATGGATCAGGGCCGATTGCCACCGAATGTCTCGACTAAGGCTCTAACAACCTCACCTGCCCCAATTTCAGCCTCTCGTACGGACCAGGTCATCAAGACCGCGCCGCGACTTGTGTCTGATCAACTGATTAATATTTTCTTCCAAGAGTGGGCTCCTCTTTACCCGGTTGTTCACAGGCCCACTATCCTTAAAGCCTACGAGCAGTACCTGTCAAATACAGACACGCTGCAAGGTAGTAGACATGATATGGCGCAGTTGAACTTGATATTTGGCATTGCAGCTCTTACGTCAACTGTAAGTCAAGTTTGTTAGGGCGATACTCTACAGTTGTTCAAAGCTAATATGAATCGACAGACGAGAACCAACCAGGACCCAACATTCTTCGAGAATAATTGGTCTCCAGTCCTCGAATCGCTCTCAGGCGATGTATCTGTCTCAACCCTACAATGCTACGTTTTGGCTCAGATGTACTGCATGACCAAGGGTGACTATACCGGCCTTCTACGCTACCGTGGCTCTGCCGTCAGTCTTTGCCATCAGCTCAGACTCCACCAGAGTCAGAAACGCTTCTCTTCCAACGCTCTGATTGCTGAGACACGGAAAAAGGTGTTTTGGTGCCAATATGTGGTCGACCGGTACGTACTTTGCATGCTTAGGAAATTCTCTTCTCTGACATGGTTACAGCTTCGCTGCTGCTTTAACTGGATTGCCTGTTTTACTGCGCGAGGGAGATATCCGTACAGAATATCCGGAGGATATTGATGATGAGAATGTCACCGAAACAGGTTTCCTGCCTACCCTTCCTGGCGAGTCTACTCGCATCTCTAGCGCGATCGCGTTGTTTGCGGCATGCAGAATTTTGAACAAGGCTTTGGAAGATCTGTATCCCTCTGATGGAGGGTACGAAATTCCCATCTCCAAATTGCGTTTGGTTGCAGGACAACTAGACGGATGGGTGAAGACCTTACCTCCTCACCTCCGTTTAGAATTCTCGCAGGATAAGCCTAGCACGAATGTTACAAGTAGCCGGTCGCCACTTTTGGTAAGTTTTGATGCGTCGTTGTACTCAAATTACCGGACACTTGCTAACAATCTCGCCTAGTCTCTTGTTTACTATTTTATCCGTTCATTAATCCATCGCCCGGCTGTCTGCTTCGGCGAGGAACAGATCCGTTCTTCGTCTGCGCTCGCCGTCTCTGATTGCAGCAAGCGCATCATTCAAATTCTTCAACTCCTCGATGAGAGGCGCCTTTGCCTTTCGCTCAGCATCAACCGAAGCGAGTTGGTTTTCTCTTCCGGTCTCGGGCTTCTGTGGCAAAGTATCGGCCTCAAACGAGACAGCAAGCTTATCAAGGAAAGCCAGAAGCTGCTTACTGCGATCATTGATCAATTGGAATCGGAGTCCCCGGTTGCTGCCGCAGAATTCAGTACGCTGGCTAATGCGCTGGTCTCACTGGATGGTGGCAAGCGTGCAACATCCGATAAGCCCCGTGAAATGTCACCCCCTGAACAGAAGTCATCAAGATCTCCTAAAAAGCAACTGCAAGCCTTGAAGGCCCGCTTGGCTGCTAGCGCCGGCTTCGGCCAGCCCGCAAAGCCAGACTCGCCATCACGCAGGAATACCATCTCCGGCGCCAGCCCTCATATTGCCCAGCGTCAGATACGGTCTTCTAGTTGGGCCAGCCTTCCTACCCCTGAAAACCTGCGCTTGCCGGGAGACAAGATGTACTACCCGTCTCATCCTTTGGGATACGATCAAGGCCATATGCTTTCCAGCTCTGTACCCTCAGAGGCTGCCCACGGAGCTATCACGATGTCTGATTGGGAGTTCGTTCTCAGTGATATGGACCGAGGTTATTCTAACATTTTCACCGGAATCTATGGTGGCAAAGAATGTGGTGACGACTCTGGACCTTTCGCATCCCTGACGGCCGAATATGCGCCTAAGCCCGACTCAATGACAGCACCGCTGCCGGGATCCCACAGTGACCTCCAGGGGCTGTCCCCCGAAGCTTGGTCTTCTAGCAGCAATAGCGATGTGGCCCCCACTCGGGAGATGGCGGCCCAGAGCGTCCTGAGTTACTCGGATGAAAGCATGGGCAGTACGGAAGAGGCGGTACCCTACAACGACCTCCGGTTGTCCCCGGAAGAGCAAGCCAGTCTATTGGATCCCTTCCGGGGCGTTGTGATTCCGGCTACGGAGGACGAGGTCACTGAGTTTGGGCTGATGAACGGGTGGGATCGGCGGCTGGCCGTCTGATTTGCTTTCAACCATATACATCGTCGTTTTGGCTTATGGAGTTGCATATCGCTTGATTAGAGTTGTTTGGGTGGCGTACGCACAGATGTTTCCCCTTGATACCTGGAGATTTTTATGGAGTTATGGGATATCTATGTATGGTATGATAAGGCTTACCCACGAGATGTCGTTTGTAACGAGGCACTGGTGAGATGCTTTTTAATGTTTGATATATGGTTCGTCTTTGAATGATTCTGTTACGTACAGTGCGTCGCTTGCCATGTATCCGCCAGCCGGTTTTGTTTAGAGTGAATAATGAACGTGATGCGCATTGATATCGTGCCTTACGGTAAACCTTCCTGTTGGAGGCCGTCGCTAAGGATTGAATGCGGGGTTGTCCAAGATCTTTAAGTTGCTGTAGCCTGTCGCATATGGAAACGCGACGTGCCGTGCATACAGAAGTCGGGTACGACCGGAGTTCAGCATATGAAACATGGTGATCAAACCAAGACCGTAGACGGCGACTCTAGCCTATCCGAATCATGATATGGTCCAAGACGACGTTTCATGACCATTCGACCTTCTCAGCTAGGTACCTTTGACACTTCCTTCCGCCGAGGTACATTACATACTTACCTACTTTGTACTTCGGGATATACTACTAACCGCGAGGTACATACCATACCTGGTGGCATTGACTTAAGTGTGCAGGTATGCCGTCGGGTTGGCCTGATTGGGAAAGCCGTTGCTGATTTGGTGGTGAGAACCTGGGGAAGAGATCATCTCGATGTGTAACTCGAACCAAGGATGTGTTTTCTAGCTGCTGATGAGATCCATGTCTACCCGCATATGACGTCCAATGGCTTGCGCGAAGTGTATCTTTTGATGTAAAGTACAGACACATACGGGGTGCAGCAGCAGGGTCTGTACCTAAGTACTCCTAGTGAGGACCTTGATGGAAACTACCAATGTGCCTGGATTTTTTTTATTATTATTAAAAATGTTTGCAAAGGTCCCCCACGGTTTAATTGACCTCCAAAATAAAACGGAAAAATACTATATTCAGCAAGGTAAAAGAAAATTCTGGACGGTCGCATGGGGGTGCCATCGGAGTAAAGTCCTCCGGGACCCAGCTTTCGGTGTGTGTTGTTCGGACGACGGCCAGGACTACGCTGGTCCGGCTGATTATTTGTCTATGGGGGTGGGAGTTACTTTGGGTAATGTCTATCGCCGTCTAGATTCTTTATAATTCTTATAGTAAGCATTACGGAGCAGATATATACTTTTGAATGTGGGAGATGCGCGAGAGGGGCCAACGCATCCGTTGATCTGTCAATGGTTGATAATCGGGTACTTTATGCATGAGTTTCTGGAGGGGTTTGGAGGGGTAGATGGCCTTTTTTTTTTGCGGAGTAGTAGTACTTCGAATATCAGATCCGGTATCTTTCTCTATGGCCGGGCCTTTTTCTGAGGATTAAGCGTTGTAGATATATCTATTAATAATGACGGCCTTTGAAATGGATGAATTTAGGGTTCTCTTGGGTCAGGAGGCCCTTCGTTTCCAGCTCTTCCGTCATTCAAGTAGTTATTGTTGATTGCCGAATTCGGGGGGCGGAGGGGCACGGGTTGATTCCTGAGGCAGCCACAGCTTGGGATGCGACGAAAGTTTGATTGAATCCGGTGGACTGACAGCATTTGATAGTAGGAGGTTGGGCAAAGCATGCGCGGTCAGAGTGAGTCCTCAATGGCTATGAGATGAGGTAGAACAGGGGATTATTGCCGTATTTAGTTTTATTCTATATTATTTTGATTTTATTTGATTTTTATTTTCGTTCTCAACAGAGATGGAATCAGGAGTGCAGCAACCGGTGAGCATCGCCAGCCCCACCGGAAGACATCATTCCTCCCCCACTTGCCAATCAGTGCGAGTCCTGGACCCCTCCATCATTATTCATTGCCATCTCAGCACGTCCACGGTCCTTTACTCCCTCTCCTCCTCCTCTTCTTCTTTTCTTCTCTCTTTCTCTTTCTCTCTTCTCCTCTCATCTCCTCTCTCATTCTTCATTCCTCTTCATCTCTTCTTCCCTTGACTCTTAATTTACGAGGAAGAACAGGAATAGTAGGTCCCCCTCATCCTCCTTCTCAACCGTTGAGGTGCGAAAGCTAGCTGTCTAACTAACCTTCACCCGCATTAGACTGCAATCATGGGTTACACTGATTTGGATCAATTGGCTATCAACACGATCCGTGTTCTCGCGGTATGCTCTCTTCTCCCATCTCCTTATATGCCCGTCCCCGGTCCTCCAGTATTCCATGCGGAACGGGAGTATTGCAAAGCTCTGGCTATACCAGTGTCAGCCGTATGCTGGATCCGGATGTCCATGGGATGTCTCGCGGTTCATCACCGCCAATGGCAATTACTGCCCCAGAGCCTCAATTCCCTCCTGGTCGTCTTCCACAGCGAAAGCTTGTGCATTGAGACATGAGAACTGCTGCAGAAGCCATTCCTTGTTATTGATCGGTTGACATCATACTAATATCATGATCGGTAGGTCGATGCCACCTCCAAGGCCAACTCCGGTCACCCCGGTGCCCCTATGGGCATGGCCCCCGTTTCTCACGTCCTCTTCAACAAGTTCATGAACTTCAACCCCCAGAACCCCGACTGGGTCAACCGTGATCGTTTCGTTCTCTCGTAAGTTCCTGGTGTTGTTACTCCCGTAAGCTTAAGATTCCTTGCTGATAACTCCATTTCAGTAACGGCCACGGTTGCATGCTCCAATATGCTCTTCTCCACCTCTTCGGCTACCAGCTCTCCCTGGATGACCTGAAGAACTTCAGAGTATGTCTCCCAACTGAAATCCAGAGTTTAAGGGAACTAGACGGTCTAACTGGAACCCTCCCCGTAGCAACTCGACAGCATCACCCCCGGTCACCCCGAGGCTCACGACACCCCCGGTGTTGAGGTCACCACCGGTCCCCTTGGTCAGGGTTTCTCTAACGCTGTTGGTCTGGCTATTGCCCAGGCTCACACTGCCGCTATCTACAACAAGCCCGGCTACGATCTCATCAACAACTACACATACACCTTCTTCGGTGATGGCTGTGCTATGGAGGGTGTTGCCAGCGAGGCTGCCTCTTTGGCTGGTCACCTGAAGCTTGGTAACCTCATTGCCATCTACGATGACAACCATATCTCCATCGGTAAGCGATCAAGTCTCTCTATTTTCTTTGTGGCAGTTTTGCTAAACGTGTATCCTCACAATGAACAGACGGTGACACCAAGTGTGCTTTCACTGAGGATGTCATGAAGCGTTTCGAGTCCTACGGCTGGCACCACGTCTGGGTCAAGGACGGTGATAACGACCTTGACGCCATTGAGAAGGCCATCCAGGAGTGCCGTGAGGTTAAGGACAAGCCCTCCGTCATCCGTCTTACCACCACCATCGGTTTCGGCTCCAAGCTGCAGGGTACCGGTGGTGTTCACGGTAACCCCCTCAAGGCTGATGATGCCGAGAGTGTTAAGACCAAGTTCGGCTTCGACCCCAAGCAGAGCTTCGTCGTCCCCCAGCAAGTCTACGACCTTTACCACAAGACTGCTTCTCAGGGTGCTGCTAAGGAGCAGGAGTGGAACCAGCTCTTCCAGAAGTACGCCGCTGAGTACAAGGATGAGCACGCTGACCTCACTCGTCGTCTTGCTGGCAAGCTTCCTGAGGGTTGGGAGAAGAGCCTGCCCACCTACAAGCCTACCGACCCCGCTGTCGCCTCCCGTAAGCTGTCCGAGGCCGTCCTGGAGAAGGTCCACAGTGTCATTCCCGAGCTGCTTTCCGGCTCTGCTGATCTGACTGGTTCCAACAACACCCGCTGGAAGAATGCCGTCGACTTCCAGCCCCCTGAGTACAACATTGGTGACTGGTCCGGCCGTTACCTCCGCTACGGTGTCCGTGAGCACGCCATGGCTGCTGTCATGAACGGTCTTGCCGCCTACGGTACCGTCATCCCCGCTGCCGGTACTTTCCTGAACTTCGTCTCCTACGCTGCCGGTGCCGTCCGTCTGTCCGCTCTCTCCCGCGTTCGCGTCATCCACGTCGCTACCCACGACTCCATCGGTCTGGGTGAGGACGGTCCCACTCACCAGCCTATTGAGACCCTGGCCCACTTCCGTGCTCTCCCCAACTGCATGGTCTGGCGTCCCGCTGATGGCAACGAGACCAGCGCTGCCTACTATTCTGCCCTCACTTCCAAGCACACCCCTAGCATTCTGGCCCTTACCCGTCAGAACCTGCCCCAGCTTGAGAACTCCAGCATTGAGGCTGCTCTGAAGGGTGCCTACGTCGCCATCGAGGCCCCCAACGCTGCCGTCACCATCATCTCCACTGGTTCCGAGGTCAGCATCGCTATCGAGGCTGCCGCTTACCTCAAGGAGAAGCACAACGTTGTTGCCCGTGTTGTCTCCGTGCCTTGCTTCGAGGTCTTCGATGCCCAGGACAAGGAGTACAAGCTCAAGGTTCTCCCCGACGGTATCCCCGTCCTCTCCGTCGAGGCTGCCTCCACCATGGGTTGGGAGCGCTACGCTCACGAGCAGTTTGGTCTCAACCGCTTCGGTGCCTCCGGCCCTTACAAGCAGGTCTACGAGGTACGTTCCCTATTCCGATTTCTATCATATCTTGTTGACGTGATGCTAACTTTGCTGTCCTACAGAAATTCGAGTTCACCCCTGCCGGTATCAGCAAGCGCGCCCTCGCTACCATCGACTTCTACAAGGGCCACCCCGTGCGCTCTCCTATCAACCGTGCTTTCCAGCAGATTCTGTAGATGTCCTTTGTTAGCGTGATGATGCCTTTTACGTTTTGTTTTAATGAATCCATGGGACGATGTTGATTTCTGGGAGCAAAATACCCAGGGAGAAGTCCTATGTTTGATGATTTCGTTTGAAAATTCCCTTTTGGTAGATTTAGAGGGATGAGGTCAAAAATGAAGAATACCATGTTTATGTTCAAGTTCACTTATTCCTATGCGTATTATGTATGTAGTGGCTCAATTAAAAGCAGACTTGAATGATGATTACTGTTACCTCTACATAGAAGATCTGAAGGGCAGCACACTACTTCATACAAAAATACTTTTTATCCTTTATTGCTGTATGCCACGGACAATGCTGCCCGTCTCTGTAGAACACGAGGAAGACATCATCACAAAGGAGGGAAAATGTAATAAAGACAAAGAAGAACAAAGAGAAAAAACCCTTGTTGTATTCATCATCATCAAATCATCATCGATTATCCGCCACCATGGCGCCTCTAGATGGAAAACAGCGTCCGCCCCAAACAGATTTCATTCAAAGGGTGCAAAGGACCAATATCAATCTAGTTGTTCAGAGCCTTACGGGCAAAGTTGGGCAGAACGAAGCTAGCCCGGTGGATATCCTGGTTGTAATAGCGGCAGAGACGCTCCTCCTCCTCGGCAGACCACTTGCGGACGGGCTCGCGAACGTTGCGGGTAGCGTCCTTGCAGCAGACCATGAAGCCAATCTGGCCGGAGGGGTAGGTGGGGATGGTGGTGTAGGCGTATTCGGCGACGGGGAAGACCTCCTTGCAGGCCTTCTTGAGGTCGGTGATCAGAGAAAGGTGCAGCCATTGGTTCTCGGCTGCAAGTGTGAAAATGCTAACCCAAACCGATTCCCGGAGGATTCGGGTGGTTTGGGGCGTAATCTGGTTAGCTTCATGCTCGTCTGGTTCATTTATGGGTGATCAACGTTGAGGGGTGGGAAGGGGACAGGTAGTACAAAGGAATAGGGAGACAACAGATAGGGGAGGGAAAGGGGGGAAGAAATGAAGAAATGAAAACGGAAGATTTCGGGTAGCCACAGGCAGACAGAGAGAAGGAAAGGCGACGAACAACCTTGTGTGGTGATGACACCTCCCTCACGGAGCGCATCGCGCAGGAGCTCAAAGTAGGGCTTCTGGAAGAGGCTCTCGGCAGGACCCTCAGGGTCGGAGCTGTCAGTGATGATGACGTCGAACTCGTTCTTGTGGTTCTTGAGGAACTCGAAGCCATCACCGACGTGGGTCTTGACGTTAGGGTGCTGGAAGCCGATGCTCATGCCGGGGAGGTACTTCTTAGAGAGACGGATGACGGCCTAGAACAACAAAGTAAGTTCAAGTTTACCCAGAAATGAACCCAGGGCTGTATACCTCATCGATATCGCACAGAATGGCCTCCTCGACGGTCTCGTGCTTGACGACCTCACGGAGGACACCGCCATCTCCACCACCGATGACCAGGACCTTCTTGGGGTTGGGGTGAGAGTTCATGGCGAGGTGGGTGATCATCTCCTGGTAGCTGCATTTAATTAGTCGATGTGCCTCTCAACCCGTGGGTGTAAAGTTTTGAACGAAGGCGACGTACGAGAACTCATCGCGCTCAGTGCACTGGATGACATTGTCCAGGACGAGGACAGTGCCGTAGTCACTGCTCTCGAAGATGAGGACATCCTGGTACTTGGACTTCTCGTGGTGCAGGATCTGGTTGACCTTGAGGTTCATGGCCTGACCAGGCCACATGCTGGACTGCTCGGAGAACCAGCCATCTGGGCAGGAAAAATGATGTTAGCGAATGCATACCAAGCATTAAAAGGGATGAGCATCGCTATGCGACGCAATTGAAGTCTTCATTCGATCCAATCCGAGATTTGGTCACCGTCGAGCGGGATGTTGAAGCCATTGACAGGTGTAGCTTGGTGATGAGGCGGGGTATCTCTGGATTGATGGAGGGGCACATTTGGTGACGACGGTGATCATGAAGAAAATACGTACCCTTGATAGTGGGGTGAGTTATCTCGGACATGGTGATGGAGTGGGAGAAGTGCGAACGAAAAAGGGTATGAGAAGCACGAGAAGGTAAACGTCGAGAGAGGGAAGAAGAGAAGGAGGAGAAGAGGAGAGAAGAAAGAGAAAGTGAAGAAGATGCGCGCGCCAAGTGGGGGTTCATCGATATGTGTATTTGGGGTATTGAACGTCGTGTATTGGGGTTACATCCGTATTTTTGAGAAATTTTCTCCTCTTCCTTCCGGTTTGGGGGTGGGGATTTGGGCTCTGTTAACGGAGGGCTCGCAAACCCATACAAGTCGTTTCGTTGAGAATACTTCCGTGCAAGTCAGGGCAATTGATGGGTCAATTGAGCCACTCTCGCCCTTCCCCAAAGACTCAATTGAGCATAGTCATTGGTCCATTTGTAGAAATGAAGTAAGAACAAACTGTTAGCGGGCCCATCCTATCTTACCCTAAAAGGGAAAATTATCGCCGACGGGCATCAGACAACTACTTGTACATTGATAAGACAAGCATACAAGTAACAAGAACAGATGTACGGTAAAAGGAGGGCGAAGTCAGAATATCGCCCAACTTCTTAAAGCAAAAGTGTGGGTAAATTAACTACAAGGCTAGTACAGAAGCACAGTCCCAGCGATTCAACTCGAGCGACTCTTGACAGTAATATCAGTCTAGCATACACCTTGGGGAACCACTTCCAGCCCTAACAGTTAGCCTTACAGCTTCTAAACAAAGATGTTTGGTTCCTGCATACCAACCCTGGGAATCTATGCAGACCCTGGGGTATATCTGTGTGTCTATCCACTGATATGGCCTTGTTTGTCGAAGTTATCAAAGTATACAACCCATGGCATACAAGGAGTCGCTTCTCTTATGCCTTAATATACCTATTACTTTCTACAATGACTGACCTTTACATTACATTCCATGCCTGGTATCATCATGCACAAAAGCCACCAAACATGACAAATTATCTCTATCCCCTCTATGTGCGTGTATTTAGTTGACAGTCTGTGTGAGTGTAGTCAATCCATTCACTGTCAGCGTAACCCCAGAAACTGATCCAACTACAGGTCAGTCAACACCCAGAGCCTTATCCCCACAAAACAAACACCCGCCCATACTTCCAATGCACACGCACTCACACCCATGCTCACCAAAGAGCACACCTCTTTTCTTACAAAAGCCACGCACATAGTTACAAAATGAGTAACTTGTCAACAGACTCACCAACCATCCAGGCAGATCAGCATGCAACTGAAGTCCTTCGACTATTCCGCGCCAAATATGACGCTTTCTACAAGGAAGGCGCGCAAAGTGCAGCCCGTCAGTTAGCCTCTGAAACGGGTGTGTGTATGTCCCAAAGAGAAGGGTCAAGATGCCCACTAACAGAAAGAATTCAAAGACATGACCCACTTCAGCCAGACGGCAGTTGAGTTCCTAGCCACCTTGATATCGTTGCCAGAATCCATCAAGTTTAATGTCAGAGAAGGCCTCGTGAGATGGATGTCAGACATTGTAGAGGGAAGACGCAAATCCACCACAGTGGTGCCGTTCCTCGAGATCCTGCTGGCCCCAGAAAAGGGCAGAAACAACGGGGTCGACAGTTTTGACATCTGGAAGGCAGTGAACAGGCACTTTGGGAACAACAATACGAAGCTCATCTTTCCGTTCCTGGGCCTTCCCTCAGAGCTCCGTCTGATCATCTACGACCACTACTTCGAGCTCGAAACCGCCAGCGCCAGCAAAAAGCTGATCGATCATGTAGTTCCCCGTGGCGAGAACCGGCTCTCTCTGATGGCTACCAACCATCAGATCTATACTGAAGCTCGCAAGGTTCTCTATACGAACTTCGCCTTCGGGCTGAAAAGCGTGCCTCATCTGCGGCAATTCTTTAACAATCTCAGAGGGGACAGCTACCAGATTATCCGCAAGTTGCAGGTTGAAGATGTGTCTGCTGAGCATGTGAATGCGCTTGCACAGATACTATCAGGCCATGGATTGCTGGGCGTTCGGTCTCTTAAGTTGGTAGCAACTCCAAACTATATGGGCCCAGCGTCTCTCAGGGCCCAAGTCGGAAGAACGAGAAAGATCCCTACGTACCCGGTGTTTAAGAAGAAGTTGCGCATAGCTGTGGACAAGTTGTTCTATCGCAGTGGTTTTTCAATTCCTAAGCCGCCCACACTTATCTTGATTGATTTCCGTAAGGATTCAAGCTGGGATATCGCATTCCCTAAATATTGGGCAGTCGTCGTTACTTGGAAGGAATAGTCTAGCGCTGGAGTGAGATACTGAGAGTCAGTAGGTCTGTCGTTGTTTCTGTTGGCATAGCAGCAATAGGTGTTTTAGGACAGGCCATTTGGATTGGCAAGAGTCATAGTGTACCTTTTGACAGTAGCTACATCTCAGTTCTGCCTAAAAGTCACATAGAGTCCAACAGCATGCTTGTTTTTCTTTATTTCGTTCGACTTGTGGAGCTGTTCATATGAAGAGATTGACAGACACTCAATGTAAAGGGGTGCTAGTAGGGAATCTCTAGCACATCATATAAGAAACATCGATATTCCTGTGTTTGAGAGAGATTCCCCGAAGCAGCCTCTGTCTTGATCATCTATGACAATGTGTTTTGTAGTAAATGAACTTTATGGTAGATGTTCAATTAGTGAGGTCGACCGCCTTCCTATATCGGTCTAACCAAAGCGACTCTGTTTGAAGTCTGGGTGAATTGGCCAATCATGGCCAGTGGATCCTATGCCAAATTCAAGTCATTTGATTGGAGCTTCTCCCAAATCCAATGCCAACAACCTGCCCACATATAAACATCGTAGTATCTACCTGCCAGGCGGTAAAGTACTCGTCTCGAATTTCTCGTTACTCGCGTAAGCATAAATATAGCATTCTTGCCAGATCTGAGGCACGAGGAGCAGATCCACACCGGATTACAGTCGCAAAAGTCATACGCATCGTAGCGTAATAAAACCCAAGAGGCCAAGGTCTGACAATAGAACACACAGCGCATTCGATTGCTTCTAGTTACTGTACATTGCAATCCCACTCCTTTATCCTCCAGTTTGAAATCATAGCACCAAGTTATATAACCATTTACTCGTCACCACCCTCAGCAAGGCGGCCGGGCTTGGAGTTGAGGTAGTGGTTCCTAAACATCCAAAGTTAGTCACTAGTTCGCCTGTAACCAATAGCCAACTGTGGATTGACTGAAATATCAGCACGTACTTCTCAACAGCCCAGTCCATGGCGGCGTAGGCGATGATGAAAGGAGGGGCGACGTAGAGAATCTGGTGTCTGAATCTCCGGAAGGTGTTGAAGAAAGCAGCGTGGGCGGTACCAGCCAAGGGGCGCTGACGGTTGGGAGACAGAGAGTAGGAGGCGATGCGCTGGGGGGTAGGGCAACCTAAAAAGGATATGGGTATCAGTATTGACGTCGGATGGAAATGACATCTCGCGTCTCTCTGTTGGCAAGTTCGCAACCAATGGAATTCATATTTTGAATTTCCCAAGCTTTAGTCCTGGAAGGCGGCCTATTGATCGTGCTCGTGTTCTTCGAGATAGCGCGAGATTTCTCACTGCATGGGAGGGCCGTGGGACCTACCGAAACCACCCCAGTTACCCATGAAACTGTTCGGATCATATTGTTAGCCATTTCTGTCTTCATTATACCCCTCATAGCATCAGATACAGAGCCGTCCTGGCGTGAATTGCAAAGCACAGGCCGGTCTAGTTGAAACGCACCCGGCCGGAAGACCCAGGGAGCAAAAGCCCACCACGACACCAAATGCAGGGGCTACTTACACTCCGTTCTTAGGATCCACGTGGCCACCCATTTTGAAAGAATGCGTCTGGCAATTGAACGACTGGAAATGCGGAGAAGGTGGAACGGACGAGACTAAGGGCAAAGAGAAAGACGAGGTTCGAGTTCGGGCCAAAACGGCGAAGTTGGGAAGATGAGGTTTCCGTCCGGCACTAGTCCGCATCGGGACAGCATGCGAAAAGCCCGACATCATCAAGTCAATCCAACCCTTTGAAGCTCCTCATCGACCTATCATTATTGAACAGTCCCCCTTTCACCATGGCGGCAAACGGTCTCTACAACATCTACCGTCTGGCTCTCCCCGTCGCCACGGGTGCCCTGATCTTCAACAACTCTATTTACGACGTTCGTGGTGGTTCCCGCGCTGTCATCTTCGACCGGTTGTCTGGTGTGCAGGAGAAGGTCGTCAACGAAGGCACCCATTTCCTTATCCCCTGGTTGCAGAAGGCGATCGTCTACGATGTTCGGACTAAGCCCCGTAACATCTCCACTACCACTGGAAGTAAGGACTTGCAGATGGTCAGCTTGACACTGCGTGTTCTCCACCGTCCTGAGGTCCCGAAGCTGCCGGCCATCTACCAGGTAAGATCCATGCCCAGGAGATCGATATGATTGTTGGCCGGTATTAATGGCCCCTTAGTCGTACGGTACCGATTACGATGAGCGTGTTCTCCCCTCTATCGGTAACGAAGTCCTCAAAGCCATCGTCGCCCAGTTCGACGCCGCCGAGCTCATCACCCAACGTGAAGCTGTCTCGAACCGCATCCGCACAGATCTCATGAAGCGTGCAGCACAGTTCAACATTGCATTGGAGGACGTCTCGATTACACACATGACCTTCGGAAAGGAATTCACCCGCGCTGTAGAGCAGAAGCAGATCGCCCAGCAGGACGCCGAACGGGCCCGTTTCATCGTCGAGAGAGCCGAGCAGGAACGTCAGGCCAACGTTATCCGTGCGGAGGGTGAAGCCGAGAGTGCCGATATCATCAGCAAAGCTGTCGCCAAGGCCGGTAGCGGTCTTATCGAGATCCGTCGTATTGATGCCAGCAAGGAAATTGCGCAGACACTATCGACCAACCCGAATGTCACATATCTCCCTGGTAATGATGGCAAGGAAGGTGGTAAGAACACCAGCCTTCTTCTGGGGCTGAGGAGCTAAACGCGATGTCCGGGTGTCGTTAATTTTCCGATCTACTTTTCCTTCCACTCTCGCCTGAATTGATGTTGTATTTTTTTGAACCTTCCAACTGGACGGATCTATCTGGGCGTGCATGATCTCCCCTGGCGAATGATGTTGTATGGCTGGCTTCACTTTTCCTTTTACTCTTTACCCCTTTCGACCAACTTGTAGCAATAGCATATCCATTCCTCTCTACATATAATCCAAGTTCCTCGGATGAGACAGCTTGCATTAAATAACGGTAATGGTATCATTCTGTGAATCAAGCAATCCTAATCTCACAATAACGTCCTTTATGGCTTATTCCCGCGAAACTTCCCTCCCCTAATTAGCCAACCTCCGATAAATATGCACCTGATACCGCATATCCTCCAACCCAGCCCCTTCACCCACATCATATCCCAGCCTACCCACATCTCTCCTCCACCACCGCGAATCTTGCGAATAGATCTGCTCCCACTTCCCCTCCGCAACAGAAAGAAGTGTATGGTCCAAGAGGAACTTCATAGGATACTTCCGTTCCTGTACCGTAGCAGACTCCGCGCCGTCCTGCGCTTTACCCTTGCCGAGTTTCAACGTGGAATAGCTTCCCGGACTATCCACCACAAGAAGCAGAGTCCCCGGTTGTACGAGGTCTGTCGTGCGGAGCAAGAAAGCAGTTGCTTTCGCCATAGAAGTAGAGAAGAGCTCATTCAACGTGAACATGAGCGTCACCATGACGGTAGTATTGCCCTTATCCGAAGGGCCAAGATGGAGAAGATCCTTAAGCTGCTCTTCCGAGATAGAAAGCACATCCGAGCGTCTGAACCTAACCGCGAAGCCATCGGCATCCTCGCTCTCTTTCTCACCCTCACCACCCTTCCCTAGATTCAACAAAGGCGCCGGATGGGATCTCGACCCCATCACAGCCGGGGACCGAATAGTATACGACAGTCGATCCACAACGCTCGACCAGTCCGCAATATCAACAGCCGTCACCGAGAGAGCAGGATGGCTTATCGATTTCGGCACAGAGCCCTGGCCAGCAGCAGCAGCAGCAGCAGCACGATCACCCCCATCCAAAGAAACGCCGGCAACACCAGCAGAGAGCGCCTCCCCCTTCTCAACCTCATCCACCAAGTCCCTCCAAGCAGCCGCCAGAGCAACGATCTCGGCGCCGGCGCCGCCCCCAATACAAACAACATGATTCGAACCAGTAGAAGACACCAACCCACCATCCTGCTGCATCAGAACCTTCAACAAGGACCTAAAAACCCCCGCATAGCCCAACGCCCGAGACGCGCTCCACCGCAGCGCATAAGCCCTCAGCAGATCCTCATTCGCATCGGTAAACGCGGAGTCAAAGTCCCGATTGTAAAGATGCGACTTGATAGTCTGGATCAGGGTCTTGATATCCAACTGCCGAGACACTGGGGTACTGGTAGCATCTGTAGTAGTAGTAGGAGTAGCATCATCGCTGCTACTCTCATTTTTCGCTACATTCGCATTCCCACCGTACACGTCATTCAGCAGAGCCGACCTGAACACATTCAACAGTAACTGCTGTAGCGTCACCGGAATGGTCGCCGAGAGATCGATCTGGTTGGTCTCCTCGGACTCCGTCTGCGGTTTGGCCTGTCGTCGAGGGGCCTGCGCCGGCTTCTTTTTCTCCTTCTTGGTGTCGCGGGTGTGTTGCCCTTGGGAGGACTTTTTGGGCATGGTTGAGCGTGGTGGTCCCATTGTTTGTGTTCTTATGTTTTATTTTCTTCTTTTTATTTATTTGAAGGACTTGGTATCGTTGATGGCGTTTGCTGAAGAATTGTATTTTTTTTGGGTTCGGCTGTGGGGCACCGATAAAGATTTATATAAATGGGGTGGAAGAGTTATGACAGACTCTTCGGGACAATGTATGAGAATTTGAGATAGTAAATTTTCTTTGTGATATTAGAGAGATTCGATCTAGATGGATTGTCTTGACTTGTTGACTGTAATTTGGTTCAGAGGTGCAGTCCAGTCATTCTCCTGTGCTGCATGCCTGAGATGTAAGGCAATAACGAATTTGCCCTCATTCTAGTCCCCACAAGTGATCAAGTTGCCTTGCTTCAATGGGGAGTTTCTCTTCATCGTCCCAGAATTTCCAAACGCTGGCATATCCACTGCAATGGCAGATTGGATCAAACCAGCAGAGTTCTTACATCTGAGGGCTCCTACAATGAACGTTACTTAATACTATGCAGTTAATGCTGAAAATAACAAGTAGTAGTATTGACAGAGAGTGTAGATTTGATACTCTATTCATAGCTTCCAGCTCGTAGACTCGGATGCCAATAATCAGAAAGCCTCACAGTATATTGACCGGCGCCTCCAACGGTAAGCCGTCAATTTAGAAAGATGGAAAGAAAAGATCCCATATTAACATGGCCAAGGGCATGAATACCACATGGGTCAAATAAAAGACTAACAGGCAAAGTGCACATCATATGACCGCCAAAATGAATCAGAATAGGCAAAGAAGAAAAAAGAACGGAAAAAAGGCTCTGAACGATAAACGAAAGGCAATCAGAGAAGAATATGTCCATAAATTGTAACCGGACATTAATGAAAGACGAGAAATGATGTAAAGAGAGCATTGAACTCTTACGCTTGTAAACACATATCAAAAGAGATTCGTCAGTAGCCCAACGCGACAAGTGGGCAGACTGGAGAAAATAGAGAAAAAGAAATAAGATGAAAAAGGGCGAAGCCAATAGAAAGAAAAAAAACGAAACGATCTTCCAAAGACCACGTCGAGGGAATCATGTCAGGATAACTATGTACAAGAAGCGGATTCCTTTGTAGGATCGAGGTTTTGGTCATGACAGCTGTTCTTCTGGGACTGCACCCTCATTCAATTTGTCCTTGTCCTTTGTCTTCCAAAAATGCATCAAGCGGCTGATCCGGTGGTTTTTCTTTTTCGCTTTCTCCGGTTCATCGCTCGGCGGCTTTTCCTCATAACTCAGCTTACTCCTTTCTGCGTGAGACCCCACAACCAACTTGGAAAGGCTGGCCAAACTTGATCGCTTCGAACTGTTGGCCTGGCTGCTGCGCCTGTTAACGGCCGCAGAAAATGACGCCGAGCGATCTGTAGACAGCCGGGGCCGAGGAAAGAAGGTCGCTGAGAATCGGTTCAGAGGATTCGTCGTTGTTGATGCACTGCTAGTCAACGAAGGCACATCTTCAACAGATGCATGAGGAAAGTCCATAGAAGGGTTGTAAGGACTCGAAAATTTACGGTCGGTGGTGGAGGAAGTCGTGATCGAGCGAGGGGCATCTGATGAAGAGCCAGTGAAGTCGGGAGATGGAAAGGAGGAGTTAGACAAAGAACTACCACCCTGAAGAGAGAAGGGAGGGATATTTGGGGTGAGTTCGATGGGTGAAGTTGAAGGCCTATTGTCGGCCGGTAGAAATCGTGGAGAAACATCGGGACTAGGAGGCACTCCTAGTCTGCGTTGCCAAAGCTCCTGTTTGATTATCTCCGCTGGTCCTGGGCTCTTCGGTCGAATGCTGAAAGGATTTTTGGCATTATGAAGCTGGCTAATGGCACACTGCTGTCCTACGAGACGGCTACTATCCTGATATGTAGAGACAGCGATAGGCTCTGATGGTTCAGGTAGCCCGTCCTTCTGAATGCCGAGACCCGACTGTTGCGTATTGACTTCGCTTGTGTGTTCTCGAGTAAGGGTGTCCGAGCTAACTTTGCCATCCTCTGATTGGAGGTCGACGCTTTCAGCACCGGAGGAAACAGCCTGTACCGGAACAGTGTCATCGCTGTGCCTGGGGGATTCACTTGTAGCTGCCAAAAAAGCATCTTCCTCTTCTTCGTAAAACACATCCGGGTTTTCGAGTGACGCGTTATTCGCGAGACGCGCCTGGTTGAGGAAGCTACGGTCAAAAGGCGGCATTTCCGGGGCACTTTCTGTACGTCGGTGATAGCGCATTTCTGGCCCGACAAATTCGCCTCGGCGTCCACCACTATACATCCGCTTTGTCGCTGCCGAGAAACCGCTCTCAGGGGCACCGCGGGATCGCCCATCAGGAGTATTAAAAGGCCCCAGAGCTGCATCCAGATCGATGATAGGGCTCAGAGCATCATTCTGTGTTGTTTGCTCGTAGAAACTCCGTGGCTTCCACGAATTTTCCAGGGTAACGTGAGGTTCAAGTTCAGATGTTGTCTCATTCGATTTTGGAACAGCGGGGTTGGTAGGGGTCCGAATAATGACGATATCCTCATCATCGTCAAAATTCACGTCCACTGCTGATCCGAGATCTGAATTGGTCCTCTTAATTGCTGGAGGTGTAATTTCGGACTGATTCGCCTCGCCTTTCGTCTCGTCCTTCTTCGACTGATGGCGCTTCCCCTTTCCCCGGGTAAGAATGGCCCCAGCCCAAGAACGTACTTTCTTCTGCCTTTTCTTAGTCTTCGACTTTTTCTTCGAGGCAGACGTAGACTCAAACGACCCACGGGCATCCTCAGTGGATGCATATGAATCACCATCGTCGGAAGAAGAGTGCCTTGAGGATTCTGCCCAGCGACTGTCATCGCCATGATGTCTCCTCAATGCGGCGTCAATGATCCCGGAAGATATACTTTTGTGAAAACGAGAGTGCCCTGTGGCAGAGAGAGGCCGCTTCATCCGAGATGCATCGTCGGTTCCACTGATCGTGTTGGGATCGAGCATCAGAGATGCGTCCGCTGTTCTCGGTCTCGGCTTTTGGGTTCGATCCACAGATGATGACGGCTCACTTGTAAATGGACCAGGCTTTTCACTATTTCTAGTTGTATCATCCGGTCGTACTGTGCTTCCAGAACCCTTCGAGATTTCGGAAATGGGCTGCTCTTCGGTGAGACGGTCGCTTGCTCTTTCGGGTTGGACAACGGGTAATGATTCATCACTAATCACAATCCGGGGAGAGGCAGGCGGGGTAAATCGACCTAAAGTAGTTGTTGCTGAATAGCATGTGGGTCTAAGAGCCTCGTCAGATGCACCAAGATCACGCTTTGCGCCTGTCGAGAACAGTGGCGCGCTTCCGACAGCGGGCTTCAGATCGAGCGTGTTCGATATAGCGGTTAGATCAACACTAGAGATCGCCGCCGAGCGCCGATGGGCATGGCGACGCTTTCCAGGACCACCCGCACTGAAACCCGGCCCAGGAACCGGGAGCTTAGTCGGCGTTGTATTTGAGTCAACCTCATTGCCCCGACTCGCCTCCACTGGCTCAGAGCTTACGAGTTGCTCCCCGCCGACGAACTCGCTACATCGACGACGGTGTCCACCTGCTCGATTCACAGGGAGGTTCGGCATCGAGGGTTGCGATGAATGTGCGGATCCCGGGTTAAAAGAAAAGGCGGGAAGGGGTGGAGGTCCGCTCGATGGGGCTGTCGAAGTCTGAGTTGTTGCATCTGGATCCCGCGCTGGGAATATAAACGGTGGGTTTGGAAGTGGTGTGGACATTGTGAGGTTGCGGCGGTTGTGTCTGCCGGAGAACCGATCCGTAGAGTCGAGATACTGGGAGAATGCCGACGTAGTCTGCGGCTGCAGAGGAAGAGAGATCGAAGCCATTGTCGACCCTGATAACGCCGAAAATCCAATTGCGAAATCCACCGCGAGCCAACGACTGTCCGGTTAACCCCGTAGTAAGTGATCCGGACGCACAGATACCTCCAGACCACTATGACTTCCCTATGACCAATGGAAAGCCCGATGTTGTCTGGAGGCCGTCAATTTCCCATTGGCACCATTGATTATGCTGCACCCAAGCCACGCAGCCTTGTATCACCAAGTATCGAAACTTTATAACGTCGAACAGAGATGGACCGGAAAAACGACGATGCGTATATCGACTACACCGAAGAGGTTGAACAATCGAGCGATTCCGAGATGAACTGATGTGGGTGGAAATGTGCTAAAGCCGAGAATAAAGGTCTGTTTGTTACGCCGGCTACGAAGGAGAATACTGTAAGGAGCGGACGGCCCCGGAAAGGCCACGGAGTCTGGGGACGGAGCGTCGGAAGCAGAGGGAAACGAGTGAACGAGCGTGGAAAGAAGTAAAATAATAAAAATGAACAAAACAGTCCAGCGATAGCGAGAGAAAGAACGGTAGAGAAGGGTAAAGAGGAGGAAAGAGGAGGAGGGGAGGGGGGAACGAGGAGAAAGAGGATCAACCTGGAAAAAGGAAAATGAAGTTGAAGGAAGGAGAGAGAGGAGTGAATGGGATGCTGAGATTAGTAGTACCTAGTGTTAAAGGTAGAAAAGGTGCTGGGCGTGCAGTGGAGAGGAGGAGAGACGGATGGCCGCAGGGGATGATTGGTTGGGAGCGCGGAGGGGCCGAGTCCGTACCATTCAATTACGGGTTATATTACGGGCGATGCTTTTACTATTGGTGGTGCCCTCCCTTTAGCCGCTCCATCCGATCGCCAGTCTGTCGTGTGGAGGGACGGGCGAAGGAACCTCTTCACCCGATTCTTTTCGGTTTTCGTACCTGAACATGCTCCATCATAAAGGGTAATATCATGGTGGAAAAATGAGAAGTATGGGGGATGTATATCACCAGATTTGTCCCTGGCCTGATAGGTACGTTACTAGGTACCTACAGGTCCTGAGGTACTAGCTAGGTAGATTACAATTACCAGGTTCTATGCCTGACTGGGGTCTCTCGGATGGATGCAGCCTTTGTTGTTGTTGTTCTATTTGTTGTCATTGTTCCTGGACAAGAAAATACTAGTCTCGGACAGCTGGCGAAAACAGTCTTGCAGAAAAAAGAATGACTACTAGAGGAGTCCTATCGCATTGTTGCTTGACACTTTACGGAAACCATTTTAGGTGAACTTAGTGAAAGACGTCATAAACCAGTGTATCGCCACTGATACGAGCTCAATCCTTGGTTAGGGGGAAAAAGCAAAGCCCCAGTTGAGATCTCATTCCATCTCCGATGTCATCTGGTATTACCATGAAGGAAAAAGAAAAGAAAACAAAAACAAGTACTAATTAAATCAACCATGGATGGGCCGCGATGATACCTTTTTTTCCCTTCTACCAAACCCGTTTCCATCTAACTGTGAGAATTGTTTCAATAAAAATAAAAATAAAAATGGCAGTGCTATTATTGATTTGTTGGAACCCACTCCCTCCAGGCATCAGTACGCTAAAGTGCCTGTACCTGAGTCGCCGACCAATGAAAAATTTCCGAGCAGGCAGCAAAACCTCGCTTGTCTCAATGGAGTTGAATAGCCGCCACCACTACACGCATGGGACTAACTGCTTTGGGCCGTAGTTTCATTAGGTCCCTAATAATGAGCGTAATGAAACTTTCCGTCTTGGGCTGACGGTGCAGCAAGTGATCCTTGCAAAGGTTGACACGTCTTGTCTTATCCGGCAGGAGAAAAGATTCCAGAAGTAAAAATAATGATTAAAAGAAGAATGAAAAGAAGAAGGTAAAAGAGAGCAAAAAAAAAAAAAAAGAATATTGAAACCGTAATCCGACAATGCTTCTTCGACGAGGTACTCACTCCAATTCCTTATACCGACGCTAAGACTCGGTGCCGGCTATATGACACGGAATTTGTCATAGGCACCAAGAATCGTAACTACTTTCATCGTATCTTTTTCTTATCAATTCATGGTCTTGGAGTTGCCATTGTTTTTAAACATTCTTTTAGCACAAGTGCTTCGGACTCGCTCAGTGCTGAGGTTCCAGATAGTGCCACATGGATTGGTGGTTTCCACCTGCATGTGGCCGCAGACGGCCTTCGAAGGATTCAGCCCCCTGGCCATCGTCCAAGCAAGTCTTGAACTTAGTACGTGACTTAACTCCATGGGGACTGGTCCGTCAGGACTAAGTCCCCAGACCGACAGCATCGTCCATGTCAGAATCCTGGAACAGCAAGCATCAGCCATGCCTATTGGCCATGCTCCTCCACTAACGGCTCTTCTTCCTTTCCCTAAAGCTACAAAACAAGGCGGGTGGAGAGCGAGATGTCGTCCAAATGTTTCACTCGTACGCTCTAACGCCAGTGTGGGGACTTGTAGCCAGACGATCCAAGTTGACTTGTGGGCTATTTTCAGGAACGGTTCGTCTTGGGGTCATAGAAGCGGTTGAAGGAATATGAGTACCCATCCAGTTAGTCTCGTACTCCATCATCCTAAATGAGGAGCAACATAGAGGAAAACTTGGGGCCGTGTGATAGGACTGAAAGGACTAATCATCCCAAGAGGGTCACAATGGGAAAAGTATGTAGTAAGAGGGAATCCAGACGACGTCTCATCAAAATCTCTCAGAGTTAATTAGTCAACCCCGACGAGTGACTATCAACTAATTCTTCAAACAAATCTCTCACTTTGGTGTGCCCCTCGTGATCATCTGTGTGGCGACGATGATTGGACGGTCTTAATTAAATAGACTTTCGGCTTGAAGCCACTTCCTGTCTGCAGCAATTCAACCGAGTGGTTTGCTTCAGCGGACTAAGTCTCCCTGGATACCAGACTCTGCCGATCCACCGTCATTCAGGGGGAATTGATTGGACGCGTTCCTGACAGCTCCTTAATTTTTTAATGAAATTAACTTCCCTAGGGACACAAAATGTAGCTTTTATTGGAGGTGTCTCCTACTAATCTATCCTTGACTCTTCATTGAACAGTGGTCAATCTCGGTGTGTCTCCGCATTCCCATCGACCTCTGAATTTAACAAAAGCGATCACATTACCGGCCAAAAGACTGGAGACTGATAGCATCTGCAGAAAGCGTGGATGTCTTGAGAGGTGACATCCAACAAATCAGCCGCAAACAAGGGGCCATGGGGTTCCAAACTGGAGGTGGAACCGATGAAGGCGCTTCTCCATTCTCTCTCCCGGATGGTGCTTGATGCAACCCCGTCCGGACCTGTTTCGGTTAACCCTCGTTGGGTCCTAGGTAGCAACAAAACACCTTGCATGAAGTCAAATGGAGACTCCTCTTTGCCCCCCCATACATGACTGTACAATAATAATTGGAAATAACCCTAATTACCGCGGGAATACATCCATACAATAGCTCATGTCAATGCAAGGGGCCGCGGTCCCTGTCCAACCCGCCATCGCCCCAAAATGCCAGATCGATCTCACTCATGAAGCCTATTTCGCCATACCACGGAAATATTCTCCCGAAAATGATCGACTTGGTTATCGCGTTGTGGTTGATCTCGATGTTGTTCCGGATCTGTCAAATGTTCACAGCAAACTTCAATGGAAGTAACAGATCATTGAAAATCGATCCACGGTTCAACACGGGAATCATTCTGTTTTTCCTTCGAGAAGGATTGCTCGAACCACGGAACCGGCCGACTTGGGAAATCGATCGATCCACCCTGCAATCATTAAAGTGAAATTTCTGCATCGAGGCAACGGCCATGTCCGATCGTCGTGATGTCAGTTAGACGTTTCGGCGATTTCACTACCTTATACCGTGGGGTATCCACAGCCCGGAAGGCTGAAGTCCAACTTTTGGTGCCTACAGGGTATTGACACCCAAAGGATCCTTGTCTTTCTTGCCTATCTTGCCACCCTCTGAATGGGGCCCAAGTTACGCTGGCGAGACATTTCAATTACAACTCAAAGAAGCGAGAAAAAAAAAAAAAAGCAAAGAAAATTAGGGCGTCGAGATTGCAAGGTTGTATTCGGTACGCCCGAAGCCTGCAACATGCTGCGTTTCCGGCGTGACTTGTGCTACCCTGCATCAGCACACTATTAATATCGCCCTGCAGCTGGATCGGCGCCTCCAATAGCCGGTTACGCTAAAGGGAACTCACCGGTTTCAAGGTTACAGTCAATCTCTCCGTCGGCATAACGGGCCAATTCTCCACGCGGGGTTTATGTGTCATCCCGAGAGTGTGTCACTTGGCAAGTTCATTGCGCTCGGTGAGTGGTGAGTGCAGACCGCGATCAATTCCATGAGACCGACTCTAAGCTCCAGAAACTGCACTGTGCGGTGAACGACTGCGTCTATAGACGTAGACTAAAGGACCCCTCTCGTGCAACGGCTTGACATTTCACATAGTACTGGTGTCCTTATATGCCGGGTGTTTTATCCTGTATATTCTGCGTCCTCCGATAGCAGTTAGATAATCACTTTCGGTTTGGGCTGCTTGACAGCCTAGTTGATGAGTTTCCAGACTCATTTTCGGGGACGTTAAGGCAACCTATATGCTTGGCATGCACCATCAGCTGACATGATCTTCCACCATCTTAGAATCCTTGAGTCATTGATAGTGGGAAACATGCTATACTAGAGCAAATGCTAGTTGCAAAGCGTCACACCCTCGGGAGCATTCATTGTCAGTCGACCACGTTGCGGTAACTCCATATCTATAACAGAATGTCTTACCCTAGCCGGTCACATGCGAATACTGAATCCTCTGGATAATGAATCATTTATGCATCTCCGGAACGACATGAAAAAAAGTGATTGTCTAATTGTCTCGTCACGAGATGTATGAATATGGATCAATCCCGCGTGGCCACGAGTGACCTGCCAGACACCATACTTGAAGTCTTCTGTTCCAACTCCAGTAGATATTGATGAGAGGCGGTGCTTCATCCAACCCTCTACAAGTTTCATACTCTCGTATTTACTCATGAGTAGACCAACCGGCTTGAAATCTGGTGCCATAGTATCATCGGGGTTTTTGTGAACCTCGCATTATCGGATCCTTCAAGTACCCTATTAGGGGAGCCATATCATGTGAAAAGCAGGACCTGACACTTCGAAAATGGTCCGACAGCCTTGAATAATCCAGCCCGTAGCTCCCTATCAGCATATGACTCCTGAGCTTCATCGATAAATAGATATCCATGAATACTGTCCAAGGATCTTCTATCAAATGCTTGATTGTGAAATTGATAAGGGTGGTTTTGCCTGAGGCCGGAGTACCATTTATCCTGACTATGGCGAAGCAATCTAAGCGTTCACAAATCTCCTTCACAAGTTCTGTGCGCTCAGCGACGGGAAATATAACATCTATAAGCATTAGATTTATCTTAGGATATATCTCAATGTATAAATACTTACCTCGTGCTTCGAATATCCGCCTCGGCGGGGCTTTCACAGAGACTGGTGGGCCTCCGTTTGTCACAAAATGGACAGCGAGGTAGCTGTCTTGCATATCGTCTCTCGATTGATTACCCTTTCCAAAACATTCTTTAAGGAATATGTCAACAACTTCATACTCAGGGACGTGGTCGAGGACGTAAAATTCCAGGAAAGCCTAATAGGCGTAGTCGTAAACATCAATGATGAGCATTCGGGAAACCTGGGCGCCTCTAGCTTTGAGACGCATAAAGATTGATTATTGTATTATACCCAAATACTGTCTCTCATAGGGCTTTTCCTTAGGCACCGGAAGCCTGGTGGCATACTATTTGGATTCGTGTCTGGAGTCCATGGCTGTACTTGTGAAGCTTAACGGCACAGAGCGTATCTTTCCAACGCACCTGATACCCGATTAACGTGCACTTAGCTCACCTGTACCATATAAGAAGTACTGTTACCAGCTACCTCCAGTGCATGCAGAACCTGCAGAAGGTTTATTGATGGTATCCTCGAGGTTCTCTTCATCGAGCTGAGCTATATCTTCCCGGGGGGGGTATGGCAGTAGGCTTTTCTCCAGCTGTGAAGAAGTAAAATTAGATGCTGCATATATCAATAGTAAAGGGAACATACTAAGATTATTATGATCAAACATGGGGTGTTCATATCGACAGTTTCCCACCTAACCAGGGGAGGATGTGATGCAGCTCCCTTGCGGGCAGGTGCAGTACACCCAACTACAGGGTCCTATGATCACGCTGATGCACCAAAGTCTCATGTCCGGATCCGAGCTCGAGCAGCCGCATTCGTTGCAGTCGGAGGGTAAAGTGTCGCAATGAGCTGGCGAATGAGTTCACACAGCATGCATGGCATGTTCCATTCGATCTACGATGGCTTACACTCCTATCCCGCTATTTAGAACAATCACACAACATTTTACTACTAGTATGTCTTTCACACGCGCATAGCCACTTTATATTATATATTCACTAATACACGTATCTACATGAGACTGCCTTGGTGAGCTACAAACTTCGATCACAGTAGTCTTGCTAAGACCCTCCAGTTACACCAGAACAAGAGCCGAGATATTGAGAAGTAATCGAGGGCTGGTCAAAGAAGGTAAAGACTAGCAGCGCCTGCGTCGCCAAAACTAAGCTTCAACAGAGCCTGGTGAGATGGCTAATATGACGACTAAAGCGGCTATGATCAAAGCAGCGGCTACAAACGCAATTATCGCTATACTGCCGCGACTAGCGGGAAACTTCCCTCTAATGATCCAGTACTGGCTTTCAAAGTAGCGATGGAATCCAATCAGCAGAATAACAATAGCAACACCAATGAAGGTTGTTCCGAGAGGTTTACCGATACTCCGAAGACGCTCGGAAGTGGCAGTCACCTTCATGGCTGTGGGGTCATAAAACGGTGGTGATAACAATGGGGGAAGGGCTTGCGACGCGTAGTCGCCGCCCGATGTGCTTGAGCTTGAACTGTTCAGACGGAAGAGTTGCGTTATGGCGATTCCGATAGATGCAAACGCTAACGATGTCCTGAGCCATGCGAGGAATGTTCGCTCTACAACCCATCATAAAATCGTTAATACCCATCCGAAGGCAAACGGGGGGAATGACGCACCTAATGCCAGATGATCGCGAGCCACACTCCCCTTATTCTCTAGCTCCAGACTGCCGTATCTATCGGCGATTCGACTGAACCACGATACATGGGGTTCTGCCGAATCGGACGGTGGGTTTTGCTGGTCGGCTTCCCTTGTGTCCCGTTGGCCAGAGCGTTTCGGCTGGCTGTCTCCGAACCCAGCATCTCGATTCCTCAGCCCCTCTGTGGAATGATAGTTTCGTCTATCGGAGCCGTTGCTCACGATCGGAGTGATTTCATTGAATGGCGGTGGCTGGTCCTGGTCAGGCGCCACATTGGGTTGATCCCGCTCATTTAAGGTAGACATGCGTCCCGGATGACTCTTAGAAGAACGGGGGGACGAAGATCGATGCGTGGGAGAGGAGGAGCTGACGCTTTTGGTGGTGGATTGGGTCAAATCAGAGGAGTCCATGATGGCGTGCTCGCATCGGCAGGGGTAGGCATGCTACGACAGGTGCCGTGTAATCTATGGTTTTAGATTTCCAGATACCCGAAACTTGTGGAGATTCGATTCGGTCCGTGGACGTCGCGGGTACTAGAGAGCCTTTCCGAATCTCGTAACCCAGCGAATTTCCCTGGCAAACAGATAGCAAGTAGTAGGAGGAGAAGGAATAAGTAACCATAAACGGCTCCAACTTGTCACGCTTCGGTTGCCCCTCAATCAAACAGCATGTCTAACGAGCTGAACTCGCTGGCTCGCAGAGTTTCCTCCGGAAACAATAATTATCACGCGGTCAGAATACAAGACAATGTCTGACCATTCAGCACCAAACTCCATGTCGATCACATGATGATCGTCATGAGGCACCATTACTGCTTATGGCATGGCGTCATGCAACTCTGATCAGAGGCGGTCAGTTCGGTGAGTTGCGCGAATTCTGCCTATGCAAACCGCCTTACTCCAGAGTATGTCATCGCATCAAGTGATCGTCTCTTACTCATTCAAAGAACCTCTTGTGTGGGGTGTGCACTAGTCAACTGATCAACTCGTCATCACCTTTCATCATGGCATCTGAGGTCTCTGCATCGCAGGGAGTACCCAAACCCAAGATCGATCTGTCCAAAAAACTTTCAGAACTGCGTTCAAACCGCAAGTCTCAACCAGCGTTACCTTCCCGACCGTCCAAGGAACCGGCTCCAGTCACCCCGCCGCTTTCCAACCCCCCCGATCTATCATCCCATCAATATGCACGTCCGGTTCGCCGAATCTTATCAAACCATGACCATCAGTTGTTCCTTTCCTCGCCGTCCTATTCTCTAATCCTTGCTTTCATCTTTGGTCTCTCCGATTCAGTTCGTGGGCGTGCAACCACAGACACCAAAGATCGTCCGATTTCCCCCAACGTCTCCAAAATTCTCTCCGTTGTTGACTCTATCCGAACACTTCTGAATCAACATCCGTCTATCGACCAGGGTGGCTCAAGATTTGGTAACCCTGCTTTCCGCGACTTGTTTGACGATGTCGCTGCGCAGAGCGCCAAGTGGCACCGGGAGATCCTTGGTATACAGGATGCGACCGCCATAGAAGAAGCGTCAGCATATCTCATACACTCCCTGGGTTCACGAGATCGTTTAGACTACGGTTCAGGCCATGAATTGAATTTCATGATGTGGCTGTTATGCCTGCGCCAGATGCAGCTATTCTCGACCGCAGACTTCGAGATGGTCGTGTTCCGAGTGTACGTTAACTACATGCTTCTCATGCGGGACGTCCAGTCCGCATATTATCTGGAACCGGCAGGCTCTCATGGCGTCTGGGGTCTCGATGATTACCACTTCCTTCCTTTCCTTTTCGGCGCCGCCCAGCTCGTGGAGCACCCTTACATAACCCCGTTGGCCATCCACAACAATGTAATCCTCGACGAAGAAGGAGACAGGTATATTTACCTAGACCAGGTGCGGTGGGTTGATAGTGTGAAAACGGTCAAAGGTCTACGATGGCATAGTCCTATGCTAGACGACATCTCAGGGGCCAAGAACTGGAGCAAGATCGAAGGCGGGATGAAGAAGATGTTCGTCAAAGAGGTCCTGGGTAAACTGCCCATCATGCAGCACTTCTTGTTTGGCAGCCTGATACCCGCAGCGCCAGGTATGGGGGAGGCCGACGACGTGGAGACGGACGAGCATGATCATACCCACGGCCACAACCACGCTCACACCGATCATTTTGGTGACTGCTGTGGAATCAAGGTGCCGAGCACAGTAGCTGCAGGAGCCGAAGCGCGCAAACGAGGAACGGGCTTGCGGCCGATCCCCTTTGACTAGTCCTGTACACGACCGTTACGAACCTGGCGTTGGAAGACAAATCCAGCATAGAAATAATCCGTAAATACTGAATAATGATACCATTTTCAAAGACAAGCCCATACAAATACGCATCCAAGTAGAATATCCATTACATCCACGAGGTCACATGACCCAACTCCCACCACCCAATCACCAACCCCATCATCATGAATCCAACATCCAAGCAACAAAACCGACTACTAGGTACCTGTACAGCAACACCCAACCCACGCCACGCCCACAATGCCAGCCGACGAATACTCCGTCGGCGGGGGCGGCAAGCTCAAACTAAAAGGTTCCAAAGTGAGCGACGGCCGCATAGAAAAGAAAAAGAAGAAAGCCAAGAAAAGCAACCCAGAAAGCGGCAGCAAGAAAGAAAGCGAGGATGCTCCGTCGGCGTCCACGTCCCAGGCAGTAGATGACAAGGAGAGTCCGCCCACTTCTCTACCCCCACAGGATGAGGAGTCTGATGCCGGGGTGAGTGCTGGAGCTGCTGGGAAGACGGAGGCAGAGAGGAAGTATGAAGAGATGAGGAAGAAGAGGGTGAGTTCTATTTTATTTTGTCTTATTACTTTTTTCTGCTTTCCGTGTTCTATTTTCTTTTGTTATGAAAAGGGGGGAAGGGGGGTCTTTTTTCTTTTGTGAATTCTTAGAGGGTTGGTTGGTTTGTGCTTGGGATTGTGTTTGTTGTTGGACTTTTGTTAGTATAGTATCTGTCGTTTGCCTTGACTTGCCTTGTCTGCCTTACTGCACACACAGAGAGCGAGGGACAGAGAGGAGAGGGTTTCCTACGATCTTCTTTTTCTCAATGAACCCGAACATGCAGCGGAGCACAAAGATACTAACAATAAGCCCATAGTTACAAGAACGTCTCAAGCGAGAAGGGGTCAAAACGCATAAAGAGCGAGTGGAAGAGTTGAACAAATACCTGAGTCGACTGAGCGAGCATCACGACATGTAAGTTGTCTCATATCCGAGTCTCATTCTTTTTGCTTTTTTCCACGCCTCGTTTTGAAGGAAATGAAACATCTGGGCTGATCTTTTTTTTTTTTCGCAGGCCGAAAATTGGACCCGGTTAAGACAGTTTTTATTATTAGTAGTTACATTTCTTTTTCTTCCTCTTTCTTTGTTCCATGTATGTATCCTGGGTATTATTGTTTGTTTGGCTTGGTTTTATATGGTAGGGTTGTAGAATTTGCTCATGCAATGGTTGTCATGTGCCTTTTTGATCCTTAATTTTTTTTTTTTTTCTTTTCTTTTTTTCCTGCTCCTTGTTTTTTTCTCTCTCTTAATAACGTCTATCACGCTCGAATTTGAGAGTGAAAATCATATGACACTGCTACGTTCTGCAATCTCGTTGGCCGGAGCTATAGACCTCCTGGGTCCCGCTAGCGACTAACCTGCGGCCACGCCGCTTACGCTAAGCAGTTGGCTGCTCAAGACACGTTTAATAGGTGGACGGAATATGCAGTATATACCTAAAACCGTTTGGCTATGTGACACGCCAATGGGACGGAACGGCCTAAGCTCGAACCGCCAATCTATCCAAGCGTATGACCGGAGAGAGCAGAATGGTAGGGACAAAAAAAAAGTAGAAAGGAAAAGTCAAGGGAGTTCTCGCATCGTGTCCTCACTCACCATCCACTGGACGGTCGAAAGCGGAAAACGATGTTCAACCCCATGCAGAATGTACTTCAAATAAACGTATAATCAACAAAACCCCCACAGCTGTCAACGCCTTGCATATACCGGGAACAGGAGACAAGATAAAGATACCAAAACCAAGCGTAGAAACAAAAAACACCTCCCGACCCAAAAATATTGTTTGAAATGGAAAAAAGATAATGGCCACGGCGGGGTGCGGTGGACGAACCCGGCAACGGCGATGATGTAATCAAATCGAACACCGCGCTAAATCAAACGGTTTCGCTGATGGCGATGCAAGAACCGAAAGGAAAGTTTCAAAAGGAGAGAGAGTAAAAGAGGAGGACCCCAGGGCGTCATCTATACGCCCTTGATGACATGGGTACGCTCACTGTTCAGCTTATCGGCGTTCCGGGCGTGGGACTCCTTCTTGCAGTCCTCCAGGCCAGTGCAGGAGTGGGCTTCCAACATTCGGTGTTTAGAGCAGTAATGCCCACTGCAGAAGCTGCAGTCTCCGACAATCCGCTGAGCTGCTTCCTTGCATTCCTTGAAGTTGCAGCGGGGCTTGCGGGGAGCCATGTTGGGCGGGTGGTTGCAAGTAGGGAGGCGGACGAGGTGACGTCGGAGAAGGGTCGATAAGCGCCGAATTGGGGTAGGCGGATTCTGGTTTGTGGTGAACGATTGCTAGCGACTCACGGGATTTCCGGTGTAATCCGGAAGTAGTGATGACTGAGGAGTCAAGAGAGTGAGGTTGTAAGGTCGCTATGAATGGGTGACGTGGACGTCCTGAAGGGAGATGGGAGCGCCGAGGAGGAGAGGTATGGGGGAAGGGGAGGTAGATAAGGAGGTAGATAAGGACGGAGAGGCTATATATATACTTGTTAGTTCAGATGGCAAAAGACGGGTGAATCGGAAGGGACACAAACCGGAGGAAGATAATGGAAGCGAAGAACAGACTGGTAAGCAAAGACAAAGATGAAGAGGGAGCGGCGAAAGCGCAGTCAAAGTCAATTTATATGGACGAGGCCTTCATTCATGACCTGCTGAGTCACGACTCCATCCGCAGTACGACTGCAGATCCGATGTCGTAGCCGTTTAATCCCATTCGGGCTAGCGCCCCTCAGACTCCTGTTTCGGTATAGCCCCGTACCCAGACTTCTGTTAAAGTCTCCCAAAAAGACTGAGTTGAGTTACTGCTCTGGGACACTCTGACGAGTGGAGGCAAATCCGGAGCGGAAACCAGAAACTTCCATAGTACAGACGACGACTACATACATGCCTCTAGTGAGGCAAAATTGTTCAGGCTCCCAAGACTCCATGCCTATCCTCGGGCCGTCTGAATTATCTGGTTTAATTAAAGTTTTCATAAACCCAGGAGGCCATTGTCATCCAGGAAATAGAAGGGCAAATAGTTCAGAAGAAAAAAAAAAAAAAAAAAAAAAAAAAAAAAAAAAAAAAAAAAAAAAAAAAAAAAAAAAAAAAAAAAAAAAAAAAAAAAAAAGACAAACCAAAAGGGAATAAAAGGAAAAATTCTAAATTAATTACAGTTCACTTTGGGACGTGTTCCCATCGGATTTCCCTCAGTTTGCCCCCTTTCTACCTTAGTAGTGTACTCCTTTCCCCTTTTTGTGGTGGTTTGATTGAGGGAGCAGTTGAGGAATGGTCCCGGGACTGGGGTACGACGACGACTCGGTCCCTCAGGTGCTCATCATATCGCCCGATGCTCTCATTAATCTCGCAATAATCCACTCTGCTTGTGAAAGGTAACGTTACGCCCTCCACCTGATCTTTTCCATTTTTCTATCTATCTATATATAAATCCAGTGTTTTCGAAATACCACGGAAAAGAAATAAAAGGAAACGCCGTCAGCACCTAATTAATTATCCAGCGCCAATGCATGCCATTCCGGCTTGCTGGCACCGCACATCACCTCGCAGGATGTACAGTTGGTAGTTAGGTAGGTATGTATGTATGTACCTACCCTGGGAAGTGACCAGGTAAAGACAAACCCCTCGGTGTACCCAGTGAGCCTCCCCCGTGGTCCCGAAAATTGAAGCTGCAGATGCATTTCGTCCGAGCAATACCTTATCCAGTGACCCTGACTGGTCCCGTGAAGTCTACTTGCTTAGTGCCAGGGGATTCCATGGGATGGCCCTGGTCACGTGTCGGTATCATGCCTTGCAGGGGGATGGCGTCGAAAGCCCCTTCGTTCACGTATACATGGGATGTATACCTTGGGGGACGGAGTATGAGCTCTCGGTAAATCCGGGTGGAGACTCGATCATCCATCCCTCCATGATTCATGATCAAGGGCGAGTGGGTACGGTTGCAAAATAGAACGATCCATAAGATGGGCGATAGGACTACTCCTAGTATGGACAAGATCGGATGGGGTGGGACACATTCAGTTGAATGTTGGGAAAGAGGGTGTGTGTGCTACGACCGCTACTACTAACTAGTAGCACTGGCAGTACTTTTTGATGTCCAAGACCTCCGCACCTGCAAGTAGCTCTCCCATTGCAGCGTCAATGGGATAGACTTCCGACCATACACCATGGCCCGTGGTATATACTAGTATCGACACACGGCCACGATCATCGCAGAATAATAATAAGGATCATAATTATAGTAATAAAACCTGCTAGATGCACGCGAGAAACCTACCAAACCTCGTAGCTCCATGACCCTTTATACTGCGTACCGGACTTGCTTTACCCCTCAGGATCTCCACCCCATCTTCTTCTTCCCCCCGATCCAGATAAGAAAATCGGGTAAATTATCTTTTAGGCGTCTTCCCCTCTTTTGAAAAACCTCACCTTGGGCACAAATGCCTCGTTCTCGCACGACAACAACTGATGTCCTCTTACAACTATCCACCCAGAAAGGTCCACGACAACTCACTGTACAATTCCATTCCTAGTCACTTGTGCTAGCCCGGAATATTTGCTAGCCCAGTTGAGACATTTGATGAGCGGTCAAGGGGAACAGGAATCCCGGTTTTCCTGGTGGCGAGACACACGGAGAAATCAAAAGACAAAAAAAAAAGGAAAGGAAAAAAAACAAAACCCTCACTCCATATCAAATTAGTCCTTCCCCACATCTGTCAGGCGAACAGTCGATCATTTTCCCAATCTTGGGTGAAGATAAGCGCAAGGTGAACGGACACTTCACCGTTTGGTTGGGTGGGCAAAGTAAAATCCATTCATTCGTGCAGCACTTGATGCTGGACAATATGACTCTTACAAGGACCAGAGTGCTATCTACAGTTCATAGCTTCATATCATTTTCTCCCTAAATAATCATCCACGCCAAATTATCGTTATCAGAGGGAATAACAGCTGCATTGCAACGCCTGATGCCAGTCAAACACACCGGGTAACCTGGAAAATCATAATTATAGACCAGCAAGGGAACGAAAGAAAGAAGAGACGGAAAAGCAAATAACAAACAAGGGGTTGACCTTATACCCCCATCTCCTTCTCTTTCCCGGAATCTGGGTCAAGGTAGGTCTCCTTCTCCGCCGCCTCGTACTCTCCAATGAGGTCCATGACCACAGCCCTGGCCTCATCAAATTCCCCAAATCCATCGCTGAATGGGGCCTCTTTCCGATACTGCTCGATGAAAGCGTTTCGCTTCCGCAGTCGATCGTACTGTTGGACGATCCGCTTGAACAACGTTGCCACCGATGTGTGGTTCGCCAGCATCAGTCCGCTGACACGGTGGGTGTTCTGGATGTACGGTGACTTTTTCGTCAGTGCGACCTGGATACTAGCTGGGCCCCAAGGAATGAAAGATGCCAGTCGCCGCTCGCGGATACGGAGCAGGGACTTGTGCACGTCGGTGGGATCGGCTTCACCCTGGATAATGTTGAGGATACTAATATAGCAACTGGATTTACTGGGGTTGATTGAAACCATGCGGTTCTTGGGTTGCAGCAAACGACGCATCACGTCCAGCACGGTCGTCTTGCGGACCGTCTTGGCTTGTTCAATATTGTCACCAGTAAATGGCGTGTAGGAGGTGATCAAGAAGTGACTACGTGGCGTAGGGATAAGAGAAGCGACGATCCCGACAAGGTCATTGTGCATGTAACCAGGATAACGGAGGGTGGTAGTGGATGCAGACATAACAGTTGAGACCTATGACCAATTAGCTGGACACGAGCCCCCTCTAGAGCTAAAGAGCACTCACAAGCTGATTCGTTTGCTGGAGCGAAGGTTGCAGCACATGAAGTCTGTCGGCAACGATCCTTGAAAGAGCTCCGTTATCCAGAACCACCTAGATAGCTTTAGTCATTGCCACCAAGATAGCGCTAATATCAGCGTAAACGTACCACAGAGTCAGCGTTCTGTGTCAACCTCCTCATGGCAAGTATACTATTGTACGGGTTGACCACAACATCTGCCGCTTGAGTATCGGGAAAGACGGAGTATGTTTGAATCAGCTTTTTCGGAAATCGATCGTTCATCCGTTCCAAGATGAAACTTCCCATTCCAGACCCGGTGCCTCCTGCAATAGAATGCAGAAACATGAATCCCTGTCGCAAAGCGAACATCAGCCACTAGGTCCTTTTATGCCCACGGTGATCACCCCAGTCCTCCACATTTTCGGATATCCCGAAACCATACCTCTAGCGAGTCACTACCATCGGCCTCGCGGTCAATCATGTCGAAGATATCCTCTTGCACACTCTCACCCGCCGAATACCCAGCACCCCAGTTATTACCTGCGCCAACACCCTGCTGTCCCACGAAGAAGTTCTCAGGATTGTAGATGTTGCGATACGGACCGGTTTGAATCGTATTGAGGACCTAGACCGCTAAACTCAGCTCGTATGTCCGTTACGTTGTCGCAGGAGGTAGACTCGTACTCTGGGTTCCAGGTCCAGCAAGATCGCTCGGGGAATATACCGGGTATCATCACTCTAGAAAGCGCCTCATTAGCACTCCACGCACGCGCAAGCACCACAGACCACGACAGTTCAAACAGTCTTCATACCTGGTAGAAGAAGACATCCTTGCGATCACCGCCCTCGGTAGCAAACTCCTCTAGGTTCCCATCCTGGCTTATTCCGTGCTCCTGGCAAAGCTGTTGCCAGAATTGGCTGCCGACTATAACCTGTCAGCAGAGCTATACATCGCGGGTTCGTCCGTTTGCCGTCTCGACACAGCGATGACGGTGTTCCGTGGTCTGGGGTGTTATCGCGGGATTCCATACCATTGTTGCCACATTGGCCGGCCTGAATTGTGATAATTTCTCTACTCTCCTCGTTAGTAACGGTCGCTAGTGCTTCACAATTAGAGATTGAGAGCAGATCAGTCGGGTTATGGCACGTACCTGGGCATCTTTGTGCTTGACCACTGCAAGTAGTCGAGGTTAGCGTACGCGTAGCGCGTTCCCGCGGGGAAACTTTGGGTAACAATTTAGAGTGGTGGAAGCCTCAGGTATACATCCATGCGGTGAGCTATAAATGCCACGCTTCTCACCACCTCGATAGGATTTAATATAGCTTATAAAGATCCTTGAAAGTTAGGGGATAGCACTAAACTCTATGTTGATATTATACTGCAATTGGTAGAGATGAACGTTCCTCTAGGATGACCCTTGTGTGCCTCAATGATGATCATGACTCCTCTTATTGTGTTTTACTGAATTTATTGACAGGTAATTTAATGCATATAGCAATAGTGAGCCCAAAACCAATACGTGTATTCTACATATTATCCCTAGTGTTTCTGCCATGAGGGCGAAAGCAAGGGCGTTTCTGTTTTACGCCAGCGCAAGGGCTGTTCAACTGTACTCACAAATAGAGTGCATATCATGTCACTGTTGTGTTTATAGAGACTATATTTCAGATCACCTGCTCAGAAATCTCAGAATCATAAAAATGTATAGTCAAAAGTCAGCGTGGCCAGAAGAATATGAACAGATGCCAAACATGGATGCTGACGAGTATAATATGACCTCGAGCTTGTTCATAGAGTTCAACTTGAACTCAAGCAAGAAACAAGTTGCCCCAACCACCGGTCGATTGTAATCCGAACAAGGAGCATTGACCTCATGATTGCCACGACTTGAAAGCTAACTATCCAGACCTCAAAATCCTGCTTTACAAGCCGTAACAAGCATCCCGGCACCGGCAACCACACCGTCAACGATCCTCACACGATTTCCTTCTTCCCGACCATAAGCTTCAACACAGCCATCCCTGACTGCCTCTTCCATACCAGCCATACCAGCACATCCCATGCAGATTGCCGTGAGCGGGTGTGGAGCGGTCTGGATAAGCCTTCGTGTCGCCTCGCTGATCCTCCTCCTCACTTCCTCGGCTGGCGTGGTATGCAGTTCAACGGCGGTTAGACCGGTCGTCTCTACACCAGCAAAACGATTGGTCGACGTTGTATTATCATCAGAATTCACAAGGAATGCTTCAACAGCACGGCTTAGCTCATCCCGCCAGATGCTGCCCGTAGAAATAATTCCGAACATTTCCTTGGATTGCGTTTTGTGCAGGCCCGCACCTCCAACCATGTGAAACGAGCCAACCAAGGACAGCGACATGAGAACACTCGCTTCGAAGATACCCGTAACGTACTTCCTCTTTGGTTTCGAGTCCCCTGACAGGGCCGAACTTTCGAACTTCGTGATGGCTTCCTTCAGCATTCCAACGAGGGGATGAGCCGAATAACATGCCACGAGAAACCCATCGTATTTGGGAATAAGGGGCTCCACAAAGGGTCTGCAGTGCAATGCCGATGTAGCAGAGTCCTCGCCTGAGTTGATACTCGGCACGCCATCTATTACACGCCCATCTTCAAGGGTGACTGACTCATTCGGAGCCGTCAAGTAGTCAAATTGAACATCTGCAAACCCGAGGTTGTCCACTATAGGTTTCAATGCATCCGTCATGTGCGTGGATGTATTTGGATTGATGATTAGGACACTGAGCCGACTTTTGCTTGGTGCAGCCATTCTGAAAGATGCCTTTGGATACCTGATAGAGTCGTAAAATTGGGGGGGCAAGATGAATAGTTATATCATTCCCTTTTTGACACATAGAGGGGGGGCGACCAAAAGGGTATAGACCAGCCGTGCCCCCCCCACCACCTTAGCTTCTCGGCAGTCGGAGCTTAGCGGTGCAGTTGGTATACAGAGTAACCCTGGCTGACGATAGAAATGAGAGATAATAGCCCTAAATTAATATGTCATCGTGGCTGACAGCAGGGCTCCTGGGGCCCGGGCCTACGGTATAGCTCTATAAGGTGTGACCCAGGCAAATCAGGCCCTAGGGTCTGATTAGGGTGTGATTATTGTTATCAACGGACTTGCCCGGACACCCGTTCTTACATAAACGTGATTAGGGCAACTGATTTATATCCAAGTGATTCAGCGAGAAATGATATTTCTACCAGGATCTTAGTGAACTAGATATAAATTTTGTATAGTAAATACACAATTCAATAGCCAAGTTTGTCAAAAAGGGGCTCCATTGGTGGCTAACTATCTAGTAATTATAACTGACCTGTTAACTATACAATAGGACAACTATCTGATTCTAGGATGAAACATGCAGCGGTAAAAATCTTAGATCTATATTAGTTATTTTCATTTATTTAGTTGTGGCTTAAACATTGCCGTAGTAACTTCCTTGCCACCACAACACCTAACCAACCCTAACCCAAACAAACAACACCCACGACATCCCCCCAGTCACTATAACCACACATCCACACAAGACTAGAACTTCGACAAACACCACAAATTCCTATGTCCACCAAGCCAGCACTTGGGCCCATATGCCTTATAGCAATCGTCACTGATAGTCCCCTGAAGGTCCTCCAGGTTATTGTTTACCGTGGAGAACATGTACGTATATCCAGGTTTACCCTTAGCCTCTATCTGGATTTTGGCGTTGCACCAGCGACCTCCCTCCCAGTAGCATTTGGTGAATGTATTACTGTGTTTGCATTCTTCGTCGGCGAGGGTGTATGTTGCGAAGAAGATGAGGAGCCAGAGTTTGAGTTGCATCTTTGCTTTTTGTAAATGGTGGTTGGTGGTTTTCGCTATAATGTAGGATTATCTAGGCTTTAGAGAGGGCTCTAAGATACTAGTAAGTAGTTTGTGGTTGGGGTGGGTTTCCTGGGGATGTGTCACGGAGGCCTAATATGGAGACTTCAAAGATGATTTGGGAATGGTTTCGTGAGACTGATCTCAGAATGGTTGTTTAGTAGGATGTCTATTTGGGCTGTGTAGTAGGAAGATGGGCCGTTTTATATGGGTGAGCCCATACAAAGACTGTTGTTCTTGGGGGTTCAGAAAGCCGAATTTGGACAATAAACCTTTGATCCAAGTTATGCTGAAAGATACCTCGCCCCCCCCC